TGGCCCAAAATATCACAACTTTGCATTAAATCAAGTAAGATTTAAACCCACATTGGTTTAAATACTAATTTTATCTGTAGATTTTCTAGAAGAGCTTAAATTTATTATCAGTGAATACCTATGGATACATTGTTCATATATTATTGACAATCCTGCTGGTTTTCTGAAAATGTTGAGCTACTCTTTTGCATCCTCTTCATTCATATTTAAGGAATCTGCTAAAGGAAAATAAAACTTGAGAACAGTTCAGCAGCCAAGCAAAGAAGTGGAAAATGAGGTAAGTTTCTTCTTCCAATCCCTCATATTGTTATCCTTTACTCAGAAGTGAAAAGTCAAACATGTTATTTGTATGTTAGAAAGTTGACGGAAGTGTCAGTCTGTTTTTAGTGTATAGACACAAGACTTATGTCTGTACTCATCATGTCTCATTACTATCTCTTGTAACTGTCTATGTCACTGGAAGTGGGAGGTCCTCCTCACATTTCTTGATATCAATAACTGGGATGCAGTGTCACTATTGTTTAAAGATGCAGGTCAGGTTAGAAAATGAACATGTTTGGATAATTTTGGAGGGGATTCTTACAGGGGTTGTTCTAAATCGTAGGCCAAAAATTCCAATTATTCCTTTTCTTCAATTAATTGTTTTTTGATAACTTTAATATTGTTTTTGATGATTTTGGAATTCATAAATGAATATGTTATAACCCTTTTGCCAAAGATTAAAAATGGACATCTCTTTTCCTTCTAACTTAATGGTGTCATATGCAGAGCTTTAAGTTACTCAGTCTATTGGTGGTGGAGGGGGGGAGGAGGTAATATTAAAACTATGATATGACTATGATAGGTGGTCTGCACATTTGTCAGCTTTAAATGGTGCAGTGTTAAACAATTTAAGGCTTCAATGCAGTGAGGTAATGTTAAATGAGATGGAGTGGCCTGTCTCATGAAGTAGTCTAAGTAGGTAGAGCATAGAACTGAACTTGACAAAAAAGGGTGCTCAAATCACATTTGGCAAAAAAAAAAAATGTACCTCATAAGATGATGGATACTTAAGGTAAACAATTTCAGACATCATTTAGATATCATCTCAACAACATTATTACTTGTATATCTTTCCTTAAGTAATATACCCCTTTTAATTAGGTGTTACAATAAAAGAACAAGGTTAGAGTGATGAGAACACATCTTGATATATGCCATCATAACTCACAAAGGAGAATTACCATACATGTTCAGAGTCTTTACTTTTCATGTTTATGCCACGGCACAGAATCACATGCTTTTTTCAGTCAATGTAATGGTACTTAACTATCTACTAAAGAATGTTAAAATGTTATACAGCAGATTTATACATAGCAAAATGTTGAGATAATGTTGAACTATTCTTGCTCACTGAGTGGCATATGGTGGGAAGGATGTGTTAATGGCCTGATAGGCTGTCAATAGTTAACACTTCAAGATTCTAGTTATGACATGTGAAACTATTCTTACATGACCATATGTTAATTCAGCTCATGTTTTACCAGTTCCATACCCGGCTTTATGTAATATCACATTTTTTTCTGTTTGAGATATATATATAGAAAGTCATATGTTGCAGTATCTGAATGAGAAATACACTCAACTTAAGAGGAATAAAGGGAACTCAAACTATGCAAAAAATATGATAAATAGAATAAATGAAAAATATTAAAGCAAAACAGTTATGTGTCAGTACAGTTACTGAGTTATTGAAAAAGAAATGAAATGCATATTGTGTACATGGAAAATACATCATCATAGAGAGTTTTCTCATTTTTTAATGTAGGTATTTGTTGTAGACTGTATAGTCTTTTTGTTTCCTTTTAAGCTGGTAAATTTCCTTGATTTTACCTTCATTACAAGTGAATAGTAATCTACAGTAACATTTTAAAGGAAAACAGTGTTCTGCTCATGTTCATTGAGGCTTAGTGTCCTCTTTCTTAGAATAGCCCAAGAATGTAGGTGTTGCTGAGAATCTTCTCGGTGGTTAACCAGTCATTGGTCTGCCACGTTAAGACTGGCAATTGAACACTAAATGCCAGTGGAATTGTAGCTGCATGGGCCAATAAAATTTTGTAAATATGTTTTGTCTCTGGCCACTGTTTCTACGTTTGGCCAGTAGATTGTTAGTACCCTGGTATCTCAAACGGCAAGTGATCTAAAAAGATTTTGGTTCATCAGACTGAAGGATATAACCCCTTTGTAACCTTTGTGACTGTGTTCATCAGTCATTACAATTACAGGCCTGACTAACTATACCTCATAGCTTAACTGCCATCTCCACATGATTTGACAGTTTTATTGCTGTTTTTTACGTCTAACAACATCAGCACAACCCACCCATATTTTGCATAACTATTCCAACTTATTTTGTGTTTCAGCAGAGGCGCGCATGCACGCGCACACACACACACACACACACACACACACACATAAATAGGTTTTGGTTCTTCACAACCGATCAGCCTTGGGTGTTTTCTTAGAGAAAATATAGTTTTTCACCTGAGATAAATTACTATACATGCAATTTCTTTTTTTTTTTTCTGTTGATATGTCTAACATACAACTACATACTGTCATTTTTGTTTGCTAGATTAGGGGTAAAAAATAGTATATTTGAGTTTTAGTAGTTTTTTATTATCCAAATGAATCCGATGATTAAAGAATTATGCAAATGCTGCTTTACAGCAACCACTTTTCTTTTGGTTTGAAAGTTAGTTAAGTCCAGGGTTCACTACATTATGAAGAGGAGAGGGTAAGCCCTGGAGTCTGCATTTATGTGCTGAAACACAAAATAAATCTATGTTGTTGTGCAGAATATTATTTGGTTGTGTGGAGAAATGTTATACCCGTGTATAGGCAGGCCAGAGTGGTTAACATGCTATTATGTCTTCATTCTTTTGTCACACTTTCTTTCCAGTTGTCTGTTGCTAAGCAACACAGTTTTCTTGACTTGTTATGGTTTTAGTGGCTTCTGTTGCAGTTACATCATTTGTTGGTCTTTTATTGAGGGGAATTGAGAATGCCTTTGAAATATGTCATAGTGATAAAAGAGCTATATGGCAGGGCAAATATAAGCAATTAGAAAAACAAGTTGGTTGGGGACCTGTTTTGGAAGGTAACATGAAATTTTCTGTGAAGAGAATTCAAACCATTTCCAAGAATTATGGCAAAAGATCTGCAGACAGACTGAGATGTATTGACAACTATGGCTGTATTCAGAATAGCAGACTAACAAGTCCACAGGTCAGATATGGCCCACTCACTTGAATATTTTCCAACGGGGAATCTAATCAGTGTCTATTAGTGGATTATGCGGCAAGCTTTTTAGTCGGTTGCCACATTTGGCCCGCAGACTAGTTAGTCCGCTGTTCTGACTGTAGCCTTTCAGGCCCGTAGCCAGCAATTTCAAAACGGGGGTTCTTTTTTTCAAAAAGCGGACCTTTTCCCATAAAAACTTCATGAACCTAGATCAAATTTTACACAGAGTGGACCTTTTCCCAGCAAAAGGGGCGGTTCTTTCGAACCTCCCGAACCCCTCCTGGCTACGGGCCTGCCTTTGTAAACCATTTGCACAGGACAGCATCTAATATAGCCACACTTGCTGGCAACATTTTAAAGTGGCAATTAATGCATTGTTGGTGCTTGTTTGTGTACAGAAGTGTATGTGTGCATGCATGTAGTATGAACCAAGCCTAGGGAGCTATATCACATCAGTGATTAACAAGATGTCAACAAATGTCACATTTAAAATATCAAGCAGAATACCAAGGTATAAATCTTGGCATTCGTGTTTTCTTTTAACACTAGTTTGTTTAAATATAAAAAAAATAAATTGCATATTTATAGAGCTAAGGAAGATTGCTCATTTGTTGGACTGTTTTTCTTTGGTTCTGTTTAATGGAGAGGTGTTGGAAAGGTCTGCAAACCAGAAACTAGCACTGTGCAATAAAACTAATGGCACAGAGCAGAGTATAGAAAGGATGACCACAACCCTATCAAGGCCAATACAGCTCCTTTGATGTGCCAGCCTGTAGAAGCAATTGATTTACTGGTGAATCTCAAATTAATTTTGATTAATTCTCATCAATCACAGGGCAAATAGATTGATACCAGGAAGGAGGCAAACTGCCTGTTACTGGCCAAGTTTTCCTTTGCCCTTCTCTTATATTTCCCCAAAGTATTTTGAGGGATAAGCCATTTTTAGCCTTCTATTATGAGTGGATTAGTTGGTTGTTATATAGATTTTCTTTGGGGAAATGGTTTGATTTTTTCTGCTGGGATTTGATTAATTGAGTTTAAAAGATCATGTGTTTCTTAAATCCAGTCTGTACACAATGTGGAATAAATGAACTTTTTGGTATTTTTCTTAAATCAGGAGGATGAAAGATTTGCATACTTGGTTTCAGTGCACTGTTGGGATTATATCAGAATGGCATGGTTGATAGAAATTCATGAGTTATTGACATGGGACTTACAATTAATGTCTTCCACAACATATCTGGCACCATGTTACATACCCAAGTTTTATTGATATATTTCAAATTACCCAGATTGCTTGCATTAGGATGATGATACTTTGAACCCTTAAAAACTAGTCATAAATTGGCTGTAAGCAGAGAAAGGTATCATCATGTATATTGACAAGTTGTGCATCCCAATGATATCCTCCATTATAGATCTGCCAAGCCTTGCCTGATGATAGCTTGTTAATCTCTGTGTGCATACATGCGATATGGGGATTTGAAAAAGCATTCTTCTGCTGGTAATGAGCAGCCAAGTTCTGAGCTTCTTTCAAACAGTTGCACTTTGAGTGACCTTCACAGGGAAATATCACAGAATAATTAACATAGTACCTAAGTGCTCCCACTACCTCCTAGGAGGAATAACTATTCTCTGGCAGCATTGGAAACTAACAAGTGCTTCCACTGGCACCCAGAATTCCATTGAGACACTGCAAGCCTACACTGTGCATGACAGAGAGTGGTTTCATTTTAAGGTTTGGCTCTGCACAGGCAGCTACAGAGACTGGTTTCATTCCTAGCAGAAACACATACTCTGAGAGTAAGAGCCAGCTACAGAAACTGGTTTCATATGTAGCTGACACACAGCACAGCCAACTACAGAGAGTGGTTTCATTTTTAGCTGACACACTTGCACAAGCAGCTCAGCTATAGAGACTGGTTTCATTTCTAAATGACAGGCTGCACAGCCAACTACAGAGACTGGTTTCATTTCTAGCAGAGATATATAAAAGCGTGTCACAGAGCCTCTAGGTTCCATATTTTGCCGAGACACTGCACAGACAGCTACAGAAGGTGGTCTCTAGGAGGATTTTTGAGAACTTGAGGATTATGCCTTACTGGTAAGCTGTTTATTTCCAAAGGCAGTGGGGTATATGTATTTGGGAGATACAAATTTTCAAGAAGCAAATTAAAAAAAAAAGAATTGTACATTGACTGAATATATGTAAACAAATTATTAAAGCAGAGAAGAATAAATCAGTATGATATTGCACGTAATTTGGCAAAATGACATCTGATGACTTTCCAAAGGTAAGCAATAATTTTTAAGGAAGTTGAATACCTGGCATAATTCCAACTTCACAACTTTTTAAGGTTTTGGAATTGTTTCTGAGACTGCAACCTTGTTCTGCTTTAATGCCATTATCATTGTAATACAGACATGGTGTGGAACAGTATCATAGTCAAGAATTTCCTGACTGGGTTGTGTGGTTTCCCAATGATATTCAGACTTAATTATTGAAAAATATATAGCAAAGAGAAGGACTGATATATCAGCTAGCTTTTTTTACATAGTATTATATAACAGTGTAATATATGTTCTACTTTTTTATACTGCGTGTTAGTTTTTAAGCCCTTCATTTCAACTTGTTATTTAAATTTGTTTTGAAGGACGACAATGTCATTGTTTTTAAGGTTTGTTCACTGTACAGTACAGTACAGTGCAGTTGAACTAAATAACCTGATTATATACAGTATTCTGCTAAGGTTGATTAAGTAGCAACTATTCTATTTAATACTGCATAATAGAGATTTTTAAAAATCTGATAACATGAATTGACAGCTTTTGAGACATATTTAAACACATTTAAATGACCTTTATCTCCTATTTACATACCTGCAAGTAATTAATCTATCAAAAACCTATAGACTGGTAGAGGCTCAAGACTGAATTCAATTCAGTAGTTTTTAGATAACCTAGTGGTGCAAAACTCAAAGAAAAAGAGTCAAAAAGTTGAGCCGATAAAAGCAGTCCCTGTGGTATAAAGTCTGTCAAATAAGGAAAAACTGGACTTGGTTGGTAATAACACTCAAAAGGTCACATTCACCGAAAAGGTCTCCTCTGTTATTGTTTAAGATTGTTTTTATCACAATCCTCTTATGTCTTAATAAGGATAGCATATGATGGATGTGTATAGTTTTTTTTTTTTTTTTTTTTTTTAAATATCCTGCAAAATACACTTCATTAAAAAGTCTCTTGGATGTTGTTAAAACCTTAAATAGCAATGCTCAGAAGACTGCCATCTGATAAATAAGTCCTAATTGGCAAGAATAACCTTGACTTAAGTTGAACAACAATTATTTATAGGCTGAAATTAATGCTTTACTATCAGTAATATTCATCTTTTCCTCCTTACTACGTCCTTAAATTTCTGTACTTAAATTTCAATAGGGCACTTCTTTACTTGTCTAGATATACATGTGACAAAGAGTTACTTTTATTTACAGGTTTCTAATGAAAGTTATAATAATGACGAACTTCATGAAATTCCAGGCATTGATATCCATATAATAGCACTGTTCTCATGATGACTATACATTCAGACCATCCATGTTATCGGCAAGTTGCCAGATTGATTTACGTATATCAGTGAAAACTTGATACTAACATCCAATGTGATTGCTCTAAAACCAGAAGATATATTCGATTGTGCTTCAATTATTTAAACGCTGATGATTTTGAGTGCAGTTGATTAATATATGCTCATCAATAACAGAGACAGTGATGAATTTACAGTAGTTTCAAATTTAGACTTCATCTAGACTAGGATAGAAGATAAATATTTTGGGTCCTAGATCTAGATGACATTGAGCACAGTAACTTGACCGATCAGGAGTCCTGGTCCTGGAGGGGAGAGTCGTGAATAAAGCCTGAGCTTATCTAAATCTAGGAATTAATGTGAAAGCTGATAAGTGAAGATCAAAAACTAATTGCTTATGCTGACGGACAGTCAAATTAAAGAAGGCTTGTCATTCAAAGTGTAGATGAATTTTTCTGCATTTACTTTTTCTGATGTCTTCCCTAAAGCTTCCCTATGACATTTGTAAATGAACACTTAAGATGTTACGTGGGCAAAAGCATATCCTTAATTTTTGTTTTTATGTACAGAGATTTCTAACTCCTTTTCATTGTGTAGGAATCAGTATCTTAAGACTTGAGACCACTGTGCAGTTATTTAGAGTAAAATGTTATTGATACAGTATCAGTTGTACATGTAGTTTGTATACCTTTCGATAAGTGGGAAGTAATGATCATATTTTATCAAAGGATTTATTCCTTACCTTGAATTTTTAGTTATATTTATTTGAAAAATTATTGCTTATTTTTATAAAAAATGTTGTTAACTGTAGCTTCATTGTGTGTACATAAACCTATACTGATTTAGCTGTTGCAAGCACCTAGGATCACTATAAATAATGGCAGAATGATAGTTAATCTGTATAATCCAGTATAAATGGTGATAAGATGGACAGCTTGTTAGAGTTATCAAAGGTTGCAGAGCTAATTGGCTAATTGAAGTACTGCAACATTTGAGACCTACCTAACAGAGTTTGATGAATCTCTATGGCATTATCTGAATTATACTGTTCTGCATTAGGAAGAGAGAGAATAATGAAGTATGTATGTGAGAGAGAGAGAGTGCATGTAGAAGGAAAAGTAGCTAAGAAAATGATGTTGGGAAAAATTACTGCAGCTTGCTCCTAAAAACCTGAGATGGATGAATGGAGGGATTCATTGTTTTTAGAAAGGGTTAACCCTGATATTGAAACAAAGTTTTGAGTAATTTATCTATTAAGCTGCCTTTACTATGATGAAATTTTTTATCATGTTTTTTATTAAGTTTTGCCACAAACTTTCTTTTTCTACTCTCTGTAGCTACTCTCGTCTGCTGGCCCAGCATCCCTATGTGGTGGTTATCCTGGGCTTTGTGGTGACAGCATCTTGCCTAGCAGTGGTAGTAACCATAGCAAATAAACCAAACTTCTCTGATCCCAAAGCAGTAAGATTTCTAACGAGTTTTATTATTTTATTTTTATATTTAGATTGCAATTTTAAATCTGGGAACTCTTATCAGTGTGTGCCAGATGTGTTCTATTCATGTACAGACACAGCTTTGCTGCCTTTCTTTTTTTAAGGTTAGACTTTGGAGGTGCCTGACATGAGGATTAAAAGATTGCCTTCTGTTTACAGGGCTTTGAGCCACGTGGTACAGAGATCAGTGCCCGTGCTATCAGTTGGCAGCAGTTAGTAGATGCCACAGGTCTGGATGCAGAGTCCACTCTCACTCCGTTTCCACGCCTCACAATACAAGACCCCAGCAGCCATTTTCATTCTGTAAGTGGAGGATATAAAAACACATCCCGCAGCAGGCGCTCAGGAAGGGACCATGGCCAAACATCCTCTCTGACCTTCTGTGATGACCCTAGTAAGTGACTGTCCCTGTCTCTTTTGTTTTATTGGGTGATGTTTGTTTGCTAAAAATTTAGTTTATTTTAAAGTCCAGTTGCTGGAATTATCTTTGAATATGTTGCCATCTGTCAGGTATATATGCTGCACAGAATGCTAAATTTGGAAGAAGTGATTAGAAAATTTATTTCCCATACCAAATAAAATTTACCTATATTCATAATTCCATGTATATTCCATGTATAAAAACAACAGTGAAAATGGAAATTTACAGCTTGTAGTGTTAATGGATTTGTGTGAATTATCAGCCCTTCTCCGGAAGTTTTCTGCCGACTGCTGGAGACAAGAGGCACCTCAAACAGGATGCTGTAGGAGACCAGCATCCGAACTCGATCAGATGTTAAGCCTTATTGTCATGTGCTATTATGTATAGATAAGCATTTACTTGAGATGCATCAAGCTCTTGTTTCATAAAATGTTGTCATTTCCTCTGACGTCCAGAAGTATTGTGTGAACATTGTGATTTCCCAGTCAGGTTAGTTTTAAGTTCCATAGAAGGTGCAGTTATCATTGCTATTAGAGAGTTGTGGCTTTACTTCAGGTTTCATAAATGGAAAATCTTTTTAAAGTGACAATGTGTAGGATTTAAAACTTATGTTAAGTACATAAACCACTTCTTTTTGTACTTGTCTGATGATAAGTAATGCTTTTTGATCCTATTTGAAGAGATAAAGGCCATGAATTAATGTCAGAAAAATAATCAAATAACCACATCCTGACAAACTTTGCCCCACACAAATATCTTGACACAATTATAAGCTACACGCAATCTGAAGTCATTGGGAGAATTGAATTTGAAGAGATGGCAAGATTTGAAAAAATTATTGCTTAATCTTGGGTTAAGGGCACTGACAGGGTTTATGATTGTCAAAATGCTGAAAATAAAGTTTTTCGTGCATCTAATGCATTTACCTTTTTTTCTGACTAAAACTAAAAAAAAATCCTCAGAAATATAAAATATTTATGTTTATATTTATTGTTGCTAAGCATAAGCATAGGCACCTCCAAGCTTTTATCATCAATTTAACACCTTTCTATCTTGAGGAGTAGAAGCATAAGCATATGCACCTCAGAGCTCTTATCGTCAATTTAACACCTTTCTATCTTGAAGAGAGATAGCAATCAGTATGGGGCATAACTCCATCCCTAATAAAGATTTTATCGCAAAAATTGCTATAGGTGATGGCATGTCTTAAAGGGATTCATTTCTTTGCCGTTATTTGGGAATAAATAAATAACAGAGTTATGAGCACTTTATTACTATGCACCATTGAACAAAGGCATTATTTTGCATTAGGCCACACTTTTTTATTTTTATGGATGACATCCTCTGGGGACCCCGAAATCGGTGCAAGAGGGCGAAAAAAAAAATACTGCTTAAGTAAAGGAATGCTGTCAGTACACAGCTGGAAACACAAATTTACCACAGAAACACGTATCAAACTAACAGTATGTCTTTATCCATGCTCTCAAAATATTAAGGCATTGTGAATACTTCATAGAATGGTAAAAAAAGTCATGAATAGATATGCTGCATATTACCAAATCTATTTAAGGTTATTTCATGCATTTTGCTGGTAAAGCAATCAATAAAACAAATATCAAACAAACAGTGTGCCTTTATTTGTACTCTCAGAATATTAAAGCATTATGAACATTTCACAGAAATGTTTAAAAAATGATGGAAAGATATGCTTAATACTACAAAATCTATTTAAGGTCATTTCCGTAGATGCCATTTTGTCTACTTCGACTCGCACGAAGCAGCCAAACTGTCGGGTGGCCTGTCCGACCTTCAGCCCTCCAAATACCTCGACGCCCTTGTCGACCCTTTTTCTCGCTACAAAAAAACCTGGTATGTGCTGCTTTGGACAGAATGTCACTGAAATGTTCCGGGCGATAATCGCTGGCCGCCGTCAGCCTTTCATATAATTGTAAAAAGGTGATATCTCCATGCCTAATAACAATGGCATACCAATCCAAAACGACAGCCCCCGTTCTCTTTATGATTTTAATTGTCGTGTAATTTGAAAGTAATCCTAGAGATGAATTTGACCAAAAAGCAGACATGTTTCAATGTGACGATAATAGGCATGCGCGGAAAGCTCATTTTCCGGCAAATTCAATAATGACGTTTGCGACAACCGACTTCGTTGGGACGTTGTTTTTTTTTTTTTTTTTTTTTCGGAGAACGAATGCAAATCGGTGCAGGCGCAGGATGTCATCCATAAAAATTAAAAAAGTGTGGCCTTATTTACAATAAAATCTGGACTACGGCTTTTAAGAAAAAAAATATGGCAATGTTTTGAAGTACTCGGTGGTGTCATTAAATGGGTGCTGAAACAGTGCTCCTGGGTGCTCAGGTAAAGGAGAAATATGAGAATCTAATTTTACTGTTTTTATCCTAAAATTATGATGTCATTGGAAAAATGACATTTATGTAAATGCAAAGGAATTTAGTCAGTGAACACTGAAGATTCATCTGTCATCCAAAACATATACATAAAGACAGTTCTTAAGGAGATTTTGTCTTACCCTGTCAGTATTCTTAATATCTTTTTTAAATTCCCTAGATTGTCACAGAGTTGTGGTGAGTATAAGGAAAGGTGACCATAAATAATTAGCTTTTATGGTAATATCTTTTATGTTGTATTCCTTTTCTCCTTTTTTTCATGGCATTGCACATATTTTCTTTGTGAGAAAGACTGGTAATATTACAATAATATTATTTTTGCTGGTTTATCCAAGCTGATGCCAGTTATAATGCCTACCGTATGATGACAAGGATTTGAAGATCTCGTTATGATAAATTGGTGACATTAGATTTATATGTAGATATGCTGTTTCCTTTTAAAGTATAACCTTATAGCTGTTCATGGGTTCATGCATATTTGAGAAAATTAATTAAATGCACTGCTACCGTTCCTTGTTGAAGTCAAGAAATCAGTTTAGTCCACGTAGATAGATCATCATTCTCTTATAGTGTTCTGCAACATTCCTTATTCAATTTATCTTACTTTATTTGATGGATGCTGCAGTTAGCCTCACCTGATAGATCATTGATAGATTGCCCAAGTTTTTACCTTGTTCCAGCCTAGTAATTTCTGAAAATAGTCCAGAAAAGTGTGTATTTTGGTACTGCTCTTTGTATTGGAGTCACAAACTGCACTTTTTGTGAAATGGATATAAAAGACAATTCAATATTTTGTTTTCCCAGGGCTCTTATCATTGCCTTGTCTCTCTCTTACTCAGCCTTGTCCATACAACCTGTCCTCACCCCTATTATGTCCCCCTTCCCCACCTGTGTCACCTTCATTCTCACATGTATCTCTACCCACACTCATCTGTAACTAACCCCTACCCATTCTCATCCAATTTCAATCTCACTTGTACGCACACCCACCCACTCTCACGCCATACCCACTTTCATCTGTATCCACACTCACCCATTCTCATATCCTACCCTCACTCATCTGTACTCACACCTTTCCATTCTTACTCCATACCAATGCCCATGCTCATTAGTACCCATAGTACCCATCCATTTTTATCTCCAGCATGCCATTATCTATGCCCAAGAACACTCTTTCTTGTCTTCATCTCTCACTCGTCGATATCCACACTCACCCATTCTTAGCCCCTAACCGCACTTATCCCATACCTATACTCATTCATACCCACCCATTCTTATCCTGTACCCACACCAATTAGTGAGTTAATAACAATGACTTAAGAGATATAGCACATATATGAACAAGCCACCCAGTACAGAATTGATGGATTTTTTCCCCATTGACAATTTGCCTGAACGTGATGGTATTGAAGCCCAACCGATTACAGCAGAATATAGAATTAGTGAGAGCGATAGGACTATTAAACAGCACAGAGGAGTGTTACATGTATCACACAAATATTCCATCAGACTCGTTGCTGAAATCATTGTGCACTGCTAGCAGTCATCAATACTCATTTATGAGCATTTCATATTTCAGAAGCCATTATGACTTTGGTTCTCATTTTATGTTTGACTTAGACCCCATTTCCAGAGATTAGATCGATCTACGTTAGATCGACCTAACTCCCTGGGGGTTCACGCTAAATAGCTGTCAGCCGAGCGGACAAGAAAGTTAATTACCCCCTTACAGCTTGTAGTAGGCGGGACGGACATTTAAGCCGGATTATCTGACAGTAATCTAGTGAGACCCCCCGCAGGGATAGATCGATCTAAAAGCTCTGGGAATACAGCCTTAATTTACTGAAACCTGGGAATGTATTGCTTTCAAGCCATTGCTTAACTAACCAAATTAAATCGATTTTATAATAGTATTTGTAAATAATTTTTAAAAATGTCCATGTACATGAATTGCAAAATTCTTTTATTTCAATTTGTACAATGGCAGCCTTGCTTTATCTTCTAAAAATGCAAATATAAATTAAATATAATTTTTTCCTCTGTTTTCAAGGGAAGGAGTACGCTCATTTTGCCTACCGCAGTGTATCAGGAGAGTCTCTGTTCACGTCTCACAGCATCCATGCCATGTGTCACCTGGAGGAGCACCTGGTTCAGCTCCAGGCCGACTTTGTCCACAACTGTGTCAAGCAAGACACCCAGGAGAAGGAGGAGGACTGCTGCTTCAGCTGGACCCTGGGGAATTATATTGCACTGCTCAGTGAAAAACCCTCCTGCTACGATGTGACCCAAGATGATATCATTGCAGTTCTGAGTACTCTCCAGAGGTGTGCTGGGTTCTTCAAGAACGCCACTCTGACCTCCGACTGTGCCAGCAGGCAAGAGCTCCACTGTCAGGACCTGCCACCCGAGTGCACTGCCAACAATGCCGTCTATCAACTTTTCCATTTTATTTTAGATAGAGACTTTTCGACAGCCATTCTACAAAACCAAAGTGAGATTCCAACATTGAAGTATGTCATGACTTTTCTCCCCGTAGCAAGAGGACCAAATCTGATGCAGTTGTATAAAAAGATGGAAAGATCAGAAACCTCTATGGGTGACGTGGAGGTGTTTGCTATAGATTTTGGCATCAAGTATGCCATGTTTGACAACTACTTGGTAACAGATACTCTCTACCTGGGTCTGGCATCCCTGGTGATCTTCCTGGTGCTATGGTTGTACACATCTTCAATTTTCATCACTTTCATGACTCTCATCACCATCATCATCACTCTCCTCATCTCATACTTCATCTATACTATTGTATTTGACATCCAGTTCTTCCCCTTCATGAACTTGCTGACTGTAGTGATACTTCTAGGCATAGGTGCCGATGATCTGCTCATCTACAGCAAAATATGGATCATGTCCAAATCTGAGAAAAATAATGGAACGCTGGAGAAGATAGTCAAAGACACACTGCATCATGCATCTGTGTCAATGTTTGTGACTAGTCTGACTACAGCGGGTGCTTTCTATGCAAGTTATGTCAGTAACATCACAGCTATCAGGTGTTTTGCCATCTATGCTGGAACATCAATTCTTATTGCATTTTTTCTCATGGTCACTATAATCCCAGCATGTATTGTTATTCATGAAAAATGGATGTCAGACTGTTGGTCTTGCTATGATCCCGATGCGTATATGCCCAAAAAGACAGTTTGTTATTATTTGTGCCGAATACCGTACAAAGTACATTATTTGATCACCGATTGGTCAAGAATATTTTTTGAAAAGCTTTTACCATGTATTGTTGTCAAGTTGCGCTATTTTTGGATTGTTATATTTACCGGATTTGGTATATGTGGTATTGTTGTGATTTTCTACAAACCAAAACTGCGGATACCCTCCACAGCAGAGTTTCATGTATTCTCTGCAGACAACCCAATGGAGATTTACGACACACACGTCAAACAGAAATTTTGGTTTGAAACATCAGACCTTAATCATATTTCAAACATGCCTTTAACATTTGTGTGGGGTGTTGTCCCAAAAGACAATGGGAACAGGCTAGATCCTCATGATANAGATCTTTATATGTCCATTTGACATGAAATCCCACACATATGATCACACTAATACAACTGTTACACCGGGGTAGGCGCAGGTGTAAACACTTCGGTCGAGGGGAGCTGGGGGGGGGGGGGTCTGGGACGTCCAACACAGGACTTAATGACCACAAGGGCCCCTAACATGTATGAGTAAAATATCGCAAGGGCAGTGTAGTAGCCAGAGGCCGTGGTTCAAGCCAGATACAACACTCGCCTGCGGCTCGACAATACACTCGCACCCCTGTATTTATTTCACGTACAGCTCTGCGACTCGTATTGTATCTATCACATACTAGCCTATTATAGTACAACATCTGTCAACTCTCTTCAATATGTCAATCACAAATTAAGCACTTAATTGTCAGTGTCAGATTTTCGCGGTATTGACTGTGAAGTCCGCACAAGGGTAGTAAAGACCATTGACATGAGCGCCATCCAGCGTCAAATCGAGTTTTGGCTTCTACTAGTTGCGTTTTGATGACTACTAGTCGTATTTTGCCGTCTGATCTGATAACGACGACGACTACTCGTGTTTTCAATTCGACTGATCTGATAACGACGACTACTAGTCGTGTAATGACGACGACTAATCATGTTTTCAATTTGACTGATCTGATAACGACGACGACTACTCGTGTAACGACAACGACTAATCGTGTTTTCAATTCGACTGATCTGATAACGACGACGACTAAACGTGTTTTGAATTTTTGTATAAACCGCCGCCCATACTACACGCAATCTGAAGTCATTGGGAGAATTGAATTTGAAGAGATGGCAAGATTTGAAAAAATTATTGCTTAATCTTGGGTTAAGGGCACTGACAGGGTTTATGATTGTCAAAATGCTGAAAATGAAGTTTTTCGTGCATCTAATGCATTTACCTTTTTTTCTGACTAAAACTAAAAAAAATCCTCAGAAATATAAAATATTTATGTTTATATTTATTGTTGCTAAGCATAAGCATAGGCACCTCCAAGCTTTTATCATCAATTTAACACCTTTCTATCTTGAGAAGTAGAAGCATAAGCATATGCACCTCAGAGCTCTTATCGTCAATTTAACACCTTTCTATCTTGAAGAGAGATAGCAATCAGTATGGGGCATAACTCCATCCCTAATAAAGATTTTATCGCAAAAATTGCTATAGGTGATGGCATGTCTTAAAGGGATTCATTTCTTTGCCGTTATTTGGGAATAAATGTTTTTGTAACAGAGTTTTGAGCACTTTATTACTATGCACCATTGAACAAAGGCATTATTTTGCATTAGGCCACACTTTTTTATTTTTATGGATGACATCCTCTGGGGACCCCGAAATCGGTGCAAGAGGGCGAAAAAAAAAATACTGCTTAAGTAAAGGAATGCTGTCAGTACACAGCTGGAAACACAAATTTACCACAGAAACACGTATCAAACTAACAGTATGTCTTTATCCATGCTCTCAAAATATTAAGGCATTGTGAATACTTCATAGAATGGTAAAAAAGTCATGAATAGCTATGCTGCATATTACCAAATCTATTTAAGGTTATTTCATGCATATTGCTGGTATAGCAATCAATAAAACAAATATCAAACAAACAGTGTGCCTTTATTTGTACTCTCAGAATATTAAAGCATTATGAACATTTCACAGAAATGTTTAAAAAATGACGCAAAGATATGCTTAATACTACCAAATCTATTAAAGGTCATTTCCGTAGATGCCATTTTGTCTACTTCGACTCGCTCGAAGAAGCCAAACTGTCGGGTGGCCTGTCCGACCTTCAGCCCACCAAATACCTCGACGCCCTTGTCGACCCTTTTTCTCGCTACAAAAAAACCTGGTATGAGCTGCTTTGGACAGAATGTCACTGAAATGTTCTGGGCGATAATCACTGGCCGCCGTCAGCCTTTCGTATAATTGTAAAAAGGTGATATCTCCATGCCTAATAACAATGGCATACCAATCCAAAACGAAAGCCCCTGTTCTCTTGTAATTTGAAAGTAATCCTAGAGATGAATTTGACCAAAAAGCGGACATGTTTCAATGTGACGGTAATATGCATGCGCGGAAAGCTCATTTTCTGGCAAATTCAATAATGACGTTTGCGACAACCGACTTCGTTGGGATGTTTTTTTTTTTTTTTTTTTTTTTTCGGAGAACGAATGCAAATCGGTGCAAGCGCAGGATGTCATCCATAAAAATTAAAAAAGTGTGGCCTTATTAACAATAAAATCTGGACTACGGCTTTTAAGAAAAAAAATATGGCAATGTTTTGAAGTACTCGGTGGTGTCATTAAATGGGTGTTAAAACAGTGCTCCTGGGTGCTCAGGTAAAGGAGAAATATGAGAATCTAATTTTACAGTTTTTATCCTAAAATTATGATGTCATTGGAAAAATGACATTTATGTAAATGCAAAGGAATTTAGTCAGTGAACACTGAAGATTCATCTGTCATCCAAAACATATACATAAAGACAGTTCTTAAGGAGATTTTGTCTTACCCTGTCAGTATTCTTAATATCTTTTTTAAATTCCCTAGATTGTCACAGAGTTGTGGTGAGTATAAGGAAAGGTGACCATAAATAATTAGCTTTTATGGTAATATCTTTTATGTTGTATTCCTTTCTCCTTTTTTTCATGGCATTGCACATATTTTCTTTGTGAGAAAGACTGGTAATATTACAATAATATTATTTTTGCTGGTTTATCCAAGAATTGGGTCGTGTGCGCTTGACAGCAGCCAGGCCTCACCTGAGCTCCAATCTTTTCAACAGTTTTAGACAGTTTGAATCAGAAATTTTACTGAACTTTTGACCAAGACATCTTATGAATATATGAAGGAAGTAGAGGAGAGCTTGATTTCTTTAATCATAAATGTGAAAGGTGTTTTTCTAGCACTTTTGTGAGACAGCTGAACCTGAGATTGAAGACAGACATCCTAGAAGACGAATACATGTCAACTTACAGTATGAAGTATACCAGCAACANTAAATTATTATTATTAATGCCAGTTATAATGCCTACCGTATGATGACAAGGATTTGACAAGGATATGTTTCCTTTTAAAGTATAACCTTATAGCTGTTCATGGGTTCATGCATATTTGAGAAAATTAATTAAATGCACTGCTACCGTTCCTTGTTGAAGTCAAGAAATCAGTTTAGTCCACGTAGATAGATCATCATTCTCTTATAGTGTTCTGCAACATTCCTTATTCAATTTATCTTACTTTATTTGATGGATGCTGCAGTTAGCCTCACCTGATAGATCATTGATAGATTGCCCAAGCTGTTACCTTGTTCCAGCCTAGTAATTTCTGAAAATAGTCCAGAAAAGTGTGTATTTTGGTACTGCTCTTTGTATTGGAGTCACAAACTGCACTTTTTGTGAAATGGATATAAAAGACAATTCAATATTTTGTTTTCCCAGGGCTCTTATCATTGCCTTGTCTCTCTCTTACTCAGCCTTGTCCATACAACCTGTCCTCACCCCTATTATGTCCCCCTTCCCCACCTGTGTCACCTTCATTATCACATGTATCTCTACCCACACTCGTCTGTAACTAACCCCTACTCATTCTCATCCAATTTCAATCTCACCTGTACGCACACCCACCCACCCACTCTCACGCCATACCCACATTTCTGTCTCATATCCTACCCTCACTCATCTGCACTCACACCTTTCCATTCTTACTCTATACCAATGCCCATGCTCATTAGTACCCATAGTACCCATCCATTTTTATCTCCAGCATGCCATTATCTATGCCCAAGAACACCCTTTCTTGTCTTCATCTCTCACTCGTCGATATCCACACTCACCCATTCTTAGCCCCTAACCGCACTTATCCCATACCTATACTCATTCATACCCACCCATTCTTATCCTGTACCCACACCAATTAGTGAGTTAATAACAATGACTTAAGAGATATAGCACATATATGAACAAGCCACCCAGTACAGAATTGATGGATTTTTTCCCCATTGACAATTTGCCTGAACGTGATGGTATTGAAGCCCAACCGATTACAGTAGACTATAGAATTAGTGAGAGCGATAGGACTATTAAACAGCACAGAGGAGTGTTACATGTATCACACAAATATTCCATCAGACTCGTTGCTGAAATCATTGTGCACTGCTAGCAGTCATCAATACTCATTTATGAGCATTTCATATTTCAGAAGCCATTATGACTTTGGTTCTCAATTTTTGTTTGACTTAGACCCCATTTCCAGAGATTAGATCGATCTACTTTAGATCGACCTAACTCCCTGGGGGTTCACGCTAAATAGCTGTCAGCCGAGATGACACGAAAGTTGATTACCCCCTTACAGCTTGTAGTAGGCGGGACGAACATTTAAGCCGGATTATCTGACAGTAATCTAGTGAGACCCCCCACGGGGATAGATCGATCTAAAAGCTCTGGGAATACAGCCTTAATTTACTGAAACCTGGGAATGTATTGCTTTCAAGCCATTGCTTAACTAACCAAATTAAATCGATTTTATAATAGTATTTGTAAATAATTTTTAAAAATGTCCATGTGCATGAATTGCAAAATTCTTTTAATTCAATTTGTACAATGGCAGCCTTGCTTTATCTTCTAAAAATGCAAATATAAATTAAATATAATTTTTTCCTCTGTTTTCAAGGGAAGGAGTACGCTCATTTTGCCTACCGCAGTGTATCAGGAGAGTCTCTGTTCACGTCTCACAGCATCCATGCCATGTGTCACCTGGAGGAGCACCTGGTTCAGCTCCAGGCCGACTTTGTCCACAACTGTGTCAAGCAAGACACCCAGGAGAAGGAGGAGGACTGCTGCTTCAGCTGGACCCTGGGGAATTATATTGCACTGCTCAGTGAAAAACCCTCCTGCTACGATGTGACCCAAGATGATATTATTACAGTTCTGAGCACTCTCCAGAGGTGTGCCGGGTTCTTCAAGAACGCCACTCTGACCTCCGACTGTGCCAGCAGGCAAGAGCTCCACTGTCAGGACCTGCCACCAGAATGCACTGCCAACAATGCCGTCTATCAACTTTTCCATTTTATTTTAGATAGAGACTTTTCGACAGCCATTCTACAAAACCAAAGTGAGATTCCAACATTGAAGTATGTCATGACTTTTCTCCCCGTTGCGAGAGGACCAAATCTGATGCAGTTGTATAAAAAGATGGAAAGATCAGAAACCTCTATGGGTGACGTGGAGGTGTTTGCTATAGATTTTGGCATCAAGTATGCCATGTTTGACAACTACTTGGTAACAGATACTCTCTACCTGGGTCTGGCATCCCTGGTGATCTTCCTGGTGCTATGGTTGTACACATCTTCAATTTTCATCACTTTCATGACTCTCATCACCATCATCATCACTCTCCTCATCTCATACTTCATCTATACTATTGTATTTGACATCCAGTTCTTCCCCTTCATGAACTTGCTGACTGTAGTGATACTTCTAGGCATAGGTGCCGATGATCTGCTCATCTACAGCAAAATATGGATCATGTCCAAATCTGAGAAAAATAATGGAACGCTGGAGAAGATAGTCAAAGACACGCTGCATCATGCATCTGTGTCAATGTTTGTGACTAGTCTGACTACAGCGGGTGCTTTCTATGCAAGTTATGTCAGTAACATCACAGCTATCAGGTGTTTTGCCATCTATGCTGGAACATCAATTCTTATTGCATTTTTTCTCATGGTCACTATAATCCCAGCATGTATTGTTATTCATGAAAAATGGATGTCAGACTGTTGGTCTTGCTATGATCCCGATGCGTATATGCCCAAAAAGACAGTTTGTTATTATTTGTGTCGAATACCGTACAAAGTACATTATTTGATCACAGATTGGTCAAGAATATTTTTTGAGAAGCTTTTACCATGTATTGTTGTCAAGTTGCGCTATTTTTGGATTGTTATATTTACCGGATTTGGTATTTGTGGTATTGTTGTGATTTTCTACAAACCAAAACTGCGGATACCCTCCACAGCAGAGTTTCATGTATTCTCTGCAGACAACCCAATGGAGATTTACGACACACATGTCAAACAGCAATTTTGGTTTGAAACATCAGACCTTAATCACATTTCAAACATGCCTTTAACATTTGTGTGGGGTGTTGTCCCAAAAGACAATGGGAACCGACTAGATCCTCATGACAGAGGCTCCCTTGAATATGACAAAACTTTTAACCCAGCTACTCCTGTTGCTCAAAGATGGCTGCTCCAATTCTGTAGGAAGCTGAGGGAGACCACATTCTACCAGGGGTTTGGCTTTGAGATAATGAATTGCTTTAGTGAACAGTTCCATGGGCAGTTGTTCATGGAGAGACCTTGTACTGGAGACCTGGGTGAGAGCCATGTTCCTTGCTGTAGTGAAACCATATTCCCTTATCCAGATGAGGTGTACATCGACTGTGTCAACCAGTACATGGACACAATGAGAGGAGATCCAGTTTACTCTCGCCTCTACAGCAAAGCTGTCCCTGGACCCAGATATGAAAAGGGCAACCCTCGAATGAAGGCATTAATCATCGAATTCAATGGAAACACACCTTATTCATTTTCATACTCTTCTATCAATAGTTTTTATAACAATGTTTCTGACTGGTTCAGAAAACAGATGGAGTCTGCTCCTGTAGAAATGAGTGGAGGGTATTTTACCAGTGACTTACAGTTTTATGATCTTCAGGACAGTTTGTCCAATGGTATACCGAAGACTTTAATTATATCTCTCTCAATAGCAACTGCTGTGATGTTTCTTACTACACTTAATATACTGATCACTGTTTATGCTTTGATTAGCATTATATGGACCATCTCCATGAGCCTGGGAATCCTGGTTCTTCTGGGGTGGGAGCTGAATATATTAGAATCTCTTACAGTATCTATAGCTGTGGGTTTATCAATAGACTATACCCTTCACTATGGGGTGTCCTACAGACTGGCAGGCGAGATGGAGAGGGAGTTGAGAGTAGTTTACTCTCTGGCACAGATGGGTCCTCCTCTCTCCATGGCCGCCTGCACCAGTTTCCTGGCTGGAGGCTTGATGCTGCCCTCCACTGTCCTGGCATACAAGCAGATAGGAACCTTTCTCATGGTGATCATGTCCTCCAGCTGGTTGTGCTCAACCCTTTTCTTCCAGTCAGTATTGCGTGCCGTAGGTCCACAGGGAAACTTTGGTCAGTTCCGCTGTCCAGATGTCCAGTGCTGCAGCTCGGGAATACCACATCCTCAGCACAAAGACAAGACCCGTTATCTTCAGGTAGGCTCTCCACAGCACTCCAGCACCAATCCTACTAGTACCTCAGAGACCCATGAGATGGAGCCACTTACATGGAAGAGTCATCAATCCCAGCATGCACCCAGTCCTCGCCTAGCAACACACACCTCTACAGGCTACATTAGCCCCAAGTTACTCACTGTGAAACAGTGCCAGGAGCAAGCAGCCGGGAGGGTAGCAAGGAGTCGACGAACCATGGATGATGATAAAAATGGAAAGAAGGCCTATAGTATAAATAAAAATTTACTTATTCAGACAAACTCACCAAAACCAAAGATTAGTGTTAAAGTGTTGAATCCAAACGGTTCTTTTGAGACTAGAGTTCAGGACAGTGTTTGATGTCTATTAAATGTATCACACTGAAAATAATAATGTTAATACTCAGGAAAAGGCTGTTTTATTTGATCATAACCAGTCATTCTCTACTTTCATGTGTTAAAAAGATGACTATTCAAGGGATTTCTTTTGTATTGCGATAGCTTTAAAAAGTAGAGTATTGCTTACCATTGAAGTGAGTTGCAATAATAATGATGAAAGGCTTCTTATTCCACATTTTACTTGAGGTGTTCAGTCTGTTTTATAGTTACCTTACAGAAAGTTATGTAGAATAATGAATCCTGCATGTAGGAAGAATAGAAGGTAATTGGCCATTACCTATTATTGCACCCATCCCAGAGAAGATAAGTTTTTATTTAAAAACATGAAAAAAATCATGGTTTAGATATTTTGATTTTTTCATTTTGTAATCTTGAATTTCGCCAAAAATGTTATTTTCAGTATGTATTAACCAAAGGATGGACATTGTACCTTGTGCCATTACTAAGGAATATAGCATACTGTTTGTGCTTTATTCATTTTTAAGTAGTATAAGATTAACAATTGATCTGCTGCAAATGCCATGTCATAAATTATGAAGAATTGTTAGTTCTTGGGTAGGTTTTGTAGTTTTTCTAACTGTATTATGATTATTTAACAGTTAGAACCATTTGTAATCAGCTGGCCTGAGTAAAGACTTTAAGTGCTTTTTAAAAATGTTTATCAAAACCATAAGAAAGTTACATTTATCAACCGACAGGCCTTTTTTTTTCACAAGGAAGGTATTTTAGCCTATATTTTATGCCCAGCCTTTATTACTGGATAACAGTATTTTTAAGTTGATAATCTTAAACTTACAAGCCTTAAAAAGGATAATACGTCTATTTATTACTGTGGTACATGTAGTAATGATAGCAGTGCTGATACCTTATTGGCTTGTGGCGTTCCATGATGGCAATACCACATGAAATATAAACTTAATCAAATTTGATCATGTGGCTTCTGTCTGTCAAAAAATTTTATATAGTTGTTAAAAATTTTAAAAGGAATTAAAATGTGTTTATAACAAACTGAAAAATAGAAAATTGGCATGTTATGGATTTCAGTTTGTCTCCATACGCCAAAAACTAAATAGACTGGTGGTGTTGGTAATATTTTGTTCATTGACCAATTATCTAAGAAGAAAACTGCATAATTGGCACACTGAAACGAAAACCCATTTTACTCAACTCTTTGCGGTCAGTTTTGTTACACACACAAAAAAAAAGAAAAAACCATGAGGACATCCGTTTATTATGATTCATTCTTTTATTTGACATAAGGCTATATAAACTGTGCAACATCTGCAATAGAATATATCACATTCAGCGCTGTGGTTCATGCAGATAGGGTGAGGCTTTCATGTTGATTACGTATGTGTACAGCTGCTATCACAGGAAGTTTGACCATAAAAATATACTGATAGATTAATATGATAAGTCTGATAATGATTACCTATAATGGTACTCTGATTGAACTCTTTTAAGATTGAAATCCCCGCCTTGATCTAAAAACCAATTTAACCAGGGGAATTTTTTTAGCCAACATATTCATCACTCGAGATGAAGAAGTATAATAGCCACTACATCTTTATTCATCAAAGTAATAATGAAGTTCTAAATGCTAAGAATAATGGCAAGATGGCGTGTAAAAAAATCTTCTGCGCCTCCAAATATAATTGTTTAAACTTCAGCAATTACCAGTTGTCTTTTTTGTGGCATCTGAGTGCCTGTGCCATTAAAGCTTTAGAGTCATAACTTCGTAATCTGCCAGGGAAAGAAACCTAGTGAAAGCACTGGGAACTAATCAATTTCCTTGGGCTTCAGTGACAGGACACTGGGAAACCAGACGCAGCGTTCTGGCGTAATGCCTCTTTTAACTTGTAAGCTTACCACAAAATTACTTGGTTACAAAGAGTGTTTTTTCTAAGGTTTGAGAACAAATAATCTCAACTCCAAAGTGGTGGGCTTTGTCCAGTGTCTGGGGATGATACTTTATATTAAATAATTAACTCTTTATGTTTAGCAAACGATGTTATATCAGTATATCTGGTACGTTTATAAACACTACGTAGAAATGTTGTTATTACAATTTTCAAGTTTTACCATCTCTGCGCAATCGTTATGAAACTAATGGATCTTTTTTTGCTTTGTGAAACTATTTGCTATTTTTACATTAATTCCTGCGGCTGGCATAGCTTCAATATTTTGCTCTACAATGGTTTTTGCGTCGTCTAAAAGTAATATGTCACAGGCATGAGGTCCATCTGTGGGTTCCACAGAGATTACAAAACAGCCAGTCAGTATTACGCTTCTATAGTGGTCCCTGCGGTAACCAGGCTAGCATTGGCGGTGTTGTTGCTGTATCTGTTTCTCTGTTATCATCATCTGGCTGATAGGTACACTTTACCTATTAAGACATAAATAGAGACGGTGTCAATAAAATGTGTATCCGCTCTCAAACTTGGCGTCCCATTATTCGCTAACATTAATAATCTGCCCTAGCTAATTAGAATAAATAACAGTTGATCAATTAGAGAGGATTGCTATTGATTTTACGTCAGCTCTTTTCCCAAGAAACCTCTAGGGCAAAGTCATTATAAGACCAAAATGATAACGCAAATAGCTGACAAGCAAAATGAAAACGGATCCATTACAAAAAAAGGAGTAATTTTGTAAGTGATGCTAACGTGGCCAGCGGCAAATTTGGCCTGACAAGTATCATACACTTCATTAGAGAACAGTTAGAACAATTTTTCATAATGAATCATGTGCAAATATGGAGTGTCCAGAATCTTGCTTGTCAAAATTAATTTTCAAGCGTGCGTTAACCAGCATCTACGGATCAAAGGTGATTAAAATATACACGCACTGCAAATTGAAACAAACGCACGCGCGTGGAAAGCATTTTTCAATGTGCCTGTTTTGAACAATGTCGCCACTTAGATGGCTGCTACTGTTCCAAATACAACCACATTTTCTTTTATCTGGGAGGCAATTGGCTATGATATGTAGAAAATAACGTAAAACAAAAAATACTCACCGGATTGTAACTCTGGTTTTATGTAATCGGCAGACGCTGTCGTTTCAAAATTTGTGCCTGTAGGAAAAATTACCAGTTAAATCTAGCTTATAAACTGTTTTATATTACTGATGTGTGACAAAGGAATGTAACTTTGCAAAAATACTGCTTTTGGAAAAATGATTTTAACAATGAGAACCAATACTCTTACTTTCTCAGGCTGAGAAACTCATTACTGACAGAAAGCAATTGCACTAGTTGATAAAGCATGATTTGAAAACATATCTTAATTATGTGCAACACGCAATGCAAAAATAAGGTAGGCCTTAAGAGTTCAAATAAGCCAATCTGAAATATCAGCAATGGCGTAGATGACAATGCATTGTATAGTGAAGCACGAAATGCATTATTTCCATGCGTTTTTTCCTTTCAATTTAACAGGGCTGTCCAATCCCCAGAAACAGACAATTCATCGTTCAGTTGGAGATATGCTGAAATGCATGTGACACACGTATATGCCAAAGCTTCATCAGATTTTTTTTCAAATTGACGCATGTAATCGCCTGTTGCTTACGTTTGGTGTTATCCAAGTGGAAGAAGTGTGTTTTTTCAATCGGCTTTTGGCTGAGCTTTTCATCTTGTTTTAACATCACTTTCTGGGGATCTGTAAATCTAAAAAAATATTTGATTAGCAACCTTTCCCTACCATCATAAATTTAACGTACGTCCTTGCGTGCGTGGTTATCAACACAGCATTAGGGTGTTGACACAAAGGTAAAGCTTGCAAATACATAAATAAATAAATAAACAAATACAATCACACGCTATAACTTCATTGCAGTACTCGAGTTTCACGTTAGTGATCTTCGTGTTGTACATTAATGTAAATAACAACTGCCAGGTTGCGTGTAATACAGTAGGCACTTACTCTCTGAATCGCAGAGGGACGTAGTCATTCTTCATAATGGAAGCATGGTGAACTGGCAAGGCTGGAAGAGATCTTGTGACGTAATTCTGTTTGGCTACGACACCTTCAAACTTGCTGGTTCTGAAGGGATCGGGTAAAAAGTCTTCTTGGTTGGCGCTAATTTTAACGTGTTCAAATCTGAATGGAGCTATTTTCTCCGCTTTTCCAGCGGGGGCAACACCGAAATCTAACTTGGGTCTCCCGGAGTATTCGATTTCTGTGACAGTCTTCGGTTTTTGGAATTCAGATCCTAGAGTAAAGTGAGCGATGTGTCCATCCTCTACGCGTTTCTTACACTGGTCATCTTTCCACCTGCGCCTTTCTACGGATTCCTCTGGTCCCATGAACAGCGTCTTGAAATTGTCCTATAAAAACAGGTGGTAACTACTCATTGACTTTCTTTAAAATAATTTGCATTCATAGATTTACATAGAAAACGGATGGTAAAGACAAAAAATGTGCTTATATTAAACACGATGAATAACAAAAATTCAGCATTTAATGTGCAAATGAAGTTGTTCCCAAAGCAGTGTTTGCCGATTGTGCTCTGGACATCTAAAGCAATCGGTACCGCGCGGCTATCATTCATCTTACAAAATGAGTCCATTGTGTTTCAGGGCATCTATTGGTAGCATGTCACAAGGAAGGGGATGTGACGAGTTTGTGGATTTCTCCGCCTCTTACAGATTCATTTAAAACCAAATCTCTTTCATTTACCATTTTAAAGGTTTTACCTGTTTTTCTGTTTTCTTATTTTGATCTGGCTGGTAGGGCAGTGCAGCGTCTGTTATCAAGTGGTTCCAGGGGTTCACATACCCTTTCCTAGGCTCCAGGGCTTGGAAGAAGGAGGGTGGGCCGCGATAGTCATCACTGAACACTGAAACCACAGATATATTAAAACCTCTGAGTAATGGCACAGTAAGTGTCCATTGGTGATCATTCATTTTCCAGCTTTCATGGACCAGGAGAAACACTTGAAAAGCAACGTTTTATCAAGAAAAATAATTTTTTCAATCGGCGGGTTTAAAGTTTTACAACAATGAGTTTAGTAAAAGCTGTAGGATAGATCACGACCTCTGCAATGTAATCGGCACATAGCACTAAAATAGACTTACGTGACTGCTGCCTGTGCGCTGTAGACCAGCTAGGATCGTAAGAGAAACTGAGATTGTGACCATGCCGCTTGCTCTTGTTAAGGCGGATCTGTCTACTTCTCTCTTCCATCTGAAGTTAATAAGTGTTTTATATGTCAATTTTACAAAGGTTCGACTTACAGCTTAAGCTGCCATGAACGGAAAACTGCCAGAGAAGTCGTATTTGTCATTTATGTTAGCAATCTAAACATTAATTCAGCTTTTTACAATTAGGCCCCTACGTGCAATTGGAGATTTTTTTCACAATAGAATACCTAAAATTAAAATTAATTTGTTTTTAAGATAAGTTTTTTATCAGTCATTTTCACAGAGATTCGACTTACAGATTTAGTTGCCAAGAACGGAACACTGCCAGAGAAGTCGTCTTTGTTTGTTGTCCGGAACCAATCAGATGGGTCTCTGTGGTAAACCTGAAATAAAATTACTTTTTCTATGAAGTTGGTCTACCTCACAACTTATATGTCCAAACCTCCACCAGCATCATGTTGGTTAATATGCAACACCGATGGCATGTTACATTTGGCGAGTGAACGGAAAACAAGGTATGCTTATATCAAAATGAATAATAACAAATTACATGGTATTTACAACTGATAAAAATAACAATGTGCTGTACTATAGGATTGTTTTAAAAAGTTCACAGAGAGCAAATAAATAGGGATTACTTTCACAATCATCAAAAATTCTTACGTCTGAATCGGCCGGAGCACCAATGTGAGCGGGCTTGTTGAGTTTATTCTTTGTACCGGGCATGAAGTCTTTGGTGTACACGGAGTCAAACTTGCCGTCGTCTGTCCCAAACTGAAAGATGTACGTCAACATGAGGATATATATAATATAACTGATAACAAAATTGTATAAACGCATGGAGTTTTTAATTAAGCTTTATAATAAACGTAAAGAAAGACATTAAAAGGGTTTATTAATTTCCAACTTTATTACCTTGAAGTGAGCCTTGGTGTGGTACCTTGTGCCTTCGGCTGCATCTTAAAAAGAGAAATTTTTATACATGAAAATGATGAACGGTGAAAAAAAATCGAAAGAAACTGTATGTGTCTTAAAGACTATATTAACGTAATAAACTCGTCCTACTGACCAAAATGTTGCGCTACTTGAATGATAGAACAGCATAACAAAATCATGTCGATTTAAGATCTGTAAAAGAGAATTTGTAAATCAACTGCTACAATGAAAGATTGTTGAGAATGCAAAAGAATATTACAATCTGAGTTTTCCCTGTCAGATGCATGTACTCTCTTTATTAGACTTCTGAAAACTCAAAAACTTTCCCTTTTTTATAAAAACATAAGATAAATTTTCATGCATAATATAATACACGCATTAGTTAAAAAAAGAAAGAGAACACTCAATCTGTGTTGCAACAGCATGCATAAATGAGAGAAACTCTGCAATTGCTTTAACTATGGGTGATTATATCTGAACTCAACAACCGCAATGAACGCACTCTCCACACTACTCACTGTTGGGGATAGTTTGTACAAAGAACAAGTCCCATGGATCAGGATGGCTAGAAGAAACTACCAAACAAGCCACTGGTTAGTGATCTAATTATCTATTTAAACGGGCATGCTGTATATGTTAGTAAAGGATGGATGCACTGTCCAGGAGTTATATGCAAAGTGAAATATCTTCATTATATTGTTAGTTATTACATACATGCATGCACATTGCACTCTAACTACTAAAGCTTATTCTCACCTCCCGTGCCGTTGTGGCTCTCCATAGCTTCCTTAATGATTTTGGGTAATTTCTTCTTCTCCTCGTCTTCTTCCTCTTCATTACTATCCTTAAGGGCCTTGTCCTGTTCTTCGCGGCTGGATCTGAAATGAAACAAGGCATCTTGAAACAAAAGACAAAAACATATTTCAGGAGACTAAATGTACTTGCACTTATTTTACTTCATCAGTTTATGTGACATCAGAAAAGATTTCGTCACGTCGTTTTGCATGACGCAGTGGTACGTCACCTTTTGTTACGTGACACTACTCTTTCGTAAACGTTACGTTTCCGATTCAATATTCAAAATGCGCACAATGCTATATTTATCATTTCTATATTCGGTAAACACGACCACACCTACCTCATAATTGCCGCCATAGGGAATCGCACTGTGATGGGAATCTTGTCCGTCTTGTCGTAATCAACACTAAACGTACTGGCCATACTTTGTTCTGAAATAGTAATACGACTTAAAAGCCTACTCTGAAACAATAGCTTTTTATAGCTTTTGATGATTTAGGCCCTATCATTATTCAAAGCGAAACAGTGCCCCCCTTTTACTCGTGTAATACCATATATTCCGTCTTATTATCTCACTGTCTGTATTAATTTCCCATTATTGCTCTCCATCTTTATCCTTGCACATGCAAAATATCTTTATCTCGTTTTAGTATCCTCTCCTTGTCAATGAAATCACTTATCCCCATACTTACTTATCCCGTTTTAGTATCCATATCCCCTCCTTCCATTCATCCCTAATATACATACTTATCACGTTATAGAATCCATATCCCCTCCTTCCATTCATCCCCATATTCTTACTTATCCCGCTTTAGTATCGATATCCCCTCCTTTCATTCATCCCTAATACCAGTACACTTACGTATCCCGTTATAGTCCCCTCCTCTAAAGACATGCGATGACCTCTCCATGTCCTTCATCATCTTGGTCACTTGTTTGGCCTCCTCCAGCTTAGCGGTCAGTCCCCCACTGGACCCTGGTCTTTTCTTTCCTTGGGATATGCCGTAGGCATACTCAGTCTCTGATTCAAGGCTATGAATGAAAATATAAATGTGTCATAGGCTGCGATAATCATTCCAAAGCCATTTATGCTGATATAAAAATGTGTCTATTATTTGATAAAAGTGTAGCATTTCTTAAATTAAAAAAAAAAAAAATACGACCATTTTGATCTCTTTTTAATACATCAGATTTTCTTCCACTTTAATAATAAAATGATTTTCTTACTTTGGCTGATCGCACCCCAAGTCCACGTGCACACCTCTCAGAGGTTTGGTTTTCTCCATGTTGATCGGAAGCTGCATCTTGGAAGTATCAAGTCGAGGAAATGTTGGGGCTCGAGGAGTAACAAACTACCAAAGTGAAATATTTTCGGTTATATTTAGCATAGAAAAATAGTACTATTTGTAGTATATATGATTACTCAGCAATTAGGCCTATATTTGTCCATCGTTCTATTCAACCATAACGCTTTAGAAATGCCAGTTTATGAAATTGATAAGGCAAGTCTTAACTAAACGCAATAATTGTTTGATTTTAAAGTATTCACCTGGTCGTTTTTGTACATATTGGTGTATTCCGAGTTGCCTACAGATCTGTCCGTCATAAACTGGGGAGCCATGTCCGGCCAGTTCACTGTTCTGTCTTCCACGTGGACGTGCGGCTGAAAACGAAATGTAGAAAATGCACGAAAGTCAATTTGAAGTATTATTCATTCCATTTATTTTCCCCAAAAAAAACTAAATCAAACTGTTTCAGATTTAATCTTGATTAATGAAATGGAAAAGAATGCGTAGACAGTGAACTGATCTGACGGGAATAAAGGTTGTTTTTTACCTTTTCCACGGGCTTCTCGGAGTAATCCTCTCGGACAGTCGACTCACGGTAAGTATAACTGGGCAGAGTGGTCCCGCTCTCATTCCCGAGTTTAAAGTGGGTCAAGTTCTGTTTTGAAAAAAAAAGAAAGAAAAAAATGTTATCGCATGGTTAGAAATAAAGGTATGCTTGATTGCTCATAAGTTTCTACGAACAGACGAAGATTAAGCTTTTCGGCATTCCTTAATTGTGGAGGGGAGGGATCTGAATCGCAGTGCGACAACAAAGCAACTTTGTATTTCAAGACGGATTTGAGAATTTTGGACTTATGAAACTAAAAAGGGTTATTTAGAGTGCTCAAATAAACTCTAAATAAATCGACTCTGTTTGTACAGTCTAATAGGAACACTTTAAATAGCCATTAATTATAGTACAATAAACGTGATTCCGTGCTTCACTAGAAAGAAACAATTTAATGAGATGGGAGTGAGTGAGAGTTCCTACCTGAAGATTTGTTCCTTCATACTGCTTTCCTACTTTTGCTGGTCTCTGGCCCTGTGAGAAGAACAAATGATACAATTTTTAAAACAGTTTTCAAGTTGATTCAATCTAACCATGCTGCTGTCAAAACTTTTTCACGTACCCATGCATAGCGCTCAGACCACAGAGCTGAATCGGGTGCGATCAAAATAAACTCCTGGCTTAAAATACTGTAATTTCCGCCAGGGAATAATTTCCACCCGTACGTCCTTTCACACAATCGTGTCTGCCACACACATTGCGTTGGAGAATAATAAAAGGGAAAATCTTTAGTGTTAGGTTCAGGCCCAAAGAGTTTCAGTATTTAAATATGTATAGGGCTCATATTTGACCTTTGTTTGTCAATCGGGTAAGGAAGAGAAATCGACTGATCTATTGATCGCCCGTTTTTGTACGTTAAGGATTACTGTGCAACTCTGGAGGCGATTAATGATTTTTGCTGTTTGCAGAAAGATTTGATACACTCAGACATATTGTCATTGACTACTTGGTAAATATAACCCACGTTCCGTAGGTCAGTCAATAACGTGTTAACATCCTGATTAACTTTTAAATAGACACTATCGTTATTTTATTTCTTTTCGTGAATATCTGGAGCCTTTCTTAGATCCACTTAATACTGATCTTATTCAAGATGAAAACCACCATCTGATAAATATCCCTCGATGCCAACTTAAATTAAATTTTTACCAACACTCTGCCATTACTGATGTATTTTATGTATCATTAAATAACTTATACAATTTCAGAAGACAGTACGTACTTTTATATATTCTATAAAGCACCTTTTAAAATTAATATCGTTGTTTTTTTCATCCTATTTGATTGTTGCCCATTAAGTAGATGCTCATATTTTATATCTTATTTCATTCATTAATGCATTTTATCTAATAAAACTGCGAGAACAGTTACTCAATGACTTTCTCGTCAACGGCAGCAAAGATTGGTGGTCTTTGTGTGCCACAGTGAAATTTATAATGCATTGTAACAGTCCTTCCCCTATTGTTAATTAGAACTGAAAAGATGCAATTCATCAATGCTTAGAAAGATTAAACCCAAAGAGTGAAAAGAGTGAATTAAACTATAAACATGGCTGAATAAACTTTACACTACCCCTAGCGTTCAAGGGTCGGGAGGGTGTGTTGCTGAGGCACATAACTTTTGGCACTAGCGTCTCGAAGACGGTCCTCCCGGTTTGTATACCAGGGCCTGGCAATAACTCTGAAGTTTCTCTCACATAGATTTCAAAGCTCTAAAGGCACTGCTTGCTCTACCCAAAGTAGTTCAACGATTATGAGCGTGTCAGAATAAAGATTAAACTAGCACTTGGCAATGTCTGAAGGGCAAGGGAGAGATCAAGTGCATGGTGTACGTCTGGCGATAAAGATTAATTCGGAACACAAGGTTTGGTTGTTGTTACGAAATACGATAGTCGCTGGGAGAAGATTTTTCAACTTCACTTTACGAAATAAATCTGGCAAATTGCTTTTAGTCTTTGTAAATATCGAAGTGTTTTACTTGTTTAAAAACAAAATCCCAGACTGCGCTGTTTAATTTCAGCTATATGAAAGTTCTGTTGATAAAATTATTTCTCCTTTGTCATATCATACATAACTAAAATATTACTAATGTATCAGAATTAACTCTATAAACGTACTATACGACGATTTTCTATGGTTACTTTTTATTAATTGTGAGGAGTGATTGTGACGTCGCACAATGTCATAGTAGCCTACTAGTACGAAAGTAACAGGTAAATTTCGCATGTTACCTACCGAATAATCCCGCAAAGTCGTACTTTTCCACAAATTGCCTTTGTCCACATTTGCCTCCTCAAGGTTATATTCCCCTTTCTGAAGAACGTGGTCCTTTTTTAGAATCTTCACAAGTTGTTTTGCCTCTTGATCTATGTTTCGGTTCGTCCCGTAATACTGAACCCTACGCGTCTCAACTAGAGCGTCCGTCATTTTGCTCTGATGTTTGAGTCGAGACCGCTTTCTTGGGGTGGTGTTTTTATCTTTATCCCTACTAACTCTTCAGCCGATGTTCCCGGGCGACGATGGCAACCTTCTCTCTGGTTCTAACTTATTGGTACTTGTTCTCGGTTCTTACTGACGTGAACAATATTTGGTGTCCCGTGTCGCCATTGTTTTCATTGTCTCGGTTGCTAAGACACGGCTTCCTCATTGGCCAGTCCGAATAAGGTCTAGCTGTTACGTTATACAAAACCAATTTCTCACTTCATCTACCTTGAAAACAATTACTAACAATATTATTGTTCGCGGTTATTTATGGATTTTATTACACTTGCTTTATTGGCAAGCGTGAGCTCAGGGTCGGTAGGGAATTTGTGTCGCGGTTTCTTTTCGTACTGGATGAATTTTGTTTCGGTGTGATCCCATTTGACATTTATAAGGCCGGGTCTTAGGGCGCTTTTTGATATACACTAGACTGCACTTCTTTTATTTATTTATTTATTTATTTATTTATTTATTTATTTATTTATTTATTTATTTTTATTTTCTGGTTGCATTTCTTTTAAGAAAATTGCCCAATATTAATTTATATCGCTGATGTGAAATGAACTCAAATATGATTAAATTACAGCGGCTGCCGCATTCAAATATATTAATGAACCAGATTCTTCCTCCTACAGACCAGTTTTAGGACCTTAATTAGCCACAAAGAATAAAATGATCCATACCACATTTAGTTGACTATTGTACCAGAGAAACCTCTTTAACAGGTAATATGGTATAGAAGGTCTTTTTTCACTGCCAACACTTCATTTAGCTGTCAGAAGTGCCAATCAATTCTAGGAATATAATATTATCCTCGTTTTGATTGCTTTGAGTAATAAATAATTTAAACTCCAAACGATATTGAGAGGATGAAATTAGCAATAATTCTCCATTGAATCAATTTATAAATGAGTATGAATCAATATGAAGAATGCAGACTTGACAAAAGTATTGTCCAGGGAGGAGTGGGATTTAATTGTGTATTTTGTACTATTACAAGCTAAATAAAAAATCTCTTATAAATTTGCTCTCATAAATTAGCTCATTAAATGGCATTTTGTGATTATTATTTTTCTTTCTTTTGAACCCAGTGCTCGCAGCTTGTACATGTAGAGAAATCAAAGATCACAAGCGGTTTCTTAAACACTTTCATATGGACCTACCTGTGTTTAACGAGGCAAAAAGTTATCAAGTCGTTTGAATGGCTCACTTACTGTTCTTCATGGCGGTGACACTTTGATTTCATGGGATATCTCGGAGATAGAAGATGTCGCCAAGATAGTATGACTATCCAAATTTATTTGGTTATTCTGTTATAACACTAGTTCATCAGTGCGTATTTCGTTCATTTCTTCGTGATTACCATTATTCCTACATCTAGGGATATTTTTGTGAATTAAACAAAATTATTTTAATTTTAAGATAACTTGGACAGAACATCGTTTGAAGTAGCTGGTTTGTTAATGTAGAATGTAGGTCCCATATACTCAAATTGCAACTGTATAGAAAAGCCACTGTCTAGTCTTAAGCAAAACTTATTTACATTTCAGAGGGGGATGCTAAATGCACAGAAAGGTATACTGTATGCGATACTAATAAATTGTGTTAGGTGAGATGAGGCAAATGCTGTTGAGAAAAACAACTTCAAGGCCACAACCACACATTGCGAATGACTAATTGTGGACATGTAGCATACTTTTTTGGCAATTTTTTTAATGGAATTCACAGAGGTTATTTCTCTTTTATTTGTAATTTGAGAACGTAAAGCCTGGATATAAGAATCCATTTATTCATATTAAATTCACATTAAAATACAAAATTGATAAGAACATAATTAAATAGTTAGTTAAACCTGGATAAAAAAGGAGCACTACTGCCAACAAGCATAAAACATAGCATAGTTGTAAGTTTAAAATATAGAATTACGATTAAAATATAGAAGTACTATGTAGAGCCACGTTTGAAGAAAAATAGTTTTGCATTTATTTACTCATTTGTTTCATTTTATTGCTTTTTTTATCTACCAGTCTCCGACTAGGCTTCGGAAGAGTGAATGCCAGAGAGCTTTCTGAGCCTCAGCCTCTTAGTTTGGAATCAGTTCAACGCACCACGATTACCTAGAGGCCCAAGCAATGATTCACAGTGCAGTGAGACGCCGGGAGTTGGATAGTAGCCACCAGAAAAACATACATCATCTCTACGACTGTTTCCACTGCACTAAGATTGAGACCTGTGCGATTGCTGCAGCTTAACATATACTTGATATAGGCCTACTACATCCATATTGTTTGATCAGAAGCAAGACTTGGATCATTCTTTAAATACAATGGATCAGCAACAAATATCATTTCAACAACAAAGCCAGAGCCCCTGGGAACCGTTTCCTGGGTCTTACGACTCCCCCGCCTTCCAACGGCGAATGCAGCCAGAGTCCTTCTCAACGCAGACTTCTGAAGATTACGCTTCCTTAAAGGCGGCGTGCCTCAGAGACGGCCGTCTGTACGAGGATCCGGATTTCGGGGCAGAAAGTAGCACTATCGGTCCCGAATACACTATAAGCAGACCTTATGCCTGGAAAAGGCCAAAGGTAAGAAATTATTGGATTTACTCCCCCGAAGGTTGAATAATGATTACTATAACCAGTAGGCTTAACTGGCTCATTCTCAAGACTTTTATTGATTTATTTCTTTGTCGTACAAAATGTGTTCCATGATGCACCATGTTGATACTACTTTCTTATGTCTAAGCATCATGGAAAGCTGCATGTAGTTATTTTTTCCAATTCAGACAAAACATGGAATCCTAGTGCGCAGGACGGGTCGAGCAACGACTCGTATTTTAAAGAGAATTTTTTTCCCCCGAAAATTAGATGTGATGCAAAATCCCGTATAAGATACCTTTAGTTATAAAATACCAGTCCAATAATAAATATTATTTTTCATTAATCTCTGTAGGAACTTGTATCAGACCCAAAGTTTCTGGTAGCAGGTGCCAGCCGCTTTGATATCGCGCAGGGAGACTACATAGGTGAGGAGGTGAATAAAAAACACTAGGAACTTCTTGATTCGGTAAAAGTTTAGTCACTGCACAGTATCGAATTTCTTAAGAAAGGCACAGGTTTTACACTTGTTATTCACTGATAGATGTATTGCATCTCACACAGTGCCGAAAATGATTAAGCACCATATAAAGCCATGCTATTGATCTTTATGTAAGAGTAACCGATTTGAGCACCAGTCTTCATATTCCAAAGATGTTATGTTAAATCTAGATTTTATGGGAACTGCATTTCTTTCTGAAATTTTGAGGAATTGATGTAAATGAGTAGAATACTGATTAAAATGTGTTGTCGGTTTTTTGAGGTCATCAGGTGATTGCTGGTTTGTAGCGTCAGCGGCTCTGTTGGCGACCAAGCCGGAGTTATTTGAAAGAGTGGTGCCTCCGGAACAGACATTTGAAGATGGAGATTATGCAGGTATCCTCCTCCTCCTCCTTCTCAGTTTCTCTTACATGCACGTACATACTCACAGATTTTACATCAACAACACATTGCCTTCACTTTTGCTAAGTACCCATATGACTTTGCGTGTAATGTTTTGGTATTCCACTTGGACTGCTAAAATCAGGAGTTATCACAGAGTAGGAACACCTGCTCAGGTACCCTGAGACTCCGAAACATACTCCGCTCTACAGGTAAATAGGGTGTTTTACGTGAGTGGGATATGGGATATGGGAGGTGAGTGAAAGTGAACTTCGAAAGAGTGGAAGTCAGGGTACCTGTCAGACTTAAAACGTATGTGCAAGTCGGCCGGATTTGCCCAATTTCCCCCAAAATAGATTAAACAGAAAAATAATGCCTAAGGCAAATACGTATCCCTACCATGTAGGAATTGGAGCTAAAACAAAAGAAATATGATTATATTTATTACTTTGTGTAAGAAATCCAATTCATCGTTATGTAACCCCCCCCCCCCAAAAAAAAATGATAATAATAATAACAAAATACAGAGAATACAATACAGAGAATACGTTTCTCTAATAAACAAACTGCTGGCGTTATTTGAAATTAATAAGTGTAGGAGGCGTCTGAGCAAAGTATTGTTATATTAATTGGTCAAAACTCATTTCTTAAAAACATGGTACTGGAAATTTTGTAATTTTTTAATATCGGTAATTTGCAGTGGCCTTTATTACAATTAACGAAAGGTACATTTAGTGTGCTTGAATTAGAAAGAAAAGAAGATGGCGGTTGACATATTGTCAGAAACCAGGAAATTATTCTGGTCTTCTACTCATGTCCCTCTGTCTGTGACAGCAGCCTAATTACAGTAGATTTTTAAAAAATTGATGGCTGGACGAGATTTTTATAGCTCACTATCTATGATTTTTGTTTCTAGGTATTTTTCATTTTCGGTTCTGGTACTTTGGCGAGTGGGTTGAAATCGTGATAGACGATCGACTGCCCGTGGGCAGAGATGACGAGATGAAGTTTGCACACAACAAAATTACACCAAACGAATACTGGCCAGCTCTACTGGAGAAGGCATATGCTAAGTAATTTCTCTCTCTTTTAATTGGTCATGGAAAGGCATGTGTTGTGTAAATCCTCTCTCTCTCTCTCTCTCTCTCTCTCTCTCTCTCTCTCTCTCTCTCTGTGCATGTGTGCGTGCGTGCAAGCACGCGTGTTTGTGACAAACAATTTTTTTCAATTTTGTAATAATTTTCAGGTTACACGGTCACTATGAAGCACTGGAGGGCGGTCTTGTGCGCGAGGCGCTTGTGGATTTTACCGGAGGTATTTCGGAGCACTTCGATCTGAAGAAGCCTGAAAAGATACCAGACGACTTCTTCGACTTGGTCATGAGAACTTTCCAAATGTCTTCTATACTTGGAGCAGAAATATGGGTACAAAATAGCAAAATTTGAAGGCTTGAATATAAGAAGTGTTTGTAAGCATTTTCGATACTTAATTCTTACAATAAAGTGAAGCGATTAGTATAGGTTTGTTTCACATTTTTCAATCTTATTTATCATTTTTATTTTGTTTTTCATAAGTTTTTATTTATTCGGTTGTTATTTCCTCTGAACTAGTCGGACCCTAAATCTTTACAAGTTGAACGAATGCCAAACGGATTGTACAAAGGACATGCTTACAGTATAACTAACGTGGCCAAAGTGAGTGTTTTCGTGTTATTAGACTTGAGATATCAAAGCACTTTCATTATTATCATCATTATTATTATCATTATTGTCGACAAATATCATCCTTATTTTAACAAGAGGAATGCTTTTTGAGACTTCTCATTATTCATTTGGATTGTTCACATCTGATCTTACTTTCAAGCCTATGGTTTTCATTAAAAAAACTCTTATTTACGATAAAATTTTACTTTGGTAAAAGTTTAAAATCTTGATAGATATGCTGTAAATGATCACAAATGGCCACGTCTACATTTTCAGATTACCATCAGAGGCCGTGAACATCAGCTACTGCGGCTGAGGAACCCTTACGCCATGGACGAGTGGCAGGGGGAATGGTCGGACAGGTAAATATGGGGTGCAGTCCTAAACTAGCTCAAAAAGTAAAATCTGATTCCGATATTTTCTGAAATTTACAGGGAGACATGGCGGTCTAGGCGTTACGAGAATTTTTTTTTTATTTGGAGTTAAATTATTTAATCAAAAATGACATGAAACGTTGAATCCAAGTACAAGGAAGGGTCAAACAATATTCACGAGGAGAAAATAAGCTTTTTTTAATGAAAATTCGATTAGACGGTAAAATCCTGGATAGAATACCTGTAACATATTATGTTTAAAATCACCAGGATATCTGTCAAAAAGGTTTAATTGTCACAGAAGAGGTAACTCAGTAGACAGTAATATGACAGTTAGAAGCTACAATGTATTTTGATATGTATTGGTGAAAACGTAAATTTAATGGTGCACCGCCAATTGCAGGTTACTGCATGTGAACATTACAACTAATGAACATTACAAACTGATGCATTTAACTAGTAAGGAGGTTGTGATAATGGGGCGTTATGTGTGCAATTCTTGTAGCAAATTAATTATATTTTATCTGGTATTGTTATTTAATTTGAGAACTTTGCCTAATTCGAAAGAAAATATATTTTTATACATTATTTGTAGCTCCCCGATTTGGCAAGACGTGACGGAAGAACAAAAGCAAGACTTTAATTTACGTGTAGAGGACGAGGGTGAATTTTGGTACGTAAGGATATTTTACATGCTATTTGTTACCATATAACAACTAGTTTCTTAAAGAAATGATGAACATATGCGTGGAAACGTTTAGCTATTTTCACACTTTCTCGTGTACAACAGGATGCCTTTCGAAGATTTCATGAGAGAGTTTGACAATTTGGACCTGGTGCATTTGGATCCGTCCAGTTTCACCGGCAATCTACAGACCACTTTCAAAGTAAGGCAGTCCTGTGTATTGGTATACATAGATCTATAGTTTTGAAATGTCATAATTTTGGTTTAATTTCAATGTACATTGACCAACGCATATTTATAATTTCTGATATCATCTGGATAGGCAAGAAAATCCACCGATTTATTATAAGTCATCCTCATTTATCAAGAAAGAATATTTGAATATTCAAAAAAAAAAAATGAATAGAGAAAAGGATCGGAATAGCATGTGACAAACTTACTTTGGACAGCAGAACGCATTATTATGAGGCAAGTAATTATGACATGTAGATGTTACTGTAGCTATATCGTTTTTCTCGGTGAATAAACTCAGAAATTGACAGGTGTTTGCAGCATGTTTTTTCATCTTGATGCAGGGGAAACTTGTCTGGAATGAACGCAATCACAAAGGTCGCTGGATTAAAGGTGTCAACGCAGGGGGCTGTGGCCTGCTGAGACCGTATGAAGGTAAATCTCTTTACCCCCCCCCCTCTCTCTCTCTCTCTCTCTCACACACACACACACACACACACACACACACACACACACGAGAGGCGCACATTAAATAAAAACGCACACACCAAGAGTTTTTCTTACTTTCGTTTCTTCTCTCAATTTGTTTTTGCAAATGGAAATATATAAGCATCAACTCTCTACATTGGGCTGTTACGAGTATATATATTGTTTCAGATTTGTACTACACTAACCCCCAGTACGTGGTACACCTTGTTGATCCTGACCCCACCGATACTGAAGACAAGTGTATCGTGATTATCTCTATCATGCAGGGCAGAACAGACAGACTTATGATAGGAGTGGACGTACATTTGGTGAGATGTGGACATTGGTCTTTTTCACGTCGAGCGGTATTCTAAACCAATGCAGTTTTATTTGTATCGGTCAATAGCAACTTTGAGAGACTTACAACTACAAATATTTTGTGTACAATTGTGAAGTGACCAGTCCTATTTACGGATCAATTTGTATTTTACAATTATTGGCGTTTTACATGTACATGTTATCGTCAAATATTTCCGATTGAATAATGAAAAAGACCTCAGCATTTTAGTATGAATTATAATGTACAACCTGTCCATTGCATCATAGATGAAAGACGGTGTCCCGGCGTTATTGGACGGGCAAAACTATGGCGAGAGAGCTTTTGCCGTCAAGGAGTTCCGTAGCCGAACCGCAGCGAGAGAGCTCAGTTGTCGCTTGCGCCTTAACCCTGGGACTTATTGTGTGATACCCAACGCTCTAAAGGCAAATCAAGAAGGACCCTTTTTGCTGAGGATACTCACTATTCAAAAGATTGACACTAGGTAAATGTTTTAGATTGACACTAAATGTATTAGAGGTACTTTTATCATTCTTTTTGCATTCATGTCCTGTTGAGAAAACTCAGTTTGATATATCCTTGTATTATTTAACAACGCGCGTTTAAAGAAAAAAAATTAATTTTCAGTTTAATAGACGAGTCTACAGGGCCCATCCTCCCTCGCCCTGGAAGTACTTTAGTTATTGGAGCAATAGACAGAAAGGTATGTCAAAAATAGCCGGAGGGTCTGTGTTGGTAAATATCGCTAACATGGGACACCTAATACAACCATGCTGTCCTTCATAGGTGGATTGAAGACGGTGGGACTCGTGCTCTTCCCCACTCCTTCTATCTTCTTTATTTTTTTGTTCTATATGTGTACTTTTTCCCCTGTGTCCCTTTCCCAACCAGTATAATCTTGGAAACTCCATTGTCGTTTTTGATAATTGATTTGATTTTACTTTTGTTTTCCTTTCGACTTTTTGAGAGAGTGAGGCATGTCATTGAAACCCTGTATGTGTCACTATTTGAAATATTACTTTTGCTACAGTTACCAGAAACCCCCACACCATCCACGACGCCAATAACAACAACAACAACGACCACAACAACGTCAATCACAACGCCGACAATAACACCAACAGTAGCGCCCAGCGCTCCAGGGCCCGTGGAAAGAATTGATGATGACATGTACCGCCAGTTTGCGGGCGAGGACTACCTCATTGATGCAAAAGATTTGAGAGACTTGCTGAATGCTCTTTGTCTATCTGGTAGGCGATGTGGAACTGTAAGCACTTCTTGTTTTTTGAAAATTAATTATTATTTTTATCATTATTATTATTTTGCCTTTTATTTTCTAATATTCCTTCATTCTAAGCTCAACATAAATATTACTGTAGAACCAAACAGTATTCTTCAGAAATTGTTAAAACAAGCCCTGTAGCTCTAACATAAGTAACTAAACATATAAAAATAAATAAATTTAATTAGGGTATCAGCAGTTCTGACGTGCTCGTTTAAGGTTTCTTGTTTATGGTGCTTTTTTATCATTTATTTTCCAGCTTATGGTAGTGAAGGAGGATTCTCACTGGAAACTGCTCGCAGTCTTCTTGCCATGTACGACGTATCCTTTTTCCGTGCTAAAAAGTTAGATAAAGTACTGTTATGCAACTTAAATTCGTGTGGGGGCATTTAAAGGGTCTGGCTGATAGATTTTACAGAAGAATAATCGTTTTAACTTACATTCTGCGTGTTTTCGACAATTTCTCAGACCGGCCCTTTTGCCCTCAAACGCAACATATTGTATGAATTTATGAATTAAACACTATAACGTAGGTGTTAGTGAAATGTTCCAAATACGGGTTTATAAAGCCCTTCCCGTGTTCGTCATATTTCTTAATGATATTAATCTAGACGTGGCATTTGGGCGTCGTGTCCAGTGAAGAGGCTAGTAAAGTGTGGGCGTTTGTCAAGAACTGGAAGGTGAGTTTGTACTCAGAAATTTCCTGTGGGAGTCTTAAAAAAATTTCCCACCATTATTTGACCCAACTGACACAGAATTTAAATAAATTTAGATTCAGAACGAATCTTTTTCGGCCATAACGGCGGTTCTATAGACCCCCCCCCCTCCCGCGAATTTCCGATTAGTCCTTGCAATAGTGATGAAATTCGTTTTGTTTTAACGGTAAAACTAAATATAAATTTTCAAAGAAATATTTTCCTCCTGTAAGTTATTAGAATGCAAGTAAAAGAACGGTTGACCTTGCAGTATTGAGTATAATTTATAGAACAAATTAACATTTGATTTAGGAACGGTTTGATCGGTTTGACAAGGATAACTCAAGATCCATCGACTCGCTGGAATTAAGGCGTATCTTCAGGGATAGCGGTAATCTCTCTCTCTCTCTCTCTCTCTGCTAAAGGATTTTATATTGTTTCACATTTTTGCCTTTTGCATTATTCAGATTCCAGTTCTATAATCTGTAAGCACTGGTAGTAATGATGAACCTCTAAAAGTCTGATCAGGAAACTGCTTCATTGTAATAAAACGTTTACGTACGACTTTTCAGGGTTTTCTTTAAGTTTGGCCAGTTCGATGGCTCTATCAGTCCGCTATGGAGGCCGCCTTGGATCAATAGGGTTTGATGACTTTATCCTCTTGGTCGCCAAGACAAAACGCTGCTACGACAGTTTTATCAGTTTTCAACCAAACCCCAAGGAAGACGCTACGGTTAACCTTGAACAGGTGATACAATTAAAAAATTGAAAATTTGTTATCTGAAAAAATCATGTGCATGCTATTAGTATAGCCTGTAGTTCATTAATTTGATAAAATCAAGTAGTCCAGATTACTTCTTTATGATAAAGAGATTTACGTGTGTCCATCATTTAGGTATGCGACGTTAAAATGCCTTTACTTTTTTTTTCAGTGGATGGAAGCTGCTTTGTATCTTTAAGAAGACGGTAGCAACGATACTCCCTGTTCGATACATGAAAAGAATGCCCAAAAATATAAGTTTGTTAGGATTTAGAGTTTAAGTAGGAGTACAAAAGCTATATTCGAGGGGCACTCCGCGGGATTTTCCCGCCAAGATGAAGTTTCTTGTAGTAAACAGCAATTTTTCTCCTATTAACAAGAATAATTGTTTGAGCCGTCCTTGCACTTGGATTCGATGTTTTATTCCATTTACATAACATATGACCGTGGGGGATTATCTATCAAACGCGTGGAGAGAACCTTATCTTTTTGGTGGGAAAACCCCATGGAATGGTCCCAAAAAAATAAACAATAACTCTCTACCACATGAGATTTGCAGCATAAATAAAAAAATGGTTAAAAAATGTTTGACCTGTTAGACTTCGGGTACTTGACTTGAAGTATGAAGACTTGAAGACTAATTCTACTGTGGGCATACTGAACCGTGATAATTCCATTCAGCAGACTTCCACGTAAAGAAAGTAACAAATGTGAAAACAAAAATTGATAACCTAAAGTAAGCCCATGGCTTCAACAAATTTAAGTGGCCTAGAAAATTAAACAGGGGAAAAATTTGGTCTTGCAGACTTTGCGTCTTATGAAGAAGGAATTCTAACTGTGGAATAATGGGGAATAACTATTCAGTGCTGCTACCACATTATTGTAAGGCCGATGTATACTGTGAAAATCGCGCTTCCCTCTCAACCCCTCTTCACACCAGCAACACTTTGCCCTTTGTGGAATCCTTGGGTCCACTGTCTGTGTAACAACTAAAGTTGTTGGTTGGTGTGAATATGCTTCATTTATGTTAACACGTTATTTATTTTTTTATCATTATCAACGGATAACAACTGTTCATTTTGGCCAAAAAATGAATTTTTCCGGGGTAAAGGACTATTTCCCCATACTTCATAATAGTTAATGAATCCATTCCCATATTCAAAGTTAGTCCCTGTTTTTTTTTTTCTAAAAAGTTTGGTTTTTTGTAATATTCTCGTAAGAGATTATTACAGAGTGTAGTCATCTATGGAGGGCACGTGATGTGATGGCAAGCACAAACCCCAGAATAAATGCGTTAACTGGCGTTTTGGTGGTAAAATAGATTATATTTTATTTCTATGAGTTGTTTGCAATGTATTTGTAGTGAAATATGGATATCTTGCGAACAGTTGTTTTCCCTTTAAATTTATCCTATTGTTTGACGACGTGGATATTCCCCTAGACTCGTGCTGATTTTAATCTAAAACTATTAAAAACTATTAGTTAAAACTATTTATATAACTGAATTTCTTTTTTGTGTAACAATGTAGTAAGGTTTCTATGTCCATAACTGTACCTTATCCGTGAAGGTATATATCAATAAAGAAATTTGAAATCTGAATCCTTGACACGGGACCGGCTCGTCTTGATCGCCCCTTCCCCTATCGTGGATTACGTATCGGCATCACAAAAAAGAGAAAGTATCGTATGTTATATTCATGAAGAAAATCCTATAATTCGACTACTCGTTAATTCATAAGAGCCGTAATTGTACACACCGTTTCAGCAAGACAGATTTTACATTAAGTAAGTACCTTTCAATATATTTAACGAATATTCCATTCACATTTATATATTTATTTTGCAAGGGCCTTTCACGTGTACTCGGCGACGCCGTCAAACTTTGACTTTTAACTGCGCTTTTGACTCGGTGGCATTCCCTGTTGTCAGTTGATGCAACCGATTCACTGCTGTATCAAAATATTTTATATTAACGGAAAGGCATAGTTGAAATTTTCTTTAAAAATCGGCATGGAAATCATGCTGGAGCAGTAAAGTGAGAAATTTAAAATTCCGTCAGCAGTGTCGAGGTCTCATTTTTCAACCAAGTAGATTCTACGAGGTGTTCAGCCATTCGGAACATCAAGCAAAGTACCCATTTGTATATAAAAAAACTACTGCAATGAAGTAGATATTCAATAGACTGGGTTTTTCAGATGTTATTGTATTTAACTATTGTCTTGGTTGTAAGCACATTTTATTGACGAGGATTTTTCAATGCAAATACTATGGGAAAGTACACGGAGTACACCTAGAGTCTTGTGTATATAACAGTCTAAATACGTTACTTTTATCTAACACTTTTAATTTCACAACAGAGGGCTACAGGGGTTAAAACAATGCAGTAAATGCCTTTGGATATCAACATTTAGATACTGCCAAAGCCCTTTGTCAATCAATAAACATCTAGAATTCCACACTGCCTAACAAGGTATGTGAACACAGCAGTCTTGGGTCCAAAGTCCACGTTGTTATAGCAAGCTGTAATACATTCTGAAAAAAGACACAAGTGCTGTGTTACAAGTCAAATGGTAGTGTACAAATGCTTGTCTAATATATCAGTTGGCTTTATTATTTATTTATCTATATTTATAATAATAATAAATTAATAATAATAATAATAATAATAATATATATTCTGGAAGTAAATGGTATGACATTAAAATAACTATATGTTCACAATTCTGTTGAAACAAAATACTAATAAAAATGAAAAATATTTGTAACATTTGGATAGTAAAAATGAGTTGTTTTCAATAATGGGAATGTATCAGCACAAGTACTTGTACAATACCTGTTGAAGCAGACTCTTGTTTATTTATGTATGTCTTTTTAATGGGGATTTATTATTCTATCATATGTGTTATGTTAGATATATTGCTATGGGATTGCAAGGGCACTAAGAATAAAATAGCACTGATCTCTTTTATATACATAAAAGCATGATATAGAAAAACAAGACAAAGTTCAGAACAAAGTAATTTCATTAATCAAAATATGATAGCAGTTTATAATCAGACTTTGTATGTCTGTCACAGTTTAAACATTGGACTCTCTCATTTCTCTATTTGTGTAACTTTTTCTTTCTTTTCTTCTGTTCTTGTTCACATGTTTTTGGTTTCTAGCTTTACTTTCTATAAAATATAGCAGTTTTCAGTTTTGAACTTTATATATATAATTTTTTTTTTTGCCTAAAAAATATTTTTGCTTTGCTGAAGTGATTTGATTCATTTTTATTTACATTTTTTTATCTTACTTTTTCTATTATGTTGCCTCATTTTAATTATGATGAGATAGATATATATTTCTGCTCTAAATTTATTATGTGTCTCTATATTGTGCAAAATGGAAACTTTGTACACAATTGAAAATGCAATGAAAAGAAATCGCAATCTGCAATGTCAAGGTAAACTTGCTAAAAAAGGTTCTCAAGTGCTATTTACTGAACAGTTAAATATAATGCAAGAGCCATGTGCCTCAGCATAATATTTATCAGTATAAGTTAAAAATGCATCTTTAGAAAAATACTCAAATAACAAGGAAAGTTTTTTTTTCTCAAATTAAGGTATGATTCCCCTGTGTTAGGAAGACTAGATAAGAAAAGCTTTGTATTTTCACAATATTGTTATCCAGACAGTACCCTAAATACAAGGAAATTACAGAATTGCTTTGACTGAAATTTAATTTTTAAAATTTTTGATTAAGTAAATATAGATATGATATTAAAATGTCATATATTGAATGTACTTTGATGTGAAAAAAGCAATTAAAGGTCTGTGATGCTCATTTATATAGAAAAAGTGATTACTTTTGTGTGTGTTTCTTACCAGGGCATGGTAAGAATTCTGCCACCATCAACAAACAGAGATATGGTTTCATGGTTTACTGTAGAATATAAATCCTGAAGCTATACACACATTCTGTAAAAGAGGACAGGAAGATACAAAGCATCCCTGTCTTTACCAACCTCCTCCTTTTTACTGATGGCTTGTAGAGCAATTCTAGCAGTTTTGGGTCTAGACAAAGTTTTCAATACCTTGCATCTGAGACTGTACATGTTTTGTAATTGAGTCTGTGTTGAGTTATAATATTGCTTTTGCTACAACTGTCAATACAGTGTAGTTGATGTTCATCATCACAAATTACTTGGATATTTTATTTCACTTATTGACTATTATGCACCTGAGATGGATGTAGGTAAAAATGTTTTGATGATTGGGACAATTTCAAATGTGTTCATCATACCTTTATATTTAATTTTATGTTTAATGCAAACACTTCAAAATAAAATCGAGATGAAAAATGTTTATCAGTTCAGTTTAACCATTTTATGCTGAGAGCCCTGCTCTATTCAAATAAAAAATTACCTTTTTTGCATAATTTTTAGCAATTCATTCAAAGTCTTAAGTAAAAAAAAAAATCAACCTTCATTTAAATCAGTTTTTAAAAAAGATAATTTTCTCAAAACTTCCTCAAAATTTTGTAAGTATTTGATAATAAATATTCAGGTAACTTAAAATTCGGGGAATTCACGGAATTCCTGACCTTGGATTACCTTGAATTGAGGTAGTAAACAGCAGCCAGCAAGTTGTTTATTGATCCAGATGAGATGAGTAATGGGATTGTGAAACAGAGAGAAAAACATTACAGCGTGAGAGCCATCAGCCAGATTGGTATTGACGCAGTTCTGTAGTATTTCATGTCTTTTGCTTTGTTGTTTCTGATGTCTAATTAGACAGGTCTAATAAGAAAATACATTACGATTATTTTGGGCATATTACCTTTCTTCTTCATGTGCACCTTTCATCAGTTCAAAATTTTTATTCTAAGTGCTCTGTAATGGGATCCTTCAGTTAAAAATCATTGGATCCTCTGCTATTATATTTTCTATATATTTGTTGTATTTACCGATGATATGACATATCTGTTTACAGGGGAATTCATGTTTCTTATCAGTAGAGATGCGCCATATACAAGTGCCCATTTATGTAAAGAGGATAGAAATTTACAACTATGTAAACAAGATGATCATTACAGAAAGAATGGATCAGCCTCTTATTGCTGAACTTGCTTACAAAATATGGGCAAAGTACAACTATAGTAAAGCATGAGTTTTTCTTAAAAATTAATATTATGATGTCAGACTTTGTACTCAATTTTTAAAAACATCTTAATCAGAATGCAAGGTTTTAATTCAAAATTCTATTTAAAAAATCTCCACTAGGTCCTGCAATGTCTGATTACGTCCGCTATGTGACGCAGGCTATTGGGGCTGCAGTATTCACCACCCTCACAGCATTCACAGGGCTTTACCTTGCATTCCGCCCCAGGAGTGTACAGTACCCACAGGATAACTTGGCCTGCCAGTCTAAGCCTGCAAAGGTAGGTAGTAATAGAGAGAAATGGAAGTCCAGTTCAGGTTGGGTGGGTGAAGTGAATGATGGACTCTCCCATGTCACAGAACCTCTTTTTTTTTTTAATCTTTGATTTGCATTTGTAAATCCAAAGTCACATGAAACAAACAAAGCAGTAATTTCTTTTAAATATGAAAATGTTATGGAGTCAATCAGCATAGAAATGTTTCTACACCCTGACCCTGATGGAAGCTCTAGTATTTTCTATGACAAATAACATTAATTTCGCAATATTTTTCCCAGCTGGTTTCCTAAGTACCAGAAATCATTGATTGAACAGTAGAGAGTGAAATTGGTTTGAGATTTAAAGGAGCATTCAGAAAGACATATCGTAGTAGTTGGGTCAGCCCAACTCTGCAGTGCTCTTGCTAAGTGCAATTGGCATAACTGTATGACACACCTCCTAGAGTAGCTAAGGGTAATTAATTTTCGCGTGCACCTGACTTAATTACCCCTAGCTGCTCGAGGAGGATCTTAATATGGTCTAAGAGAGCATTGTGTTAGTTGTGAACAGTCACTGATTGAAAATTGGATTGTGTTTGGATATAGTGTTAGCTTGCAAATGTAAATTTAAAAGTGCTGAAATGATAGAATACCTGTTTCTAATAGTAATACGTTTAGATTTGAAAAGAAAGAGATAATTTATTATTATTATTTTTTTGCTTTCCATGCATCACATGCACCTAGATTTGAGACATTCAATGATTCTTGTCATCTGAAAAGGAGTTGTTCATATAACCTTACTGCTAATTCAAATAGAATTATGTACCCCTAAGAAAATTGTGAAAGGTTATTCAGCGCAGTATTTATAACTTACAAGAAGTAAATGGAATTTGTATATGAAAAGAAAAGTACCGCTTTGCCAAATGTTATACCAGGGACTTGCCTTGTGACACAATGGAGTGAGGTTGTTGTGTTTACAATACAAACAAAATGCACATTATAATGTGCGTGAGTTTGAAGAGTTGGTTAAAGTAGACTTCCCATGGTGAACAGTGAAATACGGTACATTTAATCTCAGGCTGGGTATACAGGACTTAGATGGCTTACAAGACCCTAAGTTCTAAGAAATCACAAGAAGAGATGCAGTCTGTAGCAGTTGAGGTAATTTTTGAAATTTAGCTCTAAAACTTGTCATTTATATACTAGTAGTATGACTCAAGTTTGAAGTTATAATTGAGCTGCTGACATATTGCTAAGAACAGTGTTAACTTGGTCAGATGCTTCAACAGTATCTTTTGACATTTTTTGGACCACAGGTTGTGAGTCGTTTGACTATCTCAGTTAGAGATACTTTGCTCCATAAATTTTAAACCAAAATTTGCCAAAATTATAACTATCCACTAAGGGTATGATAAGAAACAATTTTCCTTAAGAAAGAGCATTACCTGAAACAACTGTTGGAATTCTCATTTGTGGCAGGACATAAGGCATGGTGTCAACACTCTTAATACTAAGAGGCAAAGATATGGGGACACATGCGACTAAAATGCCCCCACATGCCTGCCCTCTCTGTGTTACATATGAAAAATGAAAACATGAAATAGACAACATATGAAATTGCAAAAAAAAAAAAAAAAAAATTGTGAAAGTGAGGTATTTAAATAATACAAGTGTGTGTGTGTGTGTGTGTGTGTGTGTGTGTGTGTGTGTGTGTGTGAGAGAGAGAGAGAGAGAGAGAGAGAGGAGGGGGGAGGAGGGGAGGGGGAGTTGTCTTGATCTGTAGATCAGGGGGAATTGTGCCCCTAGTGGAAGCAAGAGAATTTCCAGTATTGAACAGAATAAAAAACCAGACAGTTTTGATCTTGTTGACATCTAAGACAATGAACTAAGTCCTAATTCTTAACCTTTACTGATTTGTATAGAAACACCTGAACCTGTTTATCCAGTCTGAGATTCAGGTAAAGTCACAAGGGACTGCTTGATCTATATGATCCTGATTGCTAAAGAACTACAAAAGGTGTTTTTGATCTAATACAAAAGCCTTTTTAGAGACACCATAAGGTAGCAGTCACGGCTGTATACTGCCAAGTTTTTGAAATTTTAGAGCCAATTATGTTTAAGAAGTAAATTATATGGTTCATTGGTAAAGAAAGTTTGATCCCAGACAATTATTGTGAATTTTTCATTACTAGGTGCATTGGATTATTACAGCACTGTTACAGTGAACCCCAAACATATAAAGAAGCTACTGTAGGGGGCTAACAAAGTACACTTCTGTTATAATTGTAATACTGATACGTATGGTATCAGTTTTAGTTCAGGAAATGGAGAAAATGGAGAATCTAATTATATCAATCCAGTTTAATTTGCAAATATTATAAAATTAGATAATTTGATGAAATGAAGTTTTTTTTTTCTTTTAGAATGATCAGTAAGATTGTTAATAGGAATGGAAAATATATGTGACTGGCAGCTGTAAAATTGTAATGTCCTGCCAGTAGTTAATAAAGTGCATAAAGCACATGGAATTGATATAAAATTAGACATAACTGTAAAGGTGCATCCACGATTAATCTTTAGTACTAGCTACTGTGCATTTACTCCATGGGGATTCCTGCTGAAAGCAATTAGATTAATAAGCTTATTGTGAACATACCCTTTAGCCTTATAGCACAGATCTCTGCTCAGGCAAAATGTAAATTATAATAATTATAATAAATTTTATTTATCAAGTGTGCAATGGAGAAATGAAAAGTCTTCTTCAATCAATGAGAGTTTATATTGGTGTTAGCAGTGGCAGACAGTGGGTTAGATCAAGGATGGTCTTTAGGCTATAGATTGTCCTATAGATGGTCAGATGTTTGCTTACTAGTACAATAACAGAAACTTGAATCACGTATAACACCAGAGTTTAGTATAGACTTGTATCTGCTGGCCAGCTAGAACACCATTTTGTCAAGATCAAAATCCTTGTCATGAATTTGCAACTGCAATATGTTGGTATTTAAAAGTAATAGCACGTGTCTGTCTTCATAAACCAGTTTACGTACATGCATCAGAAAATGTCAAACAAAGAAACAATCTGTATTGAATAATATTATTTTATTTTCATGGAAAGCAAAAAAAAAAAGGTTGATTGAGATTCCAGATGCATAGTTTATAGTCGGCATCTTGTCTTGTAAATGTGGCCATAGGTCATGTGTTTGTTTTGCGTTTGTAAATTACAACGTGTCTTTAAAAGATAACAGGATAAGATTAGCATGAATCCATTGTTTTGACAAAAAAAAGTAAAAATAACTCCCCCCCCCCCCCCCAAATGGTACAGTACTTTTAATAAACCATACACCATCAAATGAAACATTGGTGAAACATTTAGCAAAGATTATAGATTTTTAGGCATGTAGCAATATATTTCCACACTTCTTTCATGAAAAGATATTTTGTGAGTATACTAGTATGGAATAGTGGCATGGTGAATATTTGATCAGGCTCATGGTAAACACATATGGCTCTGCAATGGAACTGCTTATTAGTTTTTCATTGAATAAGTCACATTGACCTAGTTATTTTATTGATTTCATTGATCAATTTAGAATTCGAAAGAAAGTTAGATACATTTTTGGATGTCATAGTGCCAACAATTTACACTTAAATAAGCTGAGTTTACATAAAATAAACAATTAATAGGTTGCTAAAGTGCAATTTCTAGGGCAAATAATGAATAATCAATGAGGTTGTTGTTGGGTTGATTTATCCTGGTTCTGTTCAAGACAACCCTCAATGAGGTATAATAACAGCGAGGAAAAGGATGTTCTTTATTATATAGTAAGACTTGTGGGTCATGCTAATGACAGGGTAGTCATTCAGGAAACCACAGTTTCAGTTTCGAATGATATTATGGCAGTTAAGAACAACAGAGATGGATATCTACAGGGAAAATGACTGCCCTATAGCTTAGGTATGGTATGTGACACGTCAGACCATCATGTGGAAGTTAGATCATTAGCTACCCATTGTAACAAAGGAAGACCAGCGTGGTGTGAAGGATAAACAGTCAGTGTACAGCTAGGAATATGAACATACCAATACCTGAGATACAGTCTACTCTACTCGAGGTAATAGATTTCACCACTTTGATTCGCACAAGTGAAGTAATTCTTATTATTATTGATGAACTAATATGCTTATAGTATCGCGTAAGATGAATAATGATATTGCCATTGCAACTGAACTTATCAGTTGATACGTTAAGTGGACAGCATGTTGATGTGGTTGTTTTGTATGTAGTGTTTTATACAGCTGTGTACATATACCTGTATACATGTATAGGACACACAACTTGTTGCCCAATTCGTCCATGATCCACATCCATGATCCACGTGTATACAGGTGTATTGTGCTGACACGTGGAGCGTCTGCCTGTGGCTGTGTGCCATCCATTGAGATTTAAACAAAGATGTGTGTCTCTACTATAATAAATGGGCTATAGGCAGTTCATTATATTGCTACACTAGCACTGAACATTAAATCTAGCTTTAATTTTCAAGGAAGATATTGAAATCCTAATGAAATATTAATTGACCTAATTAATGCAGGAAACCGGTGTATGTTTTGAACGACTTTGTTCACAGAAAGCATATTGGTCATCAGAAGAATGGATTACCATGGTTGAACAAATTGTATATTAGGCTACTTTACTGTTAGAATTTGAAAGCTGTAGCATTAAGTGTCTACATTCAACATTAAATGAAGTTAAGAGTAAGTTTCTACTGTAATCCTTGACTGGTGATGGGAGAGGTCTACCAGATAAAAAAAAAATTGTTACTGTATTCATATATACATGTACCAGGTGTATCAGATATCAGATATTAATATGATGTAGGTGGCAGATCTAGAGCAAACCCACTTCCTTATTCACATTCTTATGGAAATTACAGATTATGTAACAAAAATGGCTCATTTACTGAGGAATTTACTACAGAAGCATGAAAACCACATCACTGTAATACTATGATCCTGCTCTTGACTCTTTTGAAATTGATTTGATCTTAGAGGCTTAAGTTATATCTGAACTACCAGTGCAAGCTAGGTTGCAAGAGTCATTCCATGATTGATATTTACTTTCAAAATGCACAAACAAGTTGCTTAAAACAGTGTTTTTACTCGTAAACAGAGTTATTATTTTTAGACTTCAAAGGCCTATAAAGGCAGCAGGAGAGAAAACATATCTGTATGGAAGTTCACCTTAAATAACCCAAAGGAACTGATGAACAAACAAACAAAAAAAAAAAAAAAATCAATGTCCTCGTGGAGAACTCATGATGCCAGCTGTTTATTTTGAACTTTCCTCAACTGGCCGGGATTATGATTGGATTCTGTTATATCATGTCTCCCCTGAGAAGGACAGGCTTTCACCACCTAGAATGAAATAGCACAGGTGTTCAATAACCTTGGATAATTGACTTATGGCACAGATGTTGGTTTACGTCTACAACTTCTTGGTTTAAATTGGGACCATGCCAACAAAGGAAAATTAGTTCTTTGGGGGTTTATATTTAATATATGATGCAATATCTGTTCGCAGAATATGAAAGAAAATGAGGTTTCCTGAATTTCTTGTCAGAAAATTACCCCAAAAGAAAAATAGGTTATGTTCCCTTTTATAATTAAATTAATGATAATGTTTTTTTCTCTATACTATGTTGCAGGTGAGGATGGGGGCTGAATTATTAAGGAAAAACAGATGGTTATTATATGACAGGAAGTCAAAGATAAGGAATTTTGGAATGTTGTAATTGATAACTACCTTGATAAAGAAACCATCCTTGACATGTATTGCTCCCCATTATGTTGTCAGAGGATAGGTAACAGAGGTGCTTTGGTAATGGGGAAGGATGTGATAGATATGATACCATGGGACCCAGTAGCCAACATGAGTTCTTGGTTAAGAAATTTAATAATAGATACAAGTATGATTAAGTGCTAGCCACCTAATTTGAGAGCCTTTTAATTAGGTGGCATCAGCTATTTGAATGTCAAATGTTTCTTGAGGTGTAACAGTTAAACACTAACACATTCTAGACTTGACTGGGTTGATTTGAGATTTACCCTCATCCAGAAATAGTACAGGGAAAGGTATTTGGTCAGGTAAATAAAGATCATGCAGCCATCTAAATATTTTCCTTTGATTTTCACTTATTCCGTAGTACATGTCTGTTACGTTAGACATACCCCACAGTACTGCCAGGGCATTGCAGTTCCATTCAGAAAATGCTGCTGGTAGGTAAACTGACTTTGTATATGAGACTTTCTAATTGACTACAATGTAGATCTATATGAACATTCATATTTGAAAGAAACTTTGAAGAAATTTAAGACAAGTGGATTGAACCTTATATTTCCAATTTTAAAAAATCTTGGATGTCTTTATATAAATTATGTTTTTCCTCACAGACAGATGTTGAGTGATTGTATATGGGATTTTTGCTAAATGGTTTATTCAAAGTGTTACTGTCCTGACTAACACAGTGTTGCACCTTTCTAGCATCATATTATGTGACAGAAATGAGTTAGATCTATTAGGATGAGATCAGAATGCATGCAACATTTCAGAAACCAGTTTATGTGCAGCATATGTTTATTTGTTTCATAAGATAAATATCTTATAAGTTTACCTCATGCTAGTCAACCCCTGCAGCAAATTAGAAGCAATACTCGAGAGATTTTTTTTTTTGCCTCTTGGGTTGATTTATTTTAGTGATGCAGGTGGACGATATTGGCAATTCTTTAATGATGTTGGTTTTCAATTATATTTCACTATTTATGTTGCTTGTACAACATCTTATTTGATTGTATTAATTAATTTATTTATAGTGTGGTTTGTAATGTTGTTTTAAATCTAAAACATGACCATTTTTTTCGAGCAAAATGTGGAGTTCAACAGAATCCCATTCTTTACTAATAAATTTAACAATAACACAGTATAGTCTTCCTCTATTTTCTCGTTAAAAACTGGTCATCTGGTTACTAGTATATGAATAAGAAACACAATTTTATTCTTATCTCACATTAACATTACCATTTCAGAATTATGCACTTCTTTTTACTATATACATGTATGTCATTTTAGATAATTGAAATGAACTGTATTATTATTCATTGTAGGGTGACAAACATGCACGTGTGTCCATGCACAACAAGGAAGGAAAGCTGCTGGAATATTTGTATGATGACGCCAAGACATGCTATGAAGCGTTCACCAGAGGTGCAAGAGTCTCAAGTATGTAGAATATGTCTGTTTTGTATCCTTTTACATTAGTTTCCTCTTATGTGATTTGTATTTTCATCTTTTTATATCCCTTGAGAAATGAAAATAATATAAAGTGGTTCTTTTTTAAACTGAATTTATTTAATAGGAATGGAAGTTACAATAAGTTTTATGTGTGGCTTAAGTGAAGTGAGGTCATAGAAAAATTGCTCATGTATTAAAGTTAACATTAATGTATTGACATTGAATGGGGCATAATATACTTTTTTGTAATGAAGTTATATTACATGAAAAGTGCAAACTTATCATATTTTAATTTGATTCAGATAATGGACCAAGTCTTGGCTGGAGAGATGGAGCTAATGCTCCATACCAATGGATCTCCTACAATGATGTAAGCATGGAAATCAGCTACTGATTTAATAACCTGTCTCAGATATTATCATGTTTCTGAATGAAATTAAAACTGGTTAATCATACTTTATATTGAGGGGTTTGAGATATTATTATTTTCATGCCAAATTCTCACTTTATTCTTGGAAACTCTTATTTATACTTTTGTATACTTAAATAATACAAAAATCTTTTGTTTAGAGAAATATTTCGATTCTTTTTCATGCAAATAGAAGTGCTTGAACAGAGTGTGCATGTGGTCGGTGTAAAAATTTAAAAATGAAACATTGTTTGAACCTGTCTAACTTGTAAGAGTGAATATTTCAATATTTTCCCTGTTGTCTGTGATACATGTGACATAATGTATGACTTGTCCAGGTTCTGGTCCGTGCTGCTGACCTAGGTGCTGGCATGCAAGCCAAGGGAATGAAGCCAGAGAACACAACCTGTATTGGAATATATTCTCAAAACAGACCAGAGGTAGGCAGGGCTAGTTGAAGGTTAGAGTGGTTATCTGACCCACCAAAAGACCTTTTCACATCGTCTGTATTGTTTGCACTGAAAAGAGTCTTCCAGGGTGTACACATATTTGATGCTAATGTTAATGGTAAAACGGATGCTGTAAGAGGATTATTTGGTTGGTATTATTTGATGAAAGCCAAGATGCCCCTGTGTTTGTGACAAGTGTCACTTACATGACATAACCACAAATTCCTTTTGAACTGTAAAGACTGATGTCCCCCGTTCTGTGTAGCAAATATTAAAAAACCAGGGACGAAATCAATATTGACACATATTGGCATTTTATTTATCATTTATATTGAAAGAATCAATGCTTTTGTGCTCTGCAAAATACCCCTTTTTCCACATGGTACAGTTTTATATGGTTTAAGATAAAATACAAGCCTGATATATTTAAAGGCAGTGTGTTTTTCTGCCAGAGCATTGTAATCTCCATTGTTGTCTGTCTTTTGTATGTTGCAGTATGTGATATTAGAGCAGGCATGCTACATGTACTCCATGGTGGTAGTCCCACTGTATGACACTCTGGGACCAGATGCATGTTCATATATTCTTAAGCAAGGTAAAGAATGAAAAATAATTAAGTACATTTAATCAAAAAGAAATTGAACTTTTGAAGGAAAAAAAAATTATTAAAATAGTTCTGTAGTTGATGATCTTACTCAAAATTGGTTCTGTGTGAGAGAAGACTGCTGTTTTTATTATTTTTAATTTTATATTTCTTAATTATTTGTATTTTTGAAGTATTATTTCTTTCTATGTATGATTGCTGATTTTGCATGCTAAAATGGGAGCTACAACTCTCAGTCACCTCTTCATTGTCCCAAAATGGGGGATTAAGGGCCAGGGGAAAGATAAATTCTACATTTACTATGTTTTTACCATCAATAAAGAAATTTTGATAAATAAATAAATAAATACCCCTTATAGGGTTGACTATTTGAAGTTGGCAGACTTAACTTAACATTCTGATTTTTGATAAAATGCTGTTTTTGTCATTTTTTTAGCTGAAATCTCTATGGTAATATGTGATACGAATACCAAAGTGAACTCCCTGCTCTCTAGAATTGGGGAGACCCCAGGAGTGAAGACTATTGTAGTAATGGAGGAGGTAACAGGAGAAAACAACAACAATGCAATGCAGAAGGGGGTAGAACTGATCACATTCAAAGAGGTGGAGGTATGTGATCAGTGATTTGTTTCTGAAGCCATGAGTTTGTTGTCCTAAGCATAATGAGGCAGACCAATGTTCTCTTTTTTTTTTTCTTTAGATTAATGACATTTCAGTGCATTTAATATATTTGAATTTCATCCAAGTCTTCTTTCTTCTCACACACTGATGATTGTTGAACGTGGACTAAGTTTTCTAGTATGGTACTGAAAGAAAAAAAAAGCATAAAACAAAACAATTCATATAGCCATTTACCTTATTATGCTATTGAAAGAGGGCATTCTTTCAAAACTGTGCAATTATATGTATTTAACTCTGCTAGTATCTGGTAATGAATACTGAAAATTTTCTTTGTTAGACCCTGGGCAAAGCAAATCCGAAGGAGTTGAATCCATGTACCCCTGAAGATCTGGCCTTTATTTGTTATACAAGTGGTACTACAGGTAGGAGGCCATGATCTTGATTTAAAACAATGACTTAAAGCAACATTAATTACTGCATGGTCAGGGTACATTCATTCATTGGGGTTTACTTAATTGTGTGGACTAAATGGAGCACTTACAGGGGCGGATTTAGGCCATCTTCTGGGTCTTCCGGAAGACAGTCAGATTTTCACGTTTACATTGACAGGTATCTAATTTTTTCTGTTGGAAGACGGTCACAATTGGAGGATGAATCAACAAAGAAAATTTGGAAGACTGTCAGTAAATGGCTCTGGATCCGCCCCTGACTAAGGGGCTTGGTTGGTTGGTTCACAAAATGCACATGTGCACACACACGCATGCACACACACACACACACACACACACACACACACACACACACTATTTGAATCTGACTGAAATTATCTAACAATAGATTTTTAGTTTTAATGATCAATTTAACAAATTGATTTTTTTTTTCACTTTAGGTGATCCTAAAGGTGCTCAGATAACACATAAAGGAATAATTGCCACTGCTTCTTCATGTGGAGTACTCATGGTAAGTAATTTATATACTATTTGTACTGGTAGTTTGTAATTTGCAAATGAGGCATGTTTTATATAAATTGTTATTGTTTTTATATGTTAAAAACATTTTTTTTTCTTTAAATTAGCAGGTTGGTATCTTACTGTTAATCAAAAATGCAGGTTTGCTCCAGTTAAATTAATCAAGTTTGGCTGCTTAAATCTGTGTTTTTAATGTGCAGAATCTAATTGAATAATCTCACCTTTTCTGTTTGAATGGAGTGATTTTGTAAAACCATTTGTAAAAAAATTAATACTGAAGTTACGCTTGATTTTTACTTCTCATAATTTGTTAATGAATGCTTACACAGTTATCGAGAAGCAATTTAGATTCTATTAACTGTCACCTAGGAACCTCTGAATGTTGGGCCCAGTGATGTGCTAATCAGCTATTTACCCCTGGCACATGTATATGAGCAGCTCACAGAGGTAGGACATGTTTGATATGAAGAAAATAACGAAATTGTGTATTTGCTTTGTCCTTAAAAGGTTAGAGGCATATAAAGTTTGTTAGATGAGGTTGAAGAAATAGAATAGAATTCTAAATAAATATTTTATTTATAAGTTGACGAAATGATCAGAAAATTGACCAGTAAAATTGCATGTATTTTTTCTAGACATTTGTGCACATGGTTGGAGGGAAAGTTGGCTTCTTTAGGGGTGATATCCGGGGATTGCTTGATGATTTGGCAGAGCTCAAACCTACCTTGTTTCCATCAGTCCCAAGGCTACTGAACAGAATCTATGATAAGGTATATGCTGCGATAGTGAAACATGTTATGGGCCATGCACATTGTGATTATTATACGTGTAATGGGCTGTGCACAATGTCATAATTCAGGGGCGGATTTAGGCCGTCTTCTGGGTCTTCTGGAAGACGGTCAGATTTTCAAGTTTACATTGTCAGCCATGTAAAGTTTTCTGTCGGAAGACGGTCAAAAATGGAAGATTGATCAACAAAGATAATTTGGAAGACTGTCAGAAAATATCTCTGGATCCGCCCCTGTAATTATACATATACTTGTCATGGGCTGTGCACAGTGTGATAGTTGTACATGTCATGGACTGTGCACATTGTGATAATTAAACATATGTGTGCATATGTACAAATGCACACAAAGACAGGAAGCCCCTTAAGCACTTTCCTTACATCTGTAATGTTACTTTTTCTATGCTATTATTATTTTTCTATAATTTACTTCCAGGCAATGGCAGCTGCCTCAGCTAGCAAAATCAAAAATGTTCTGCTAAACATGGCTCTAAACAGCAAGGAAAAGGATCTGAAAAAGTTAGTGAAACATTTTTGTAGAGCAATTCTAGTCCAATGTCTATAATTTTTTTATAAAGTAAAGGCAGGGTATTAATTTGTTTAAAATATACAATAACAGATCATTAACTCTGCTTACATATATGTCTTTTTCTGTTGTCCTATTATCTAAGTTCAGCCTTTGATGTAGAAAGGAAAGATTGATAATCAGTTTTGCCATCAAACTCTTCATATCATATTTAACTTTTATTTTTCATTTTTCCTTAAACTTCAGGGGTATTGTTAAGAGAAATATTTGGGACAAAATTGTATTCAAGAAAATCCAGCAGTCCCTAGGAGGGCGCGTGAAGTTGATAACATCTGGGTCTGCTCCTCTCTCACCAAAAGTCCTCACATTTATGAGGTGTGCTGCAGGGTGTGTGGTACGTGACATAATTTCATTTCTTCAATATTTCCTTCACTAATTTTGGCTCTGCATTTATGGTAGAAGTTAAGAGTTGGGTTTAAAGGTCAAAATTTGTATATTGCTGTATTATTTTGCAACTCTATGTTTACAATATTAAAGGTTGTTAAAGGTTGTCTGTCCGTATGTTAACTAAGTCTTGCTTGTAACTGCGAATTACAGATAAGCAGACCACTATTATCCAACATTTCTTCTTGAATTTTGATTAGTGACATTTCATGAATTTTCAAATATAACAAAATCATGGTGTTATGTTGTCATTTTTGAAAAATACTTTAAAAATCTATGAAAATGACTTAACACTATAGGTCATAGAAGGATTTGGACAGACAGAATGCTCTGGTGTTGCCACTTGTCAGATGCTAGGGGAAGCAGAAGCAGGTGAGCTCTACATACAATATACGTGTCATTTCCGTCACCCTAGACTCACTGAGATATGCACATAGGGCCGTATTTTGTGTTTAAGGTTATTGTAACCCTTTATTATCATCCAAATTTCAAAATGCCATTGTCATTGTGCTGATTTAGAGCAATGAAAAAGCCATCGAAAATATAAACTATCGGTGTTTATATTTTTTGTTGCAATGTATAAGCATAGGCAACTGGTATGGGGCGTAACTTCCTTCCTGAACAAGATTTTATTACCAAAAGTGGCAGAGTTGTCCAGGAGAGTATAGACTACAATCACATGCTGTCATTTTGGTTTAAATATTTTGTTTTGGAGTTATGAGTCCCTAATTACAAATATTCATTAACAAAGGTGTTATTTTACTTTATCAACAAATAAATCTGAACTAAGACTTTTAATAAAAATCACTGGCAGGGTTTTGGAGTACTAAATAGTGTCATTAAATCGGCGTTGAAACGGTGATCATCAGTGCTCAGGTAAAAGAGAAATTTGACAAACAGATTTTTCAGTTTTTACCCCATAATCATGATCATGATGTCACCCGTAAAATGACATATATGTAAACGTTAATTGATTTAGTCACTGAACACTGAAGATTTATTTTTTACCCAAAAGAATGTATGTAAGGCAGTAAAAAAGGAGTTTTGGGAGAAGGGAAACGATATTCTCATGGGGAATTTTTATGTCATTCAAAAAATGTTTGACAATAATTTTGATTGTTTTTGTGCATCTGATCTTAAAATGCGGTTAACAGTCAGCATTGCCCTAGTTGTGTAAAGAAACAATGTTTTCCAGGTCATGTTGGCCCCCCACTCCCTTGTTGCATGGTGAAGGTGGTAGATGTGCCAGAAATGGGGTACTTTGCAGATGACGACAAGGGAGAGGTGAGAAGATCGTTAACAAAATTCCCATTGTTTAAATACTGGATATTTTCATTATAATTCCATTCAGCTTCTCTTGTAAGAAACGGTCACTTACGTATACAAAGGAGTACACAACAGAAGTATCAAGTTAATGTTATATAATAGTAAGAAGGAAAAAAAGAAAAGAAATTTAGATTAGAAAATATGGTTATGTAAAAAGGGCAATGAGAACTGAGAATGACCTGTGTTTTCAGGTGTGTGTAAAAGGACCCAATCTATTTTCTTCTTATCTGAAGAATGAGGAGAAGACCAGTGAGGCTCTGGATGATGATGGTTGGCTGCACACAGGGGATATAGGGGAGTGGCTACCTGTAAGTATGACAACTTACACCTGTTCTTGTTTGTCTGTGTGGAGTGTTTGTCCCATTCTCAGGATACTATGTCACTGTAATAATACACCTGTCTTCTAAAGTTTTCAGTCCAGTTGCCAACTGGTTGCTGCCATGTGTTTGCATCAGTGTCTTGTCATGCTTCTTTGACTGTTCCAGAGGCTTGTATATGGCTGTGTTGATACTGCCAGTTTTGAAATGGACTCATTCCAATACAAAAGGGATAGTCTACAGAAATAGTTTGCTGATAGAATATCACCAGACCAACTCCTGAGACTGAAAGTAATTGTTTGAACCATGCTGCTTTTTATCAAAAATGTTATCAAAATAAACATACCCAGTACCCCCAAAGTTGCTTTTTAGGGAAAACAGTATCATCTTTATTTTTCTTCTTTTTTTGATATGACGAAAATATGTCAAGTGTGTTATAACATAAATTGTTATTTTGTCCAAAATTTTGGTGTTAACTTTTTTGCTGTTTACATTTCAGAATGGCACACTGAAAATCATAGACAGAATAAAACACATTTTCAAATTGTCACAGGTAAGTGTTATGTAATCCCTGAATAATGTAAAATATTATGGTAAAGCAATTTAATTTTAATAGCCTTAATTTTCATAGAAATAACTCACCCCTTTGTCTTCCAATGATTATACAGCTAAATATTTTAAAGCTGTATATGGATATTTTAATATGTATCTCACTACCTTTTGTTACACCCCAAGTTGAATTGTAAACTTTGTAAGTTACCTCGTGTTAAATACATGTACTAGGTAATATTAATGTTCCCCATTTGATGTTAACTTATTATTTCCAATTTTATTAAAAATCTTGCCCAAGCTACAAATCTGAAATGCAATATACAATATTTACACGTACACACAAATAAGTACTACCACCAGATAAGAGGGTCTGTGCTTGTCATTTTTGTGGAATTCTTAAGATTCATCGACCTGTATGTTGCATCTTTCAGGGTGAATACATAGCCCCAGAGAAGATAGAAACAGTGTATGTGAGGTGCCCCTTAGTGGCACAGTCATTCATTCATGGGGACAGTTTGAAGGTAAGCTAGACTGGTGGCATGTCACTGTGCTTAATGTCATATTATACTAACAAGTGGATCGCTTCTTGTATCACCAACAAGTTTTTATATTCACAGTCTTGTGTAAAATTATACTTAATTGGTTAATGAGCATTAATGGTTAGCAGGTATGGTGCTAATGGCACTGGGGCTGTGAAATGAAAACCAGGATGAGGATGCTACAATTGACACTGAGCTTTGAATTTTTCAGTTCCCAGTTTTCTTCTCTTTTCAGTCCTGCCTGGTGGCTGTGGTGGTGCCTGACCCAGACACTCTGCCTAAGTGGGCCAAAGAGACCCTGGGACTCACTGGGACCATGGAGCAGATGTGTGCCAACCAGGTCAGTAGCATTCAGACAGTTTTTTTAAAGTAAATCAGAAATCTGATTTTTTTTTAAACTTGTGTAGTCTAGCGACATAAGTTGCCCCAGAACCCCAATTTGTTCATAATCATAGACTAACTTTGACCATAGGTTACGGACTGTTAAAGTGTATGTGTGCATGTGCATGCATGTTTCAGTGTGTGACAGTGGCTGCATCTTTGACAGAAACTGACATGGTTTAATAATGGTAACTTTGACTTTTTAGCCAAAGCTTAAAGTGTGACTGACTGTATGTGGTGATTATGATCATGGCAGAGTTTTGGATATTGTGAAATCAGATATATGATGAATAAATGGCAAGTGATATGTGTCCCTGTAAAACTGGCAGTGGCAAATTTGTTTTTTGACATCGTCACTCTCATTTGTCATAGGCTGTAAAAGAGCACATCCTGAAAGACATGACAGATATGGGGAAAGCAGCAGGACTCAAATCCTTTGAGCAGGTATTTCTGACTAAAATAAAATGTTCTCCTTGCACTCAATGAAGGTTGATTTCTTACTGAGGACAGTCGGTGCATATGCACCTTGCATACATGAACTTGTTGACAGTTAAGATTTGAGAAAATTATCTGATTTGAAATGTGTGTATTATTGCATCTTTATTTTTAAGACAAACAGAATTACATAGTGTGAGGAAACAAAGGTCACAGTTCATGAATATTAGTGGTAAGGCACAAAATAATGATCATTTTACATAATTGTTTTGAACAAAAAAATTGGATGATCTTGATCAAAATGTGGATACTTGATTTTTAGGTAAAGGACATTCATTTGCATCATGAGTTGTTTAGTGTGGAGAATGGCCTGCTGACACCGACATTCAAGTCAAAACGCCAGGATATAAAGAAATTTTTCGCAACACAGTTAGATGAAATGTACAGCAAGCTGGATTGAGTTCGTAGTAGTTAATTGATGCATGGTAGAACTTAAAAAAAAAAAATCAGATATAATTGAGGAGCTTTAAGATATCTGAAATGTGGGTAAGTGAATAACAGGAAAAATGCTGTTAATCACATTTTCGAAAATCAGAAATGGAAAAAAAAAGAATAGAAGTAGAAAGAACCAGAAAATAAAAAAGGCATTTAATGTTTTAATGCTCAGTCAACCAGAGAAGAAAATGTTTCAAGTTGGTTGAATCAGTTTACTGTATTAGTAAATTGTGTCACAGATTAGCTCTGTAAAATAGTGTCTTGCTTTTTTTTTTTTTTTTTTTTGTGCCAGTAAAACAGAGGGGTTTCTTGTAGAGGTTTTGGAAAAGAGTTAAAAGATACTTGAAAACTTGAAGATGATTTGTACAGTGTCAATATGTATTTGTGACTATTATCTGTTATAACTCTGCTTTACATATCATGTTAGTATGCCAGAAACAACAAGTAACACATTGCCTATCAAAATGCAGCCTTTCCAAAGAATGAATAAGAGGAAAAATGTTTTTCCTCACTTGCTAGACTTTATGTATTTAAGGGTAAACCATGAATAAGCAATGTAAGTATACATAACAGGTTGGACCAGATCCCCCTCCCTTTTTTTGGCAGGGTGGGAGTGGGTTATGCCTGGTCTGCATTGTCAAAGGACGCTAACACTAACACATTTATGTATTGTATTGAAATTATGAAGATAACATATTAACATTTGTTATATCGGAACAGGAATTGGGGAAAAAATGTATGGCATTTCTCCGTGCATTCTATATAGTTTTCTTACATATGGTAAAGTTCACGAGAATTTCATGGATATTGATTACAGGCCAGTGAAGCACCTGTATCATGGTGTTGTCCTCTTCATAAGGTATTCTGGAAAATGGTGAAAGGAATTCAAATGAAAATTAAGTATTCTTGTCAGATGGGTGAAAACTTGTTTTTTGTGTGATAGCCTGTATTATCCTGACCCGTTGTAGGCAAATTCCATTCTTGTGTATCGATCACTGTATGTTGTGTTACAGGTTAGTATTGTTTGAATTATTTGTGGTTGTTGTTAGTTTGAACATATTGATATATTTTTCTATACAGAGCAGACAATATGACCAACAAACATTGCTGTAGGAATTAGCACATGGTTATTATATATAGATATGTGAATTAAATGGTGGGGTTTGAATTTCGTTAAAAAGGTTGATCAAAACCCAAGGAAAAGGAAGGTATGTCCTACCCTGATATGTGGAGTTTGATCCTTTTTAACTAGTTCTTCTGAACTCTGATACTTCCCTGGGCTTCAGATCTGATGCATATAGCTTCTTTTTCAAATCTCCACATGTGGAAAGTTATTGTATATTGTTCAGTGTGTATTCATGGGATTTTGAACATGTTTAGCAAAATTGAACATGAAGATGAATAAGCTGAGCTAAAGCAGATCTGAGACTTAAGCTACATGAATAAATTCTTGGACTTTAGCTATGTGAACAGATATGGATTTCACCAGATCAAATAGGTGATCAGCAATTGTCTACCAAGCCTATTGCCATTTCATATTGGAAACCTCCATGACAGCCCCCCAAAAGAAATGTTTTCAGTATGTATTTTTGATGAAAATTAGCTCTCTGCTACTGAGGTTTGAATGATGTAAACTTGTTTTTGAAGTTTTGCAGTGGAGTGAAATGACTTTGCTATTTTTAGTTGCACCACTAGAGTTTTACTTTTAATTTTTAAAATTAACAGTGCAGTCCAAGACACAGCAGCTCATGCATGAAGCATCATTGGAGAAGTGGACTTCCATACCGTTTTGTAATTAATATATTGCATATCTGTTTAAATTCCTGTACCAAAAGGGACCTAATTTTTCGGTTGTCAGTAAATGTTGGCATTTCCCTGTCATTTACACATGTGCATTTATTGGAGTGGAATAAAGCAATGGCAGCAAGTGAGGCTAAATATTAAGTGTATCTACATTTAAGTTGTCCATATATATGTAACATTAGGGTGACTAGGAAGCCCAAGATTAGAGATGCCACATTCCTACAGTGTAGCAGCATTCCTTTGTGTTTTAGTATACTCTGCTGTACAAAATGTAGTGTTTTGATGCTCTCTACCAGAGGCCCTTCAAGCTGTGTTAACCTAACTGATGTTGTAACTGCTAGAGTATTCAGAAGGGCCTGTGATAGAGAGGCGTGTTTTGTTGTGTTCCACGTCTTCAGTATTTAGGATGTTGCCCTGTATTTATTAACTTAAGTTTAGGCATAATGAAAGTATCTTGGCACCTGTTTTATTTACTCAATTTTTCATCAGATAGCACTCTTGGCCTCATTAAACTGTTTGTATAAGATTAACGGGTATGTTTAAAATGTCTCCCTGAATTTGTGCTGTTTAGCTGTTGCCAGCATTTCACCTTTCACCAAAGGTATATTTCTCAGTGCATCAGGACAGTTGTCATCATTGTCAGCATCAGTAAGTTCAACTGGTATGTTAGATTTACTGGTTAACAGCTAGTATGTGTTCAACAGTGGCACTTATATAGAAAAGATGAAAGCATTAAATATAACATTTTTCTACCTTGTAACCATTTATGCATTTGTTGGAAGAAGGAAATCTGTCTTATATCGTTCAATTATTGTAGGTCTGTATTTCACAATTACTAATTTCTTTTGATTTAACAATTATTGAGTGACAGTATTCAAGGCATGTGGCAACTCAGAATATGACTTAATACTTCAATAAACATAATTTCAGCAAAAAAACCCTTTAAAATCGATTTCTTAATTACCTATTGGTGGTTTCTACTACAGGCTTCTTGGTGCTGAAATGTTTGTTTTCCAATCTGGGTTTGCACTTAAAATATAAGAAGCATTTCTGATTTGTGAACTGGTCTTAAATAATAAAAACAATATTTTGTACAAAATTTATTTAACCATCAAAACCATCCTGGACATTACAGTTTCACAGCACTCTTTAATTTAACACCGACATAAAAAACGTGATCCTAGTAATAAGAAAGATGGAAACATCTATACTGGATAATAATTATAATAATGAACAAATTTCCAAATAAGTACAAAATTCTTTTAATTGCCTTTAAAATTAAAAAGTCCTTTAAAAAGCAAGACACATAGTTGGATGTTGCTGCTGACCAAAGTCCTGCGATTCAAAGAAGTTCCAAATTAGGCAATTTAAGAAAAAAAAAGCTGTTTTTTCAGTGATCTGCCTAAATGAGGTTTTTCTGGATGAAAAACTGAAGAACAAAGTAATGATCATTTTGATCATTTTACTGTAGCAATTTGTCAAAAGAAAAAGTAAAATGAGGGGAAAATGCAAACAAACAAACAAAAAACAAAAAAAAAAAAAAACTTCCTGTACACATCTTTTAAGTGTTTAGCTACAAGTGTATAACAATAGCTCTTCTGCAATAAGTAGGCAAAGCTCAAAGCTGTATTACTACATTTGGGCAGTTGATAAACCCAAAGAAGTTAACATGCATTAAAAGTTATATAATTATGTAATATGTTTTAGTAGCTGAGCTCTTTCCATCAAAATACTCTGTCTTTCTTACATGATCAGATCTTATCTGTGATGATCAGCTGACGAGTGCCACTACTTGGTAATAATACTTCAGATTCAGTCCAAGTCTCCACACTGTAATTGATGACCTTGACAAATATACAGTCCTATATATGAATTCTGTACTCTGTTATCTTATTAATGCATACAAGAGATATTTTGCAGATCATATAGACCATGATTGAAAATAAAAATTCCTTAATTTGGCAGCTGATATTTTTACTAACCCTCACGCAGTAATTCACATGAAGTTTGTGAAGAGATGGAATATTATGAGAAAAGATACGAAAACTGGATTTTTTTTAAAATTTGGAAAAAGAGAAAAACATAACTGCGCTTGATTTGTTTCAAATTACTTCTTCCACAGGAGTTTGCTGCAATGGCTGACAGCCTGTAAGAGAAAATACAAACAGCACTTACCAAGTTTGCATTAGATCTGTATCAACTAAGGTCCTAAATAATCACTGGGACCTCAGTCCCAGGATCCAACCAAGTTCTTATTAATTTAAATGCTGTGCACCAATTCACAAAAATAATCGGGTGTTATTATTTGTGTGTGTGTGTGTTAGAGAGAGAAAAGGGCTTACATTGCATTTCTTGGCATTAGTCATGCTAGCACACCAGAATGATGGACCCTGCTTGCATCCTTTGTCACCCATCACTATCTTTTTGGCAGGCACAAGAAGCTGTTGTCTTAGGGCAGAGGTGGTGCACAATTCTACAGCCTGCAACAGAGTAAAGCAACAAGTCATTATATTTTCTTTACATAATACACATTTTTTGGTTTGAACCCCATGGGAATGTAACCAAGTTGAATTATAAATGATTATATATGTAATTTAAAAAAAAACAGTCAAATACACAAACAACTGTCGGCATGGAGCACTTAAATTTGCCACATGCCACATTTTCTTAATGTCTATGATCCGAGTCTTGGATGTCCAAAATTAGCTTCAATAAGCAAAAGCATTTGCTAAACCATTTTCTCCTTTTTTTACCACCCGGCAAAGCTACTAAAATGAAGTTACTGGAAACTGCCGATTGTTAAAAAGCCTAATATTATTTCATGTATTTTAATTACCACATTCTAATAGACTTAAACAGTTACATATGACAGTAAACAGTAAGTCTCCGAACATACTTTGTTAGTAAAAAAAAATCTTTAAGAAAACCATGTTAGTTATGTCAAAGTACATACTCTGATTTTAAAAATCTATAAGAAACACCATGTATGTTATGTCAAATACATACCTTGCAAACCTCTTCAGGACTAATCATATTCTTCAGAATCTGTATCACCTGTGGAGTATACTCAGCCACAAACTTATCACACTGAAAAGAAAACAGTTGATAAAATGTATTCATTGGCAAAACAAAATAGAAATCTCAAGTTATTGTTTTAATCAATAATATAAAACCTTACTCTCAACATTGTCTTCTGATTGATAAAATGTTTCCTTTCCTGTGATTGGTCACATGATTTGGAGTCTTCAGGGGTAAAACATGGGAGTGCAGTTTTATTTGACTGTGCAGTAATGTCTATATGCATTTATCCAACTGTTCATAGGTTCAAATTGTTTAAAGGTTGTTGACTTCAATCATTTTTGATGAATAGAGTTTTTTTTTTTTCATTTCATTTAGTTTATAAAATCAAATTTCATAGATAGTGGACAGAATCTTTATTAATCATACATGTTTGACGTTTTGAGATTTACAGTAGGTTCTTCACAAAAAATAAACATCACTTATTATAATAAAAATCATTATAATTGTAATTAAAAAGTATTGTAATTTTTACATGTGCAGAAGCCACAATATTTGAGCTTCAAATTTTACATACGAGGCCCTTGGTCAGATTTCCAATACAAATTTAAAGAAAAATGTAACCCACCATATTAAGAACCTGTTACTGTGGCAATAGATTCTTGATGACAGATATGACATGCAGAACTGGGTTCCAGTGTTTCTGTATACTTACCTGATTTTGGTCAGCTTGGGGCAGAGAGTTACACAATTGACGCAGACCTTTCTCAATTTCTTGTACAGTGGCATTTTCATTGAACAGGGAGACCAGGTAAGACAAGAATATCTTACACTCCGTGCACATGTCACTGCTTTGAACATTGTGGACTGAAATGAAGAGAAACTACATTCTATTAAAATAACTTAAAACAATATACTGTTAATATAAAATTTATCTAAAACAACAGATAAAACTGACATAGAACAAGTGGTTATGTAACTTCATCATCTGGATATGTAAATTTGCTCATGTATGCATATATTTTCTGTCAAAACCTACACATACATACAGCCGAGTGCTGGAGAATGGGCATATTCACCAAACACACACTTGGTCTTATTTTATTTTGTTGTGAACATTCAGAAAAGGGGACCATGCACAAAATATTTTCTTTTTGAGACAACTATGCATATGTTTAAGAGGGATCAGAGACCTATACTGCAACATTAACATCAGAACAAAGTACTATGGTAACATATATCCACATTTGTATCATCCAACCTTTACGTAGATTTGCAATGTATATCAAACTGCACCTTACCTATCATGGTGTTATTGCAAAGACCTATTTCACTGCAAATTTGGGCTGGTTTGAGCTGTTTTAAGAGAAGTTGGATGACCTGAGGACCATACAAATCCACAAAGCTGTTACATGATTTGCTTACAGTGGTTGGCAGCAGGGAACAGACATTTTTCACAGCTGTGACAATATCTTCCTGTATAAAAGATGTTAAAAGAAAAGAGTATGACAAGAAGGAGAAACCACAATACATCCAAAATCCAAATGTAAAAAAAATACATACAAAGGAAACAAAAACCTACCTCAGTGGCATTATCCTTGAGCACATTGTCCAGTTGCTGAAGAACAAATTCACATATGACGCAAACCTCGGAAGAAACCCTGGGTTTCTTGTTGGGTTGTACAGCAGACAGCAGATGTAGAGGACCACCCGTAAAAGATTTACCTGCAGAGCACACCCCTATGGCACTGCAAACTTGTTCAGGATTCTAAAAGAGATTTTTTTTAGAAAAATAAAACGCATTTAGCTCTACCTCCACAAAAATTTCTACAAGGTTTTATAAAGGTATTCAACATATATACTTATAATATCTTATGCTTAAAAGGTTCCAATACTTACATCTTCCCTATAACAGGGGCGGATTTAGGCTGTCTTCTGGGTCTTCCGGAAGACGGTCAGATTTTTAAGTTTACATAGACGGGTATCTAATGTTTTCTGTCAGAAGACGGTCAAAAATGGAGGGTGGATTAACAAAGATAATTTAGAAGACTGTCAGAAAATATCTCTGGATCCGCCCCTGCTATAATACCACAAAATTCTTATATTCAACTAACTTAAGCTAAGTAGGATGCAACCAAAAATGAGCAGAAACCAAATAAGAACAGAATGAAACCAGCAAACTATTCTAACGTCAGAGTGGTATACTAGTCTTTCTATTGTTTATTTCAGAATCTGTAACCTTGGTAATGAAGTTCTCAGCCAGGGAATCGGACTTATATTTTTTTGTGGGCCAGGATAGAATACCAGATCAGTCACTTGGTTGACATCAGTAATTTTTGAACAAATTACCATCTTATGCCTGCATTAATAATGTGCACTAAACACCAATGTTTGGACTCTATTTCCATAAACCTAGGCCTGTAGTTTGAACCAAAAGCCCCACTTACCAATTCATTCAAAAGCAGCTCAAAGAGGATGTCGCCATACTGGTCTATAGTCTGGTTACACTAAAACCAAAGAAAAAACATCATCAATAAAATAAAGATTACAACAACTTTCTACAGATATATTAAGTAAGATACTCAAGGTTCCCATCTTTTTTTTTCTACTTAAAAGACCCTTAAGACCTTACTTATATTTTTTCTTGTTTTATGATATTGTACCAATCAGGCCTACCCAACTACCAGACTCGGCACATAAAGATCCTGAATTAACTGGTATATATGATTTTAAAACTGGTGCATAAATTTGAAAACCACCTAGAACAACCTTAGACTGTCCTCTTACTTTAGAGTACTCTATTTTATTGTCTCTATGGGGGTATATGGGGACTTTACGACATTCAGTTTGAATGCTTTAACAACTTTTGATAGGGCTTTTTTGCATTGTATTAGATTAATGTGGCAGTCTAAGGTTGTTCTAGGTGGTCTTCAAATTTATGCGCCTGGTTTTAAAATCATATAGCGATTTTACGACAATCGTTTACTATCCAATCAAGGTGACAGCAGAGCGTGGGCACATCCTGTCGGTGTTCTGACTGATACTCCGAAATGCATTCTGACACACACCTTGAAAACAGGTAGTGTGGTCCGATATACCGGTTAATTCAGGATCCTTATGTGCCAAGTCTGATAGTTGGGTAGGCCTGACTAATAGACCAATGAAAAACTTCAGCCTTAAGAAAATGGCCAATTTACTTATTCATCAATAAATATCCAATGTTCATCAAGTATATATGATAAAGATTTTACGGGTCCTGGATTCTTTTCCACTTGAATCTATCTCACTTATTGGCCTTACCATTTCAGCAAAGCTTCCCATTTCACTGCACAGCTGAGTTTTTATGTAGTTCTTCACAATTTGCTGAAATAAGTAAAAGCAAGATCATTTAAAATAATAGTCATACAATTAATATTAGTCATTTAAAAAATACAATTTCCAAAATCTTAAAATGTTTCATGTAATTAAACAGCTAACTAAGAATGTACTACCTCTTTAATGTAAAAATTTAAAAAAAAATACAATTGGGTTATGTTGCTTACAATAATAATAATAACAATTTGTACAATTTGTACAGATACACAGAATCACATAACACTAGAATATAATAACAAAGAGCTTGATTACAATAACATCATGCACATATAATAAGCTCAACATGTAAAGCAAGTGGACAGATATATTGTCTGAATTAGTAAACAAGCACAGTATTGTTGGAGTTGGGCAAGGTGGTTAAGTACATAACAATCAGAGGACCTGGTTTTACTATATCAACAACAACTATTTGGCATTATAATTTGAATTAAAAAATATCAGCGCCCACAAAAACACCTCAAGCATTAAATGCAAACTTGGTAACATGTAATTGTATGTAATAACAATGCACCAAAAGAGAACTAATTAAAGTTAAAAAAAAACAAAAAAAAAAAAACAGAAGCATGCAATAAAAAGACTTAATGGACATTTCAACTTTTTTATTTACATGTCAAAGAAAAAAATAAATTATCTAATACTGTCAAAAATTAATGTCAAAAAAAGAATTATCTAATACTATTATAAGAACAGAAGATGGTTAGTATGATAAAATAAAAGGCAAACAACCCCAAACCATCATGCAAAAGACATATTTTTCATTTTCAAAGTCTACCTTATTAGACTGAACAAATGTTGCTACATCCTGAATGACTTCTTTGCAAGTAGTGCAGTACTCATCCTGAGCAACATGTCCCTGTGGCAAAAATTATAACAGAAATTACAACAAAAAAAACTTAAATGAAATAGGAAAAAACATACATGGTTTCAACAGCAGCAGTCACCTCCACCTGAAACTAATACCATGACCTGCGTATGTATGTTCATTCAAAGATTCAGACTTTGACTCGAGCCATCGCTGACAGAGGCAATATCCATATACCTGAGGGACACTGCCTCCAGATCATAACATATAATCATGGATTCTTTATTTTCTGATGAAATTTCCCCAATTTATAATGTAAAGAAAAGGTTGTAATGAAGGACATTGCAATAAAGGAGGCATAAGAAAGCTGGATTCTTAAATTTGACTTCTGTTTATGGGCATTTGTTTATCTTATTCATTTATTGTTGTTGTTGTTATTATTATTATTATTATTTTTTTCTTTCTTTTTTTTTTTGGGGGGGGGGGTATCAGCAGGGAAATCAGTGCAAGCACCTGCAGCAACAAGGTGCGTGCATACCTGTGTGGTGTTCCTGCGTATATAAGCACTTAAGTCCTGCATGACTGTTTTACACAGGTCACATGTCAAGTTGTCGTGGGTTCTCAAAGACAAAGTCTGTATTAAGCAGATATATTTCAATGGGAGACAATTCATTATACAATTATAACGATAAACACTCAACACTGTTATGTACATTAATGGTCCTGCTACTGTCATTGACAAGGTACAATCAAATATAAAATAAAATCCTGAAGTAATTCAAGATTTGGTAGAAAATAGTTAAATTGCTTAAACAACAACAAAATTATTTTAAAAACCTTAAATTTAAAAAGAAAGACAGAAATAAAAGGAGTCACCCACCTGTAACTTCTGGGCCAGCATGGATGACTGCATTTTCATCACAATCAGAATGTTTCTGTTTCCCCGGCATAGCCCCATGGCTTGGCATATGCTGGATGGATCCTGAAATATATTTTTGAAATCCTGAATAGAATTCTTTTTTCCTTATATATTCTTACCTTTTCTTCATTCATTTTTCTTCATTTTTTTTCCTTCATAAATTCTTATGAAATTAGTTTGGTTGCATTTAGTATTAAAGAATACTTGTGCATTTCAAAACATGTTTATAGGATGAAACTGCCATTTCGTGAAAAAGTCAGAAAATATGGTGTGGGGTCAATGGGGTCACTTACTGGGTTAATGATATATTGGCTCCCAAGTCGGAAATCAGCTGAAAGTCAGAAAAATCTCATCCCTGTTATACTTTTCATTTGGCAAAAAAATTGTTTGAAATAAATCACTTTTTATACAAAAAAGGGGGAAGTGGCTTCCCTTGGCATTACCTACCATTTTAGATTTCATCAACTTTATAATTTCAGGAGTGAAGTCCATCACGATTGATAAACACTGAAAATAGTTAAACAAGAAAAACTGCATACTTAAAAGAAAACAAAAACTTCTTCAAAACAGTGTTAATTTTCCACTATCTCTAAACATAAGGAGAACTTTGTATTGACATTATATATTTGAAATGAAGAAACACAGATTGCATATGACACAGACAGAACATTAATATTAATAACTCTAAATGATTTTAGCTTATCAAAACTGATTAATGTAACCTTTATCATTTTTCCTAAATCTCATGTCTTACTGAACCATACAAATCTACTCACTTCATTTTTAAATGGTCCCAAGAATCTGCAGAGATCTTTCTTCAAGTAATCTTCCCATTCTTGCTGCAATGAATTAAGTTTCTATTGCCAGATAAAAATGTTTTACATTAAAATCATGATTTCTAGTTAGCTACTGTTACGGTCATTATCAATATTATTTTCAACTTTACAAATGTCAGAAATTTTCTTGATTTCAACATATTTACAGTTATCTATTTGCTAAAACATTATTTCACAGTAATTGTTGTTTTGTCATAGCCATGAATTGCTTAATGAATTGATTAAGAACAATTGTATGTAAGCAGGTAGTAATAACCTCCCCCTGTGCTCACCATAGTCTTAGCACTGGTCATTATGGCTTTTGCTTCTGTCATAATCTTCTTGCAAACGTCACACACACTTGCGTCCTCCTTTAACATTTTGCTCATCTGAATAAAGGGGAAAAAACAATAGCACATACAACAGAAACTGCTCTTTTGCAAAAATTCAGCACAAAAAAAAGATTAAATTTATGGCTTGTAGACCTGCTAGGATGCACCGCAGTTAAAATGAATCTTATGACAGTGCATTTTGGAGATCAAGACAACGATGGTCAAAGATTAAGTTCAGGGTGATTCAGACATGAGCCATTCCACAGTAAAATAGCATTGTACTTGTGCACTTACTACTGCTATACCTTACTAATGGTGTTTCCCTATGCTTTAATTGTGAAAAGGCTGACTGGTATTTTAGTGTTTTTCTGATGACTTATATGGAGGGTTCAGTTTTTCTAAAACAACGTATTAAAAAAAAAATTTGCTGAGATCATAAAGTCTTGATCTTCACCTGTATCTTTTTAGTTCTGGCCAGTCTGGATGCTCTCATCTTTTCCAGGGTGCGGTCTGATGCTCCTGAACAAAGTCCCAGCATTGTACAAATTTTGGTGGGGTCCTAAAAAAAGAAGAAGAAAAAAAAAGAAAAATTATACAACCAAACATTTTGATATCATAATAATAAACTATCATCTCTTTTTTCATATGTGATTTATCTGATGAAATATTAGATTTTGTAGTCTTTGTAATATGAATTGTGACCACACAAGTATCCAAAGATTCAAATCCTCAAATGAGAAGAGACAAAGAAGGTTTTTCAATCTGGTTCTCATTGACTTTTGTAACTGGTGGTATTTTTAGCTTAAATAATTTTCTAGGCTCAATTTTTTTTTGACTTACACCAACCTGGTGCATAGTTTTTCTACTAAGACTGGTCACTCAGATATTACTGCCAGTACCAGACAATCTTTTATTTATATAACACAATGATGTATCTTTCATTTAATTTCTTAATATTAATGGGAATTTTGACAATGGTTGAAAGAAATTCATTCTACATCCAAAAAACTAATCAATTTCAATAAATCATGTTTGACTTGGACCAAATTGTTTCAAATTAAACAAAAACTGAAATGACTGTCAGCATCTTACCATCTCAGTCTTAACTAGGTCCATAATTTCTGGGGTGAATTCTGTCACCATTTGGATACACTAAAATGATCAAATTGTATCCTAAGTCATGTATGTATTCACACACACACACACACACACACACACACACACACACACGTTCACAAAAACATCAGCAGCTTGGGTTAGGCAGTTTTTATCACAAAACAGTCTTTTATGGTGAAATGATAATTCTATGAAAGTATTGCTGGCACAAGGAAAGGTTCTAAAATTGTTCTTAAAAGAGGGAAACAAGTATGAGAATCTTTATTGTTGTATAATTGAAGAAAAAAATCTGCATTTTTGTTACAAAACGTAACTGACTCCAAATTTTTAGTAGAAAAAAATCAGGTAAGGTACTCACTTGTTCCTTAAATGGACCCATAAAGTTGCAGAAGTACTTAATGGTATAATTCCGGAAATCTTGCTGCAAGGATTAAAAAGAATAAAAATAAAAATTAGAGAGTTTTTATATTTCTGAAGGAAAACGTTATCACTTTAATAAGAGAAATTTATACCCTCTATAATTTTATAATTGATTTTAAATACAATTATTTCAGCAAAACATGTTTATATCTTTTCTTATTATCATGATTCCAATGATAGCAACTATGCATGCCATTGTTAAAAAAAAAAAAACAAGAAAATTAAGCATTTCATAAATTCATATTTAAATTTATATGAAAACATATGTAGTAGAGTATGGCACGCCAAACTGTTTTGATTCATTTTGATAAATTTAGACTCCAGATCGAAGTATAATATTGGATGTTGTTCATTATCTTGGCTCTCTAAACTTATATCTTGGAATGAAATTGTGAGATCTTGAATGAATTTTTGATGTCTTGGCATGAAATTTCCCATCTTGAATTTTTTTCCGGTTTGGCAAGCCATAGTAGAGGTATGGTAAAGCCTGGCATGAAGGACCACAACAGTTGCATGCACAGCCATGAGAGTAGCACATGTGCCTTACCTCAGCAGTGGGGCCAGTGACAAAGTTTCGGACATCACCAATATACTTCTTGCACAAAGCACATGTATCGGTATCAACAGAGTTCTGAAAAGATAACAAAAAAAGCTTGAACTGTTATCAAACACACAGAAACTTAAGTGCTGAATATCACCTTGACCAGGTCCACTCAAATATCTAATTATTTTCAAACCGAAGCTTTAACCTAAAGCATTTTCAGATAAATAATCCACTAAATTAAACTCTGTGAATACTTCCTATGCTTTTTGTAGAAATCTGGGCTAGCCAATTAGCAATGTCAAAAATTGAAAGCCTGCTCTTTGGGAAGATGCTACTTTGCATCGATGTTTAAGTACAAATACACAGCTGGTTGCAACTTTATGTAACAATTAATGGGGTACATATTATGTTTTAAAATTTAATTAGGAAGTAGATATGTGGTTATTTCAAAACTGATAGATGTCTTTATTCATATCTCCATGGACAATAACAAAATATATGATAAAATAAAACAGAGGGCACAGCCCCTCACAAATTATGAAGAACAGTGAGAGGAAATGAGATCCTTGGCTTCACCTTGCATTTCATTTCCACTCACTGTGCACTATTCTTTGTGGTTCGCTCTTGACTGTATTCTATCTGATTAAATATCATGTGACAAGAAGCTTACATATGTCAGAAGATATGTAGAGGTTATAGAAGTCATCTACAATCAACTCAAATTGTTAAGAGGCATGATGGACAAATGATACTGAATTATGTCACCTTATTCACTTGTAATCTTACTACAGTTCATACAGTATACATATATCAACTGCCAAGAAATTAATGCCTAAAACCCCCATTTCATGGTACAAACTTTAAACCAGTGGTCACAACATTGGGTAAACAGCTAGTCCATTATAATTAATAAGGTCTGATTAGGACCTCCAAGATCTGTAATATTTTGAAATTTATTTTACAAAAAATAAAAATGAAATTACAATGTTTTAAATATGGAATATCTTAATCATGTTGTGATTGGCACAAAAATTAGCCTGTGAAGGTTCCATTCATCAACCGTTTGACAGTTTGTTTTCAACCAAAACTGAATGAAAATGACATCACATGACTCCTTGTGGTTATTTCATACATTTTTAAAGCTGTATCCGCCTAAATAAGAGCTATGACTCAAACACCACACATACAAGATGTCCCTAATAAAGTGCCTTACTTATATATAGGTTTGATAATATCAGAAATATTATACCCATTAAGTTGGTGACTAACTGCAATGTGACTTACTACGTACAAAGCTCCTTTTGCTAACGATGCCTGGTACAAGTATAAAGGGATCGAAATTAACTGTCCTTAGGAGGTGGGGATGAGATCTGCCTCTTTAAACAGAAACATGACCTGTCGGAACTTACAATAAATTTCTATGCTGAATGTGATGATATTATTTTATTATAGCACAGCAATGAGTGAACAATATACCACATTTATTAGTATTCCTTTTTATGCACCATTCAGGTTGATAAAGCCTCAAAGAACTGGGAGAATAATGAAAAGACTATGGATATTATCATATGGACCAAGAGATATTACAATACATTCACTAAAACCTTCATGAAACAGTACACAAAATGACATTTGAATAACCCAGGAAGCTAAATCAAACCTCACATGATTTCCAGATCCTTTTTAATTTCTTCAAGACTTTTTTCCAAGACATATAACACTAAAATCTCTGACATGAAGAAAGGGTCACAAAAATTATCAAAAAATATTGACATTTGAACAAAGTTTAACATCATGCCATACAGGAGTTATTGCATGGAAGTGCCAGTTGCTGATATAATTCAGCAGTTGGTCCCCCCCCCCCCCTTTCTTCATCATAATACCCTCATAAGGAGGGCAAGTTAGGTCTATGGGCTTTTTGGCCTCTTGTCCACCAAATGTAATAATCATTCACAAATGGAAATGGCGCTGCACCTCATTTTGAGGAATGCCCCACTGCTTAGGGCACAAAATTAAAACAAATGTCCCTTTAGTTTAGAGTGCCTATCTAAAGTAAAAAAAAAATCTCTTTTTCTCTTATTGATGACTTACCATGTGCTCCAAACAAACTTGGTACATGAAGTTAGGTGTTCTAAGACACCTGTGCATGTACATATGCCAGTCTAACTAGTTTTGAGCAGCCCGTTTTGTGCAATCTATACTGTGACTGTCACTTACGTTTATTCGATGACACTGATGCCATTGTTATATTGGTTATTCTTAGTTTCCGTTTTTTATTTATTTTTTTTTTTTACATCAAGTCATGGGAAATGTCTTCTTTGGCTCCCAAATTAACATAAATTGGCACCTGGTGAACAGACAGTCTACCCTGCAACGTCGCCTATCCCAACTGAACTTTACTATTCAAGGCAGTCAGGACAGTCTCAATGTAGAGCCCTGGTACAGACTTCTTTTCCTTATAACAATTACCGTAATTTCTACTTACTGTGATCTCACTCGACTCTGTCAGCAAAGTCTCATGTATCAAAGGGCTCTTGTAGGATGCACACATTCCAAAGGCAGCACACAGTACATCTGGGTTCTTATCAAAAATAAAATATTTAAAAATTCAAGACACTGCCATGTAACTTGTCTTCATTAATCCAAATTTGCATATAACCAATGGTCTACTTTGAGTATATTGTTTTTAAGTTATTATTTTAAAAAATACACTAAAAAATTGGGTTTTAAACAATTTAATGAGCATTTAATATCAATCCTACTCACCAGTTGTGCCTTGAGCATCTGGAATATCTCCTCAGCAAAGTCATCAACTGCTTCCGTGCACTGAAGAAAAAGATTGCAAGTATAATACAGACATGAGCCTGGGGTTTTAGAAAAAACTCTGAACATTTATTGTGGAACCAAACATCTTGCATAATTTTTTTTTTTTTTGGGGGGGGGGGGTTAATAGCTCTGGGGTCACGTAAAAAAAGTGGAATTCCGTGTTTCCGTGGAAAAAGCTCATGTCTGATAATAAGACAATATATACCAGTAGCCATTGCTCACAAGCTAGTTCATGGTGGCCAAAAGACTTAAAAGCCATGGTGATTTGGTTGCTTAAATAATTAATAATAAAAATAATTATGTAAATGTTCTCAAACAGTTACTCGGTATTTAAAAGTGTGTGTGGTGTCCATGAGGGGTTTGGTCCATTATCATAAATAACATTTAAAAAACCATAAAAGAGAATTTTTGTATACAGTTAAAAAAATCATTGCCTACAACATTCGTTCTCACTGCTAAATTTATTTTTTTAGCATATCTTAATCATTTTTGGTACATGTATCCCAACTGGCAATTTTCAATGAAAATGAAGCCACATATTAACAAAGCCTCTTTTGCCAAGATGTACATGTATTTCACGTATATGTAACTTCCAGGACTCTGTTACTCGAAAGCATCACGAATTATGACCGAACGCAAGCGTCTTTATTCCATAACTTGGCATTTACTCGCCCTATATAATAGCCTCGAAATGAAAGGTGACATCGCCATTGCATATTGTGATGCTTTCCAGTTATGGAGCACAGGTATCTTTCATACCCTTGGCCTTCTTTTTGACAAAGGCACCATGAAGTCGGGTCACCCAATGAAATTCCCACCTTACAAGCATCCAAAGGACAAAGTGAATAACATCTTTATGTTTGCTACGTGTAACAATCAAAAACTTTTACTCTTTAATTAATACTTTCATGTATATCAAACTCTGGTGAAGGAAGCCTGAATACACTCCTAGCACACATTTTGTAAGAAAAAAACTAAAATAGGGAATAAAGGGAAAAATGGAATTATATTTTCCAATGTTGAACTGATGTTCGGTAACTTCTTATACAATTTGCTTATGCTAGAGGTACATAACCATTGCACCCATTTATGTTGACCTTGACCTCCAGGTAGTTTAATCTCTAAACCAAAAGCCAAATGTGCACTATGCATGCTCTGATGAACTTTTATTAAGTTTTATGCAAGAATAACATTAAAATATATATTCATCACATGAACTGACAACTGCTTGTGTTACTCTCAGAGGCATACTAAGTTTTTTTATTTCATTCGAAACTTTTACACATTAAATAAGGGTTCACCTGGCCTGGCCCAGTTTTTTTAAGGCCACTCAGATCATCGACTTAACAGTGCAGTCTCTTCCAAACTTTTGGCCTACTTAACAGGTCAAGTTATATAGTATAAACCCTTAAGTTGATTATACATCCCTATACACCCGTTAACTTATGACCAAAACATCAACAGGACAGGAGTATGATCCTTGGGGCTGCTGTGTTAGTCAACTTGGAAAATGAAAACTGGGATGAGATAAAATGTCCATGGTACACTAGCCCAAATATTAACAATAATAACAATAATATATTTTGAAAACATGAAAATTTATCTGATATGAACTGGTGAACATCTTGGCTGAGAGGTACATTTTATGATGGCTTCATTTCTTCATGTTGACCAGTGTTTTAATTACCTGAGCAAAGTTGCTCACTTCATAATGTTTTCACATGTCAGTGGAGCATATAGTTACCATGGACAGAAAAGGTTGCCTAATTAACACAAATAGCTTGCAAAGCTCTGACATTTCTTAATTTCCACTTATGGATATAACTGCTCAAGATATGGATTTGTCATTGTGCACTTACTTGTGAAATGTAATCAAATTCGAAATAGAGAGTGATAACAAGAATATCCAATAACAAGGCCCTACATGACTTTCTTTCAGTTTTTAAAACAAAGAAGATTATAGAACAGTAATGCTTCATCATACCTGGGTTACATATTCAGGTTTTGGTAACATTTGGCAAGCACCTTCTAGAAACTCCTTAACTTGCTCCTGGAATGAGGCAAAGTATAGTATAAATGTAACTTCAGGCAACATCCGTAGGTTAAAAATATGGCAAAAAAGGCACACAAAGTTAAAATCAAAATATCTGTGGGTAACATACTTATTGATGAAAAAAAACTCAAATGAAGCCATATGAAATATAGTGATTAGAACTACAGGTTGTTCTTATATTTATATCCAAAAGTTTGTTTTTTTTTACCTGTGTTTCGTTTCCTGTCATCAGATCTCGAACATCTGTCATAATTTTTTTGCAGAGCTCACAAAGGGTCTCCTGTGAGTTCTAAAAAGTAACAGATATAAATGTCAAAATAATTCTTAAATTGTATAAGTGTGCACCTGGTTTTAATAAGTCCAACATCTGATGATCTACCAAATTAACATATTTTAGCACATTAAAATATTACAATTTAAAGGAACATTTCTGATATCATAAGAAGAAAAATAGAACACACAATTCTTCAGGGATCCAAATATCGAAATATAGGTATAGTATTAGCTAAAAATTCCCTTCCCCTATAGTAAGTTTCAGAAAACAATTTTGGACATGAAATATTACAATTTAAAGGAACATTTCTGATATCATAAGAAGAAAATAGAACACACAATTCTTCAGGGATCCAAATATCGAAATATAGGTATGGTACTAGCTAAAAATTCCCTTCCCCTATAGTAAGTTTCAGAAAACAATTTTGGACCAATTTGCATCATTTGTGGGCATCAGTTCAATGCATCCTCCATTTTGGGGCTGGGTCTCATCGGTCTGCTTTAGGAAGAGGAGGGCACATCCCCAGCCTATGCTCTCTGGGTCAAAATTATATATATATATATATATATATATATATATATATATATATATATATATATATATATATATATATATGCAAAATCTTGTGTAGTTCACCAGCCCGCTAGGAGATATACTGTATTGAGTATGTGATCAATTGATCACTCAAGTTGAAGATTCAAACCTGTTTTACCTCTGTCTTTGGTGGTGCTTGTGTTTTCCATACTGTACCAATGCAGTGTGTCACCGCACCACAGGACTTGGCTGTTCTCACATTCTGACACCAATAAGTGGGCCCATAACGACACTCTGGTGGGCTGCCAGCACTTGCTGAAAACAAGTCAATAAAATGTTAAACAATTGGGGTATTTTACAGTTTTCTATCAAAATGTATTAATCTTGTATTGTTCATAATGTGTGAAGATTTACCTTTCTCAGTCAGAAAAATCAAGACATTGATTAGTTTAACAGGACTCATTTGAAGTACATGTTAGACACTAGTAGATTTAGGCATGTAGATAACAGTTCAGAAATAAATTTAATTTTTCTTTAGTTAACAGATGTATATAAACACCCGTTATCAGCAAGTAAAGTGTTAAAACAATGTTTTTATATGTATATATAAAAATACATGTACCTACATCAGCTGATAGAATAAAATGAAAAATAAAAACGTGTTTTGGGTAATAGATAAATCTTCAGTGTTCACTGACTTAATTTCTTTGCATTTACACAAATACAATTTAGATGACATCATAATTGTGATTTTGAGGTAAAAATTGCAAAATAGGTTTCTCAAATCTCTCCTTTACCCCACAGACACCATTTCGAAGTAAATTTAATGATGCCATTGAGTATTTTAAAACCCTGTTAGCCATCTATGAAAATAGTTTCAGTGGATCTCAATTTTTTGATGGTTAAAAAGTTTTCATTTAAGATCAATCTGCATATTAGGTATACCTATTGACTATTTTGTCTGTTCACTCTGACAGACTTGGTCACAGCTGATTTACCTGTTTAGGTGAAGTTGAACAGGTAATTATGTATACCTCAAGTCTTGATGATGACTTGTTAGTCCCTCTCAACCCCCCCCCCCCCCCCTTCAAGGTGGGTTTGAGAATATCATCATACACATGGGAAAGTTTGTGTGCTCTGTTATCCCTGTTTGTGGTGTGTTTCTTTTTTCTTAACCAGACGGATTCCAAAACATTCCGTTTGTTGTAATTACCGTCACTGGTTAGCACTTAACCATTGTCCCGTTTTGGCACAAGGTTGTTTTTTGACATATGATTTGTATTTTGATGAACCTACGTAAACCTTGTCACCAGTGTTAGAAATTAAGGCTGGACCATCTGCCCGGGGCTGACAACTTTCAGAACGGGCTCAGAAGTTTTCCCACTCGACAGACATTCAGTCCAGCTACTTTTCGAGATGGCTGGACTTTCGGTCCAGCAACTTATTTTCCTAAGAGGCAAACACTGCTTGTCACTAACTTAAAGATTGTTAACAGACGTATATTTAACTGATTATTGGCTAATATCTTTTTCTTTCTTTCTTTTTTTATCTTGCTTTCCTTTTTTTATTTGAAACAGGATGAAACAAGAATAGGACATCAAATCAAATGTGAGGAGCTCAGTCATCCCCTGTTAAATGGTTTTGGGAGTGGCATTTCTCCTGAGACCATCATGATTAAATCTGAGGGGAATCTGCACCCCCCCCCCCCACACACACACAAACAAACACACCACACACGCATAGGCTAGCACCTTTTGTCTGCCTGCACCTTGCATTGTCCCAGATACAGCCCCCTTTACCTTGACCTCTTTACATAATGGTCCTCTGAAGGGTCAAGTGAAAGAAGGCCAAATTACAGAATACCCTTCCATTCAAGGTCAACCTGACATAATCATGGGTTAGAATTGGATCTTGGTAGCACCCTATTTGAGCCCATGATATAATCATGGGTTCAGATAGGGTGATACTGTTTCTTTTTATATCTGCACATCCAGGATACTGGGTAACTATAATTGGTTATCATCTTTGAAAGTCTGTCAAAATATTCCTGCTTGTTGGATTGCAATGGGGGTGCTTTCATGTGAAAGGGATGGATTTGTTTTAACAAACAATTGTGTTTTCAAACACTGCTGTGTATTTTAACTTTTCTCTTATCTGAAAATGACACTAAAACAGCACTTAAGTCTGGGACACAGACATACCAGTCTGTTTTGCAGCTGTACATTATGGAAAAGGAAGCACTCAGAATAGTGTTGTAATGTTTTTTGGTCATCTCAGGGATCATTTATGCCAAACACCCTAGAGAAAAACAAAAATTGCTCTTCGTCACAAGTTTTAATGGGTAAAGAAAAACAGGTTGTTGTGCGTTACCATTGTTTCCATTTTCAACTTCAGTACAAAGTATTATCTCTCATAAATGTGAACTATACAAATCGTTCTTTTTCAGCATTTAAGTACCTGAAATGCACTCTGCTTTCCATAAAACAACAATGTGTAATGAAATCCTGTCATCTGAGTGTGTAATCACAGATGTTATGACCCAATCCTGTTTCGCTTCCTTAAGACACACACAACAGCGTGTGTATATAGCTTTGTTTCCCCCATTCAGATTCAGGGACTTAGTGTAAATAGTGGAGATTTCCACTGATGATATAATGACCCGGTCACATGAATATTAAACGAGACTAATTAAATTAGCTATATCTGCTTCCCATTCGAGACTAATTAAATTAGCTATTCCCATTCCCATTCTCTTGTGAAACTCATGAGACAGTTTCATGTCAGCGCTGTTTAACCGCTGATTCAGGATCGCAGTATGCTTTCCCAACTCTATGAAGTTAAGTGTACTCTTTTCTGATAATTTTTGGATGTGTATAATGCTACATTTTCCAAATTTTATGAATGTAAAGCAAAAAAGGGTCATATTCTAAGCCGAAGGTGTGCTCACAAGATCTGCACAATGTTAAAATTATGATGCCCATGTCCCTTTGTTGTTACCCAGATGCAGATATGTTCTTACAATACACCCATGCCCTACCTTAAAATGTTTTCATAGCATCTTTCTCATTATCTTTTAAATAAAGTTACAAATATGCTTTTGTTTAAAAAAAGTAATATTTTTAAGAAAATGGTAATACCAATATAACACCCCATTTCCATAGATTAGATCGACCTATTTTAGATCGACCTAACTCCCTGGGGGTTCACGCTAAATAGCTGTCAGCCGGGCGGACACGAAAGTTAATTACCCCCTTAAAGCTTGTAGTAGGCGGGACGGACATTTAAGTTTGATTATCTGAAAGTAATCTAGTGAGACTCCCCGCAGGGATAGATCGATCTAAAATCTATGGGAATAGAGCCTATGAATTCTAAAAAATGAAGAGTTTCTGCTTTTTCTGCTATTCTTGTCAAAAACCAGCTTATTAGCAAAGTTCATGTGGGAGTTATATTTTTGGAGATTCTATCCATTTTGAAAATTTGTCACATCTGCATATGTATCTACTTTTACTGTACAATATGGTTATCTTTAAAAATAAGCCCATTTGAAATATGGATTACATGTCAATAATATCATCATTAGGAAAATTTATACAAGGAAATATTAAATAAATCTAAAAGAATGACAAACTACAAGAATTTTCCTATATTGCAATCTTATTATTCTTTCCTTTAAAAAAAAATAGTAAATTTGTATGCTGATTTCCACCTGGAGTTTAAGTGGAAAAGATGATACCCATGTCACCTTTATCTGTTTTCTTCATACCATTGTCCCTTGGGTAGAGAAAGTTAATGCATATAGGATTGTTGAGGAGGCTGATTACTGGTATATGTGCTACTCAAACTACATGTACACCTGACCAAAAAAGTTTGGAAACATTGTTATTTTGAATAATTATAAAATAACCATATGAGCTAAGGTATAAATACTTTAACCAAATATTGATGGATAATGCATCCACCATTTATTACTTTTTGTGTATATGTACAGTAGTACAGCACAGCATCAACTAAAAGGACTTCACTCTGATTCTTTATATATAAAGTATACTTTCAATCTCCAATTATAAAGTTTGATGTGCTGGTTAGCTTTACCGGACTTTGGAGTGGTGTCACTCTTAGCAGGAAGTTACATGCGTTTGCGATCTCTGGCATGTCCTGTTTGTAGGAGGACACATGTGAGGATACATATCACAGTTACTGATGCGCTATCTGGATGTCACTTTAGGATTATAGCAACTGTTTTTCACCCTTCCTACAAATCATCATTATCATCATCTTTCACCCTTGAGTAGAATGGCAGCAGCAGCTTTTTTATCAGTTTATAATTCCACAACCTATAGTACATATCATATTGTACATAAGAGTGGTAATGCATCAAACTTTGTGCTATTTCACACTGAGTAAGGAGCCGTTCCCGCAGATATTTGGATCAATCTATCTCCCTGGGAAGTCTCACTAAATTGATATCAACTTAACCAGCTTTAATGTCTGTCACACCTAGTAAAGCTATTAGGAGGTAAGTATCTCTTCCCTCGCTGCTTAGATAAGTGTGACAGACATTTAAGCTGGTTAAGATGATAGCAATTTAGTGAGACTCCCCAGGGAGTTAGACCTGTAGTGCCAGACGCAGGGTAGAACCGGCCGGATAGCTCAGGCCAGATAGCAGGACGGCATTGGGCCAACGTTGGCCCAACGCATGGTTGGTTGTACTGCCAATATTGGCCCAATGTTGGCAAGCCAACCACCGACGTTGGGCCAACGTTGGCCCAATGTATGGTTGCTCATTGGCACAACGTTGTACAGGCATTGGCCCAACGTCATTTTGCCAACCTGCCAACGTTNCAGTAGAGCACTCGCCCTGTTAGCGAGAGGTCCCGGGTTCGATCCCTGGTCTGGCTGGTGGTTTTTCTACACTCTCCCAAAAAGGTGCTACAGACCGATCAAGATGGATCGATCTAGGCATGGGAACCCAGTCTAATTTACAGTGAATGTGTACAACTTAAAACAAAACAATGTTTTCAAATCAATGTTCTAGAGCACATGCATGTGCCCTTGCCTATATACCAAACAAGGGGTAAGATCCACTTGGTGAAGAACTTTTGGGAGTTCCAATGCTTGGTGAAATTGTAAACTGGAGAAATGATAAGTTTTATGTTCTGACAGCTCTACTGAAGAAGTTTTTGTAAGCTTCAGGATTGGATATAATTTTTTTAAATCTTTCTTTTGGATGTCAAAACTGTAAATGGAAATGTTATAAATAAAAGCTTATTTCCCTTACAATTTCCTATTGACTTCAGCTTACACTGCTTTAGTTAATAAAGTGGTGTAGTCATCCCTTAATTCTGTTAATTAGTCTAAACTTAACTATACTGAACCGAACTATACACCGCGTTGTGACCAGCACGAGTTAAACAGGCGATTGGCAAACGAGTTCTATCACCAAGGCCATTTTCCCATTTCAATAACAAAAACAGGGACAGTCTTGTACTGGTAGTACAGCCTATTACGCTCAACATGACTGTCATAGCATAAACCAGCCGTACGTGAACATGTACTTGTAGATAAAAACAAGGTGCACAAGTCGAATAATCTAACTCAATACGTATAATATGCCAGGCATTCTCCTGTGGCTCTGTAAAAGATAAGTCTAAATTCTTGCTTACCATATACGACACAGAGCGCTGTTAACACCAGTAACTGCTGCATCTTGCTGTTCTTAATTTTGTGTGTGCTATTTGCCTAGTCTCTTCAATATTTCTGGCAGTCTGGATCATGTGATAACGAAATCATGTGAGTTTATTTTCTCACACAGCTAATTGGCCAATATTCGGCGCAAGGTGTCAGCACAGTGCACAACTGTCTGTCCTAAGACTAGGACAAACCAGAGAAGTAAATCTCTACTTCTATGGACAAACGTATCGTTTGAAATGATAATAATATATTTTTATAATATAAAATCCATAAAATTATGTTCTGTAGGCTTTACAAATGAAATACAAAGGAAATGCAAATAAAGGACAAAGGTAAAAGGATTAATTTAGATTAAACATTGATGGTATCAAGGAGAAATGTTTTGTAAAATATTTTATGGTCATCCATAGATATAAAACAATAAAAAGATAATTTCTTAGTATTTTTTTTAATCATCTGCTCTAGCTTATTGTCCTTGTTTATTTGTCCTAGTTTATTTTATTGCCCTACATCTAGTCGGTTGTCTGGTTGGGAATGAAAGCAATTCATTATGTCACAATTGGGTTGTTCCCACTGAACAAATTATTTTCTGGTTTTTTCAATATAATGAGAATATAATGAGAATATGTTGCGTAACCTCTAAGATATTAAGAGAAAACAGTTGACCCTTGCGTAAAGCGTACAAATTAATGATTGGCCTTGTATAAACAATTGCGCAGTCCGTTGTAATGAAAGCTTTTATATACTTATGTAATTTATAAAGGCTCAAAACGCAATCCGCGATTCCAAGGTTCGTGTCAGTTTTACGTAAAGTCGCTCAAAGAAAACCCAAGGACACATAATGACCAGTTTAATGGTTTATTTGTTGACGCTCTCTAACTACATCATCTACGTGAAGTCTCCATTTTCTTAACCATCTCCCATGGCTCTGTCAAGCGGCCTCCTTTGAGTCCCTCTCAGTCTCAGCCCCGATATTAATTCTGAACGTCTTTTATACATATTTCTTATCTATGGTGGATTCTGTGCTGCATTATTTGGCGGTGGTTAATGATTTTAATTACGCAACTGCATACGACCACTTGTAAACGCCATTTAATTACAGGTAAGGCCACAAAAAGTGCACAAGCAAGCGACTCCGATCAAATTAGTTAACAAGTCTGGAAATTATATTTGTGAACTGAACACGCCTTCCTTTTTTACCACAAAAAAAATACATTTTTTTTCATTAATCACGTTGGAGACATTCACTCTACTTAATATTTACAACATATACAGTATACAAAGGCCCGGAGGAAAACCAGAGATAAAACCCTTTAATTTATATCTTTCTTTATCAATTTAGGGAAAAATAGCTCTGGAAAGCGGGCAATTGAGCGCCTTATATTTTAAAGTCTTAAAAGTATTGATTTGAGTCTTTTAGTGTTAAGGTTAGTCTTTCAAATGGAATCATCGACAAACATCATGGCGAAGAGTACATCTTAGGTTCATCGGCAGGGTCCGCCACTCTCAGCTGTAGAGTTGTTTGTTTTCCAGGGCGCAGGACTGATGGGTCTAACAGGGGCGGATTTAGGCCGTCTTCTGGGTCTTCCAGAAGACGGTCAGATTTTCAAGTTTACATTGACGGGTATCCAATTTTTAATGTTGGAAGACGGTCAAAATTAGAGGATGAATCAACAAAGATAATTTGGAAGACTGTCAGTATATAGCTCTGGATCCGCCCCTGTCTAATGGATCGAAGTGCTGGAAACCCTCAGCCTTTGGTGCAGGGCAGACGGTGGGTCGGAGGCAATGACACAGGTACGGCGACGCAAGGACCATTATCTGTCACCGCCACATAATGCAGCACAGAATCCACCACTTGTCTGGGATGATAGGTGGTGCTTTTCCTCTTCATATTAGCCCTGATTGACTTTGTTTATTATTCTTATTATTTTATTATTATTATTATTATTATTATTATTATTATTATTATTATTATTTTGTGGGGAGCTTGTATTGGAATTTTTTCCCTGGAATTAATGCTTATACAGTATATGCATACTGAAAAGAAAAGAGTAATGGCAGTTGTACAGGTATGCTGAAAGTAGATAAACAGCTGAAGGGAGGTTTATATATATATATATATATATATATAAAGTCTTAAAAGTATTGATTTGAGTCTTTTAGTGTTAAGGTTAGTCTTTCAAATGGAATCATCGACAAGGTCCAGGTAAATGATTCAACCCGCCAGACACAAAAGGGCACTGCCTTGGCAGAATCTTCTGCTGTAAACTTCCCGATAACTTCCAGATAACGATCGGCAGTTATGTTAAGGCCGATTTTATCTCTTAACCAGGTGTGTAGCGGCTAATTACAAAGGCCTGTAAAAGAAATCGACCAGGTAAATAACTCATCCTTACTGACACAAGTGGTCAGGCACTGTGAAGTATGATATCTTCGGACAAAGTCTGCCAAATTTTACATAGAAGTCAATGCGATCCGCCATGTTGCCCGATTTGTTTTACCCCAGATGCCGGTTGCTAAGGCGTGTGACGTCAGCCCGACTGCCCACCAACTGCATCTGTCTGCATGACCTAGTTTCAAAACGAGGCGCGAACGTGTAAAGTTTGAGCTGGCGGCGTACATTCCCCTTGGATTTTGTCAAATTTAGCAACGTGTTTCAGATCCGAGTTCCACAGATGGATGGTCATGATGAAAGAGGGGCTTTGGCAGAGCAGCTGCGAGAGTCGGCAGCTATTGGGAATATGGAATCTCTGCAGAAACTGGTGAATCAGGGTGTCGATGTGAACGATCAAAACAACATGAACGGATGGTAATATATATATATATATACAGACAATGAAACCTTATTTTAACGAAGAAAGTTTATTTTCCCTTGTGCCTCGTTTCAGGAGAAATAGCTTGAGTTCTACTCTGAGGGTCCAATTGAAGGGGGAGGGGGGAGTGATTACAGATCACGGGAAATAAAATCATCAAATCACAGGATGTCAGCACAGTGCACAAATGGCTATCCTAGAACTAGGACAAACACATCGTTTGTAATGATGATAATAATATATTTTAAGAATACACCAGTAAAATCCATAAAAATAAGTTCTGTACTATTTACAAATAAAATACAATACAAATACAAATAAAATACAAAGATAAAAGGATTAATTTATATTAAACAGTAATGGTATTAGGGAGTAAGTGGTAATGAGTAAAGAGAGAAATGCCCAATATATTGTTTTATAAAATATAAAATGGTCAATCGTAAAACTTTTTAAGAAAATAAGTGCAAATATTGTTTTTAAATCATCTGCTGAGCTTATCGCCTTGTTTGTCCTAGTTTATTTTATTGTTCTAGCCTAGAAAGAAATCTAGTCGGCTGTGTGGTTGGAAATGAAAGCAAATCATTGTGTCGCAATGCGTTGCTCTGACGGAACAAGTTATTTTCTGGTCCTTTAAAACTGAAAAGAATGTTGTGTAACCTCCATGATATGGAGAGATGACAGTTGACCCTTGCGTAAAGCGTACAAATGATGCGCCTCGTATAAACCAAATGTTGCGCAGTCCGTGTGGGTCAGCTTGACCTGTGAAGAAATAGCTAGCTTAAGTTCTACTCTGAGGGTCCAATTGCCGGGGGGGGGGGGGGGGGGGGGAGGGGGGGGAGAGTGATACTAGTTCACGGGTGATAAACTCACCAAATCAGAAAATCTCTGTCATAAAAATTTCATTCATATCTCTTTGAAATTTTGAATCGGGCGAATTGAAAATCACAAAAATCACGCAGAGTATAATGACTTCGTGTTACTATATGAACAAATTAAGGAATAAAAATGAAACCGCATCACGAGCTACGGGAATGCGGTGCTTCACGGATCACGCTAAGGTATATGGTTCAGCGCATATTTATCACGATTTTGAAAAAGAAAATACAGGGGTCTTGATCCTTCCCCCTCTTTTGGTTTCTGAAAAAACTCACACTCATAATTTTGACTAGCTGATTCATAGCTTTAAACCGTACCAAATAGCACCGTTTGCCCGAAAAAGAAAAAAAAATCAGCGGACCCCAAACCCCACCTCAAGGGGCCTAGTACCCTGTCATTCCGAAAAGAAAACGGACCCCTTTCAAATTATCCTGGATCCGCCCCTGCACCTGGATAACTTCATTCCCTGATGAAGATGCCCTGACAGACATCGAAATATTGGAAGTAAACAATTTTAATAATTAGCTGTTGATTGAAAAACATTACTTTATCATTTTTTTTTAATTTTAAAGAAAATCAACCAGAATAAAATTGTCCTAATTTTCCTTCAAATCTCGTAATCTGAACCAAATTTTGATATAGGTACAATACCAGCAGGCATAGTTGCGTTGGATCAACGTTGAAAACAGGTTGATACGTTGAATTGCCGTTGATCTACCTAAATTCAACGTAAAATCAAAGTTGATCTAGCCACGTCGAAACACCGTCATAATGTGACGTTGACTCAACGTTGTATTTTGGTCAATGACACTACCTTGCAGTTATGGATTGTAATTTAAAATATTAATTATTGAAAACGTGATACTTTGTTTATCAATACTGTAACTAAATTTATGTCCGGGGTGATACTCACACAAAGACCCAACGTGTTGTTGTCTTTGACATGTCCTCATCGTTGTTTACTACAATTACTACAATCAATTAATCACCGGTTAATGAAACTGAGAAAGTATTTTATTTAAGTCTCGATGAAAATACATTAACATGTACATACATGTATAATAGGGTCTGTATTACAGTAAATGCGGAGTCAGAAAAGTGAGTTTTTTTAATGACACATTTTATCGTCACGTGCGCTTACGAAAGTAAGACAGAAAAGTCTGATAGATCGGAAGTTTTTTGGTCTGAATCAAGTGTTTTGCGGATTTTAGGATGACCGATTATTTAAAAGTATCATAGGGACAGTCGGTCATCCGGGCACTTTACCTTAGCAACCGGCATCTGGGGTAAAACAAATCGGGCAACATGGCGGATCGCATTGACCTCTATAAAAAAGTTGGCACACTTTGTCTGAAGATATCATACTTCTCAGTTCCTGACCACTTGTGTCAGTGAAGTTGAGTTATTTACCTGGTTGATTTCCTGTACAGGCTTTTGTAATTAGCCGCTGCACACCTGGTTAAGAGATAAAATCGGCCTGAACTGCCGATCGTTATCTGTGATCGGGACTCTTACAGTGGTAGATTGCAAAGACTCATTTGCTTACCTGGATGAGCATATTATTCACATCTCTTTGAAAAGAAAACCATATGGAAGCAACTGATAATATCAAGGAAGGTTTCAATTGTTCTAATACCTGTTGACGTTGCATATTGCTGACACATAGGCCTATATGACGGGTAGATTTTCAAGCTTACTGATTTGAACCGGTACCTTTTAACTCTCAGGCACGCGTACAAAAGTGAAATGGTGGAAGCTTGCTGTGCACCAGGTGACACTACCAACACATTAATAAAATCTTATGGGATTTGTTAAATTTCAAAGATCAACGGAAAAGTAAACGACTGTTGCAGGCTATAGGTCGCGCAAACGTGACTAAAGACGGGATTGTTGATCGAAACAAGATTTGGTCATAGCTATACATGCACTACGAGATTTGTGTATGTGTGTATAGTTCATTTATTATAGATAAGGAGAAAGTCATTGTACCTTGTTTGGTATTTATGTTTGTCATTTGTTACATGAATTAATAAGTAGTATTTACAAGAAATTGAGATTGCATCTTGTGTTGGCGTGTGTGACGGTATATCAATTTTTTTAGTTAAAATTAATGGACTAGCTATAACGTGGAACTCTTTTGTTGTAAGTTAACTGAGGGCGTTATAAAGATAAGAAAAAATATATACGTCAATATATTGACAAACCTGTGAGTTAATGCCTAAATCTTTAAGTTATCAAGTAAAATATAAAAAAAAAGTTGCCATAAATAAAGCGACCTTAACTGGTAAAATAACATACAGCTTTATTACCGTGTTTGTTATTCAATTTAATTCTAACCTTGTACGTTTTGAAACTTAATGTTCTGTCTTCCATGATATTTCGCCAATTTTCGTACCAGAAAAGTGCACAATAAGATTGTAAACACTCAAAGACGCATAGCTGCAAATATTAATACAGGTAACACCACGTGTCCTCTGTTCCAGAAAGCAACTGTTTATGCAGTCCTTCCAGCCTTGCATTAATATACAGACCAAAGAGGCCATGGGACCGATGACATTGCCCCTATCCCGTTCCCCTGGCTATTGCAGCAGCAGGTTATTTAATCACAATTTGTAGAATTCTTATTCTAATAACTTTTCAGTGTTGCACATTTTCCAGGCCTTTCTTACGATCCACTCCATCAAGTTCTAAGAAGCCATTCCTATATCACCAACTTATGTACATGTATATACTGTATATACTTAGGGTGGACATTTGCGTATGCAGTTAAGACCAATTTTATCCCGTAACAAGTTAAACAGTAGCTTATTACAAAGGCCTGCTAACTCAATAGTCCAGGTAAATGATTCAACCCGCCAGACACAAAAGGGCACTGCCTTGGCAGAATCTTCTGCTGTAAACTTCCCGATAACTTCCAGATAACGATCGGCAGTTATGTTAAGGCCGATTTTATCTCTTAACCAGGTGTGTAGCGGCTAATTACAAAGGCCTGTAAAAGAAATCGACCAGGTAAATAACTCATCCTTACTGACACAAGTGGTCAGGCACTGTGAAGTATGATATCTTCGGACAAAGTCTGCCAAATTTTACATAGAAGTCAATGCGATCCGCCATGTTGCCCGATTTGTTTTACCCCAGATGCCGGTTGCTAAGGCGTGTGACGTCAGCCCGACTGCCCACCAACTGCATCTGTCTGCATGACCTAGTTTCAAAACGAGGCGCGAACGTGTAAAGTTTGAGCTGGCGGCGTACATTCCCCTTGGATTTTGTCAAATTTAGCAACGTGTTTCAGATCCGAGTTCCACAGATGGATGGTCATGATGAAAGAGGGGCTTTGGCAGAGCAGCTGCGAGAGTCGGCAGCTATTGGGAATATGGAATCTCTGCAGAAACTGGTGAATCAGGGTGTCGATGTGAACGATCAAAACAACATGAACGGATGGTAATACCATTTTGATTTATTGTTGGTACTTACATAGTATTCCAATCTTACACCAAACTAGTTAATCAACGTATTTTTTAAAATGTTTTTCGTAATTCAGTTAAGCAGAGCCTTGGATCAATCACAGATTTGGGGGGCATACTGTAAGACCCGTACCATATTGTGCATTTAGTAGCGTTCAAATGGCACATTGCTGCTCAGCATCGTTACACGCATTGTAGTCAGACATAATGTTGAGAATAGTTGCACACTAGTCCAGCTGTTTTTAATTTAATTTTTTCAAAATTTTATTTATCTAAGTACGTATGTTTTACTTTTGCAAGGTATTGTGCAAAGTTGTTTTAAACGGGGTCATGTCGATACTCCCCTGTACCGATACTCCCGCCGCACCAATAATCCCCTCTTAGGAAATTTCTGCGTATTATGCGCATCGATACGACCCCACACCGATAGATCCCTGCATCGATACATCCCTAGTAAAATTGCCGATGTAGGGCCACCGTTACTCCCCCACACCGATACTCCCCCACATCATTGCTTCCCCACATCGATACTGGGGGGGATTATCGGTGCGAGGGAGTATTGGTGCGGGGACGTATTAGGGATGTAACCGTTTTAAAATGCCATTACGCTTTTAGTTTCATTTTATCAAAACTGTGTATCATCATTTTGATTGTTTTGTATGTCTTGATAGGACAGCTCTTCACTGGGCGGCAACGCGAGGGCATGCTACAATAGTTTCCTTCCTTTTAAACCACGGTGCTGATAAAGAAATCAAAACAAATAAAGGAGAAACTGCTGCACAGTTGTCTGAGAACCCAAATGTAGTCAAAATGCTTGGAGGTAACAATTGCTTCAATTTAGCCAAAGAGTAAACACCTGACCCTTTTGGAAACTATTTAAACTTTTGGCTAGGTATTTTATTGTGGCTACACAATTCATGCCAGTCAGGTCTTTTATCAAGACTGCATAAAGGTTAAAGGTATAATAACTCTTCGTTTCGGCCAAAAAAAAAAATTTCCTGGAGTAAACAACAATTTTCCCATACTTACCAATGGTAAATGAATCCATTTTTACATTCAAAGTTAGTCCCTGTTTTTTTTCTAAAAAGTTTGGTTTTTTGTTAAAATCTCTTAAGAGATTTTAACAGAGTATAGCCATCAATGGAGGTCACGTGGTCTAAAGACAAGCTCAGATATCAGAAAAAATAGCTATAACTGCCGTTTTTGTGGTAAAACAGAATATATTACATTTCTATGAGTTAATCACAATGTATTTATTGTGAAATATAGATCTCATACGAAGAGTTATTATCCCTTTAATCCTGTTCTGAATATTTTTTAGCAATTTAAAAAGGCACATTTTTGTGGGACAGATTTAGAAAACGGCAATCTTGTTAGGCTGTATATTTTATAACTGTTTTTTAACCTCTCCCCCACCTTTAAAAAAGGTATCTTTGCTGGAAATCAATATGTAGTTTTTACTATTAAAGGTGAACCTTCCCAAGTTTCCATCAAGAATGAGCTACCAATCACACCAAACTACATTGCAAACCCAGTTTTTCCCTATGCAACACCACCTGAGCAGAGACCTCCAAGCAGACAAAGCCATAACCAGCAACATCAGCCCAGCTCTACCAGAGATTTACCCGTCACCAATGGGCCAGTTGATAATGGTAACATGTTTGTTTAGTATCATACACTCGAAGTCCAAAAAATTTATTATTGCATAAGGGTTTGTGCCACTAATTTTCAGTCTTACAGTTTTACTTGAGGCCCGAAAAGAAATATTTACATGCATATTTTAAGTTGGTTAAGTTCTGTCTACTACTTACTACATTTTCAGAATTGGTACTTAAAGTTAGGGTGGCCTACACAGATGAAAAAGATTTCATTGAGGTGGAGCTTGAGGAATCAAACCTGACTTACGAAAGCCTCATGGAGTTGATGTGCAAGGAGCTGAAAGTTCAGAGAGAGCTAGTTCACAAGATACGTAAAATGCCAGACACCATTGTAAGGAAGGACAAAGATGTCAAGAGACTGAAAAACTTCCAGGAACTGGAGCTTGTGTTGACAAATAAAGCCATCAGCGCCAGTTCACGTACATACAAAATGCCACGACATGAACAGATACTTTATTAAGTAATTAGGCACGTTATTTCGATTTTTCTATCAAAGTTGTAATCAAGTTAATATTAAAAATCCGCGTGTTGTTAGAATAAGAAAACTACCTGAGAACAAAGAGTATCAATGATACATGTATGTCAAAAGATATGTAGACCATTAAAGTAGGCATTTAAGATTTTTTGTTCAAAACCGGATTTAGATATAAGAAGAGGCAGTAGGATTGAAAAATCAAATATTTGTGGGACTTGTGTGGCAGAGGGAACAGTAATTAGAAATCCCATTTGAAATTATATTTATTATTTAAGCTACAGTAAATTAAGTCATTAACATTACAAATATATTAAACAAAGTTATCCAGTTTAAATAATTTTCAGTGAATATTTTTGTACTTAAAGACTTATGAAGTCAAAAAAGCAGTACTGTTACAAGTAGTCAATAAGTTGCATGGTGCTTTGTTCTCCAGAACAAAGGTCGTAGATGAACCTTGACACAATTTGTTGAAATTTAAGAGACCATATTTGGGATTTGTCTGGGGGTGGAAATTTTTCTTGCACCTGCATCACATGCTTGATACTAACCTACTTTTAATTACCCTATCCAATTTCAACCTTTCCCTTCTCTTGGTACAAAAAAATGAGGTTGCCTTGTCTACCTGATGATGGTATAAAATTACTAAAGAACAGCACCATTATTTTTCATCATTGATAGATTAAAGGACATAACACGCATTTGAGGAATTTGCATATCAACATCATAAAAAAAAAAAAACTTCAAGAAAATATATCATGCATTTTCTCTATAAGTAAGTTTGAAATGATATATATATCCTGGTGCTTCTGTATAATGGTGGGGGTCTATTGGAGAAGGTAAAACTGAATATACAAATTTTGTATATGTGTATGTATGTTTATTTACATATCAAATCGGGATTGCAGTCTATCCAAGAACAATAATTGGTATAATGAAGTGACCTTTCATGCTTATTTTTTGTATGGTGCCGTCTTGCAGGTGAAAGGGAATACTCTATAAGGTTATGTACCATAATGATATGTTTTCAAGGTGAAAAGTGTAAGTTGATATATACTACGTATCAAAGTATTCACAAAAAGTCATATTTGTTATGTTCAAAGGATCATGTTGTACATTTTAAGATTGAAAATAATTGTTGCGAATGGTTTCTGCTTGTACCAGTATGTCTAGGATTAAGTATTTTTGTTTCATTTATTGAAGCCAGTATTTTTCAAGTTTACAGGCATATAAAAATCTTGGTAATATTTATATCAGAAATATGGGAAGGGTATTTGCAAAGATTTTTATTATTTTTAAGCTTTTATCAGACTGTTATAAACAGTTTTGCTTTTGTTTAAAATGTAACCATGTTTTGAATTAACTGTAAGATTAGTCTTCCAACAGTAATCAGCTTTGTATTCAGTTTGTACCCACTACACATATTAACTTGAATTTTTGCACTTTTTATATTTATTTGTACAAAACATAAGTCCCATGTTTTGTTGCAAGAACTAGAATCTCGCCCAATTTTGTGGAGTTTAAGTTGGTGCTCTAGTACTTAGGCTAATTCTATGAATTTGTTAATTTATAAGCATTGTTTGTCAGGAGGCACAATAAATTCAGAATTTTATCTTTTCACCACGAGTTCAAGATCAAAGTATTTCTATTTGGGTCAATTACTTATTAATTTATTTTAAATAAAAAGCTAGTTTCCTGGAATTAACTATCGCATGAAATTTGGTATCAGCACTGAAAATTGTGTCAAATGTCATTTTAAGGTACTTGACATAGACATGTTTTGGTCAACTTGGAAAAAACATTCTGATGTGAACTGCATCATACCTGTTAAGGCAGTAATTTTTTTTCTTTACACCCAAATTGGGCAATGCGTAAGAACAAAAATCATCAATTATCCTATTATATTCAATTATAATTTAATATCATTTATGCATGGACAAGTAGCTCGTTTGCTTGCTGTTGATAAGAAGAATCTTAGATATTCAATGCAAACTAAAATATAATTTACACACTTTGTTAATGTGTGATGTCAAGCCACATTTGCTGTTAAAAATTACACGTTTCGAAATTCTGTGCTTTTTTTTTTTTTTTTTTTTTGTAACAGAATTTTTAACTCTGATACTATCTAGTATGGAGCAGTCTTTGGAAAACAAGTTGAAAAGAAAAAAATTCACCATTTTATTCTCAACTTCCCTTTATTATCAGAAAAAAATTTGAAAAATTGTTATAATCAACAAATAAATTTATTGATCCATTCATAAACAACATTCAAATTTAAACTCTAAAGGGTTTTTTTCTGAAAATATCTAATAAATGAAAATGTGTACTCAATAAATGTGTAATAAATTCTAGATTTTTTCTATTTCATTTTCTTTCCTCTTTTTGATCCTTATTAATTTTTTTTTTTTTTGCTTTGTCAATTAACAGCTTAATAAAGGTCACAGCTCTGGCTAATAAACAGTCATTGTGCATTTGACAAACCAAAAACTTCTGGAAATATCTTTAGACAAAATGTTTAGGTGAATTTTTGCATACAATAAAATTCACACCCAAAATTATGAATTCATGAACAGAAATGTGTTTGAAATATAACAATTGTCGATTTTTTCCATCAACTACCCATTAAACTAACTGATATAATAGAAGAAATAAGGACTTCATGTAATCAAACTTGATGAGAATTTTAATTCAAGTTACTGATATTTACAACATAAATCACTTTCTGTTATCCTGTAGTAGGAAAGCTACCAGTTACAAAATACAGGGGTACACAAAAATCAAATGCTACAGACTGCACTCAAAATCACACATACCTCTTAATAAATTGGAGACTGGACACCATGATAACAATTATACAGAGTTCAAGATATTGGTGCAAATCGAAGCATTTGTATTCACTTGTGTTTTGTTTCTTTTTATACCCCCTCCCGGATTTGAATATCATATACCCACCCACCCTCCCTACTACCCATTGAAATGAAGCATAATCAAGCAGGTCTTCTGGCTGTTTACTTCTTTCTGTCTGCTGTCCACTGGTTTTTTTTTTTCATCGATTAGGCTGAAGGCAGTACACAGGGGTCCAAGATATAAATACCTGCTGATCTTGTGCTATGGTTTCTTTGTTTCCAGTAGTGTCGATGCAGAGTCTGAGGCTGGCGTAGAACAACGGTTATATCTAAAATACACAAGGACACACAAAATACCAAACATGCAACTTTACCATATGTAAAAACATAAATGAATAAATTGGCACCTTTAATGGGAATGTCCTCTTCAATCCTCCATCTTGTGTGGGATGTCCATGGACTGGCAGGACTATTTAACCATATACAGATAACAGGTGATAAATTCACATACTTCTTAAATATATACTGTTCACTAACCTCACGGTGTCTGGGACCCCTCTGCTTCAAGATATGCCTGAAAACAAGTCACATTCTTTCCATACCTCTAGCATCCTCCTCCAGTCAGCTGTGGTAAGAACAAGCTTACTTTGTATGGTGAGTAATAATTACAAAAAGCTGCCCAACACCAGGTTCTGCTGAGAGATAAACAAAAGATTAAAGCTACACTGAAATGAAACAGCACTGTTACCTCTGCGTTTGGTGCTGCATTGTCAAATACCACCAGATCTTCAACTTTCCTCTGGAACAAATGCTGTAGAATGCTAGAGATCCAGTGTAAATACAATGTACTGTAAATGGCTAATTCCAACATCAACAAATGTATCACTACATACAGTACATGCATGATACATTCTATTTCATGAATGCAGTGAACAAAATATGTAGAACAAACCCCCTATACAACACACTACATGATATGTATTATGGCCTTTATTACATCATACCTGCATCATCCCGATGTTATAAGAATCTGATCAATCATAGTGACCTTGGCTGATGTTATATAAGTTCTCCCTGCGCAGAGCCCCTTCTTCAGCAGGAGACCACTGTTTCCATGGTCACCGGTCAAGTTACAACAAATCAAGTCAAAGCATGATGAAGGCACAAATGAGCAAGTGATATTGTCCCCAACATTAATTTACTCCATACATGTTATAAAAATATAACGGCCACAAGTTACTTCCATGCGGTCTCCCACCCTCAATAATAAAATTTTAAATGACAATACATGGTGGCAAAGATAATAAATATAGCCTTATATTTCCATGGTGACCCCATCCTTAAGCCACATCATCCCAGCAGTACTGGAAGACACCATATCTTCCTCAGTAACATTTTAGTTTTGTGTGTAATTTCCATAAAAACAGGCTGAAATGTTACATCATTCGGAAGCTGCTATGTACCTTAACATTTTTTCTGGGTGGAGGGGTGGTTGGGGGATGGGAGGGGGTAATTGTCAAGGTATAATGATTAAGTCCCCCCATTTTCTTTGAAACCAACATAAGCAATCAAATGTAATGACCCAGTAATGTCACATACAGGCAAGCTTCCAGCACTACTACTACTATTGTCTGCAGTTCCACTGAACATATACCCCACTCACCTGTTGATCATTGGAATCAAATCAACCAACTCAGCTGTGCTGATGAATGGAGAACAAACTGAACACTTACCTTGAATCAATAAGAAAACCTAGTAGTTCAGGTTCTGCTTTCACTTTCACCTTCAGAGCCTAGTGAATCCAAAGTGTCACTGTTTTCTATGCTCTCTGGTGCTGATTGCGGTGGGATTTTGCTGCTGAGGGGCTCAGTGCTATCCTCATTGACATCAGTCTTATCCCCACTTCCCACTTCAATGCTTTCCTTCAGGTCTACCTCTTCCTTAATTTCTTCTGCAGTTGAAGATTTTTCATCGATGCCGTTTTCCTTTTCTTCAACAGCTGTATCTGCAAACCCAAAATTGAATTCAACCCTATTTTAAACTTATTCAGTGTAAGATATGTGAAATCAAAAATGAACTAATTTACTTTGAAGAAGTGAGTAAAGCAAGTGGGAAAGATAACTTATTTCTTATCTAGAATAACAGAGCCATCCTAACGCAAACCTGGTTTTGGTTCATCAACGTTTTCCTTAGATCTTCTGTCACGTTCTCTTGACCGTTCTCTACTGCCTCTCCTGGACCTTTCACGCTCTCTGCTCCTTGACCTGTGTCTGCTACTTTTATGTCCTCTGCTTCTGCTGCGTGACCTTTTACTTCTGCTTCTAGATGAGGACCTACGTCTTTCACGTGAACGTGATCTTCTTGACCTTGAATGGCGATCTCGACTTCTAGACCTTCTCCTTCTGAAAATGTATTTAAAACATCTTTTTAAAAACTTTATTATTTGGATTTCCTAACTCTGTTTATATCATGCAACATTTAATTCCTCCTGTATGAATATTGATAATGCTTGGCTGTAAATAGCCACCAACCTTTCTCTACTTCTACTTCTTCTCCTTTCTCTATCTCTGCTTCTGCTTCTTCTCCTTCGACTATCCTCTCTCTCCTTTTCTTTACGCCGCCTCTCCTCACGTTCCTTTTCCCTTTCTTTCTCACGCTCTTCTCTTTCCTTGCGCAGTCGCTCTTCTCTTTCAATTTCAACCTTTTTCCTCTTGTCCTGCAAGTAAAAGTATGCATATCCTACAGTAACAAATAAATCACCAACATTTTGTTACATAGGCATGGGTTCACACTAGCATCACTTGAATATTACTATAATTGTAAATCTTTTGAGACTGAACTACTGTTAAACAGTTGTAAAATCTATACACTGACAAAAACCAGTGGAACTCAAACAGTTTATTGTCAGCAGACAATATCTAGCTTCGTTTCAGCACAATTTCCCCATGTACCTAAAAACCATCACATTTGAATTATACAAATTGATCGATTTCATTCATGTTAAAACAAGCATAAGATGCCAGAGTGACGCCAGTTTGGTTTGATTCAAAAAAATACCTTTTTCTCTTCAAGATAGGCACGTATTCTGGCATAACCAGCATGTTGTTTGCCTATCAGATGTTCATCCACTCTTTGCGGTACATCGCCAACTATTAGAAGAGCTCCACACACATCACATACTTCCATCTGCTTCTCATTCTCTGCAGCAATTTTCAGGCTCTAAAACATGAGAAGAGAACAGCGGATAAAGCCACGCTCTGAGCACCCACCTGAAAATCTTGAAGAGTGGCACGAACTCGAGCATAGCCCATGTGCTGTTTGCCCATGAGGTGCTCTTCCAGGCGTTGCTGGGCATCCCCTACGATTAGAAAGGCTCCACACACATCACACACCTCCATCTGCTTAAACTGTGGGTCTGGGGCACTGCTCTGGAAAAAATACCATCAAATCAGCCTGCTGGACACAGGCGCTTGGTCCCATTCTTCTACTGAATAAATAATCTAAATACATAACAATTTATACCCAAAGTTTTAGAAAATCAGCATTCTATTTTAAATGTTGAGCAATACACATTTTTTTCGAATTCCTCACATTGAGAGGTTTCTTAACCATTTTCTCTATTTTAAAATAATATCTGTGGGGAAAAATCTTACAGTCTCAAGCTGAGTTCTTTCTTCTCTCAACTGCTCACAGAGCTTGAGCACACCTTGAGCTTCTTCCACCTTGCCCTCACAACCAAGATTTTCTGCCTACAAGGTATGAAACAATTAAACAATTAGTGAGGTGGAGCAAATTGGGTAAATAAATTTATTGGTATGGTATGCTGGAAATCTGGGTAAAATGAAGCAAAAAATCAAGTTGGTATCATCTGAACACAAGCATCAATGCATGCACATATAAATCAACATGAAGAGAAAATGGGAATTAATGAAAATATCTCTCACAAAAGAAATACAAAATAAAATAAATAAATAAATAAAGGGAAATTACCTGTTCCACTAAATCATTTATTCTTTCTGTCAGCATTTTTATCTTTTCATCCTTTGCTATAGGGTTCGGGTTGCCTGGCTATAAAAAGGAAAAAAATGTTAAACATGTCATAGCTATATCTATTAACAAAGCGGATAAGAAACAACATTTTTTCCAAAAAGTACTTGGGTGTTTATCATTCCATCTTAAAACAGATTTGTTCTTAACAAACACTGTGATATTCAATTTTATATATCAGTTATAAGAAAAATAGGAAAAACAATTATCATTACTTAATATCCACATTGTGTTTTATCTTTGGTAGTGTACATACTGTGCCTGCATTGTTGTTAAGTGATAATCTTTGATGTCCTCTTCTGATACGTCTTTCAACATCTGCTACCAAAGTATTCAAATATCTTTCAAAGTCTTCCTCAAACCCCATCTTTTGAAATTTTGGGCTTTCACTGTACCTTAAAATATTGTTAGACAGTCATAAGCCATGCTAAAACATTTTTTACAACACTTTAAATTGCATATTAAGTCTTTGCCACTAAACCCAACCATATGCTATCACATGGTTTAAAAAAGCATAACTTAAAGAAATACCAACCTAGTATTCAATTTGGTTTACCCTTTGGCCTGTTGTATTTTAGTTGGATAAAGAACTAGTAGAAGTGGTTTATATGCGTTACTGTGAATGTAGGCTTGCTTCAGTTTCGTAATTAGTGATAAATAAAACATCTTGCTACAAAATTGCTAATGAATACTAGTGAACTTCTTTTAATGGATCTTAAAGTTGTACTGAATTTTTAAGGAACAAATTCTGACAATGAAAACTCTCAAAATTAGACTTACTGTCTTTTTAAGTCCTCGTCATGAATCTTGTTACATTGACCTGAAAGAAAACAATGTTTACCTTCTCATAGAAACAACAACCAATTTTCCGGATTTTTAGCACACTATGATTGATGATAAAAAATTCTAATGCTTAGAGAGCAAGTGTACTTAAATGTAATGAAAGATATGCGCTGATCATATAACATCAGTTGTCCACAGATCAATCTTACAACATACAAAGGACTGCATTATTTCTGTGAATATTTTTTTAAAAAACTTTCAACATTTAGGTTAATGATATACTTCCCTTATATAGTTGAAAATGCTAGACATAATGTTATTTTCAGTTACTGGAGTCATTACCCTTGTGATAAGTATGTATCAATAACAAGATAAATCCCCGACAAAAACATCCTATAATGCTGTCACATCACTACCATGCATATGATATGTACATCATTGCATTGCAGTAATTTAGCGACATCACAACGCCGTGACACACTTTTTTGTACAGTTGCCAGGCATCAGCTTTAAATTTGTCTATAGTTTCTGTTCTTTGTACGGCATTCTTGTATTTTATCATTCTAACAAGGGAAATGCAACATTAAAGTAAGTGGTAATAATAATAATAATAATAATAATAATAATAATAATAATAATAATAATAATAATAAAGATCTGGAGTTTGATGTTATACCTCTCCGTGCAATTACAACCATAGGCATCAGGGAGTCATGACAAGTGATTAATAAACTTTGAAATCCTCCATATACCCAATTTTTTGTTATATTGTTCCTACAAATTTTATTGCTGTTGAGTGTTCTACTGATTTGATTACCTTTGCCAAGGAGGTTACGTTTTCATTCCTGTTTGTTTGTCTGTTTGTCATCAACATAACTCAAAAAGTTATCGATGAATTTCGATGGAATATAAGGGTAGGTCAGAAATGAGTTAACTTAGAAGTGATTAGTTTTTGGTGGTGATCTGGATCAATAATCAATCAATAATCAAATAACTAAGATATGCACCGATTTTGATGAAATTTTTAGGAACTGTCAGAAGTGGGCCAAGGAACAGATGATTAGTTTTTGGTGGTGATATGGATCAATAATCAATCAATAATCCAAAAATAAAAAAACTAAATCATTATAGGATGAAAATTTAGGGGTGAAACTGCATTGGGTGGAAAGTTTGCTGCCTTGGCGGAGGTATGCACTCTCAGAGTGCTTTTCTAGTGTAACTGAATTGATTTGAGTATATGAGATTTTTGTGCTAATATTCAATAATAATCATTCACACAAAAACTTACCTAAATCTGCTCTTGTGTTGATAAAAAGTTCACAGGGGCAAAAACCGCACAAAAAATGCTTACAAACCTGAAAATAAGACAATGAATACTGAAAGTAATGAAGTTCTGAGAAATTAAGAAGCGTGGTCTCACTTAGGGCCCAGTTAAAGATGATGCTTATTACTTCTGGAATTATAAATTTCTTCCTACAAACCACCACTACCTCAGGGCTATCCCAGGAGAAGTCTGCTTTGGATTCACTTGGGTCTAGGTTCCTGTTTCTACCCATTAACTCATCCAACATTTGGGCCATATAACCGCCCGCCATTTTGTCGTCTTTCTATCCCACAATGCCAAGTTTCGCACAGAGAGCAAGATTATATTTTTGTATTTTGATATTCGGAATGAAACAAATGATGTTGATTTAGTGTTTTTAGAGCTCAATCATGTAAGTTTAACAAAGATCATATACTAAAGTTACAAAAGCTCCAAGATAATGCTGTCCGTGCTGCCTCGTGTCAATCCGTATAGACTAAACGCGCATGTGCAAAAAGAGTACCATACTCGTGACGTCACCGTAGAAATCACACGAGGTTCTTTTACAGCTGGTTTTCGCAGGACGTCGAAAAAAAGCTTGAAAGACAGGTATACAATGGACGGTGCGAGTAATCATAATTACACACCTGATTCATGGGAACAAAATGAGGCAGGTGATTCCAACGTATCCGAAGGTATGGACAAATCTTTCGCTAAAATGAACGTGAATGCTGCCGAGTTCGTACCAGGTCGAAATGTTCATGCTCGGGAATTTGTTCCGAATTTTGCCACGAACAGTACAGGTTACTCAAAAGGTGAGCTCTTAATAGGAAAATGACACTCGTAACATTAAGGTTTTTGCTTAAAGTCAGATTGCAATACTTTCGTTTTGGACATAAGTTTTGTCGATTTTTAGCAGAACCAGGGAACATTTATATTTACATTTTTGCTTACATACTGTATACAAGTTATGGTGAAATAGTAAACTAGTGTAGTCAACTTGAGAACGAGTTGAAATTGAGACAATGTGACGATTAAATTAGATTTTAAGTAAATCAAAGTTTTTTTTTAATTACTAAATGGTCCTACTATTCAACGAAATTGTTTGGATAAAAAGGAATTCACCTACAACTGAATTCATATTATCATGACTAAGACTGCATTGGTCTGCATAATCAGCCTCCAGCACTCCTATTAATGATAATTTAATAACTTCTGCTCTAGTCTAAAAGATACTGCTTAGGTAAAAACAACATTTAAAATCTATCACTACTTCTGGACAGGTCTGAATTTTTCCTTCGGCTTTTATCTGTCATTCTTTGTGTCACGCACTGCTGAAATTTATTGAGACATTTGATGATTTTAGGAAATTGATACACCTAACATTATGCTCTCAATTGATTCATGAAGTCCAAGAAACCCTTGCATCCACTTGCTCCTGCTGTCGACAGCATAGTTTGAAGCATGTATAGGTTTCACCATATTGTATTGGCTTCCATACTTTATCTTGCTCAGTACTGTAAACACAGAAAACATGAATAAGAAAGCTTACAACAGGAAAAACAAATTAGTTTTACATCTGTCAATTTATTTATTTATTTTTGTAAAGGGCAATTTCTTATAAGGTAAAATTATTTTCCCTAAGAGGAACAGTAATAGATTATAAAAAGAAAAACATTCAGAACTCAAGAAATGTTATATTGGCTTTTTACACTGGATATGTATTTATTATACATAGTAAACTAAAGCTGAGTACATTGTAGGAGAGAAGATTTTATAGTTTGATTTAATGGTGTTTTTGCAGTGTTGTGGAATGGATATATATTAATTAAACATACAGGAGTATTTGAGACGGGCATGTTTCATTTTTAAAGGAGCATTGAAAATGGTGAGAATCCATGTTTTGACATGTAGATATACTTTCCCAATATTGCATAACCTTTCCTAAAACACTGCCTTTTTTTGACAGTTGAAACCGAAACAGAAAATATATCACAAGAAAGACAAATGGATGAAAGAGAAGAAACTCCACCAGGTATGTGCATTTAAACTTCTGTAGGCGACCAGATGCTACTGGTTTAAATGTTTTGTAAAAAGTGTCATAACCAGATGACGGTTTTGTTGGGCTAAGTCTTATGTCAGATAAAACCAGACTTCTAATCTGTTATATCTGGTGATCCTTTGTCTTGTCTGCTTATTAACCTTTCAGAACATGTGTGCTGCCTCTTTTGTAAAACAACCACATAATTGTTGTTAGGGGTAAATCAAAACATTTGGTTGACATCTTTTTTGAATCCATTTGACTTCATTCTTTGACATACCAATGCAGGATTCACTCAGGATGGAGTATGTCTCTAAAAAGATTATTTTACCCCAATAAAAATTTCAACCTATTCATTGATAAAATTGGTGGGTAAAGCTGAGGATATTACACCTAATTTTTTCCTTAAATTAGAATATTTAACATTGGCTACCGTTTTCTTACTCAGCCCAGCCCTTTGAAAGGCGGATACAGTTTTTGCCAAGTTGGAAGCATGAGCAGGGTCCTTTGTTTGTATGTTATTTGGCTGGTATATATTGTTGATATAGCAAACATTCCAACTTGAAACAACAAGGATTACTGTTATGAATGTGATGTTATAATGAATTATGTTAATGTAGAATTGTTTTAGAGATATGAATTGATATGAATATCTTTAAAAAATTATATTATTTCATATTCTCAGATGACTGGGCTGCTAAAGAAGACAATTTGGAAGATGAAGATGATGGTGGAGGGGAAGAGGAGGAAGAGGATGAAGATGACGATGAATTAGCAGAAGCAGCTAAACCCAAGAAAAAATCCACAACTGAAGGCCCTCCCAAACCTAAAAAAGAACATGTCAATGTAATCTTTATTGGACATGTAGATGCTGGCAAATCTACAATTGGTGGTCACATGATGTAAGGCTATACGGTCACTGTAAAAGGGTGTATTTGGTAGTTCCAGTAGTGTTTAGTCTATTGAGATGCAAGGACATTGTTGGACACAAGTGGATAGACTTTTTCCTTAGCCTGATATAGCTTTTGATTATAAATCAGTTCTTTGAAAAAAAATGCTTTTAAGTGTGAAATTTAGTATTTGAACTGTTGATCAAATAAACTCACCACAAAGGGTCTTATTTACTATCAAATGTTATTTTTGCTTCTTATTCGATGACATTTTTGTTATGAATATTCGCTCACTAGTACTGCAAAATTTTGTGGAAAAGATCACTTACTGCAAAAACATTTTATCCGTACTTTTGACCAGCTCTTCACAACTTTTGATGATGTCAATCAAAAGTTTTGCTGCAATTATCTTGAAATCTCCTTATTTCAGGTTTTTGACTGGAATGGTTGACAGTAGGACGCTAGAAAAATATCAAAGGGAGGCTAAAGAAAAAAACAGAGAAACATGGTAATGTTTTGCAATTTCTGTATAAAATCTGGCTTTCTATTGAAGTGTAGGGTGCACTTGCACTATTTAAGTGCTGGCAAATGATCATAGATGAATAAATCAAATTTTTAATATAACGAAATTTATTTTCTGTCATATGTATTCCTTATTACTGTATAGGTTAAAATAATTGATTGAAAGTTTATTTGCCATTGTAAAACATATGTAAAACAACCACATAAGTTTCTGGGGTAGCGCTAACACTTGCCAATTTAGCCAAATGCTAAAACTGACTGAAATTGGCTAAAGAAAAAGGGCTAGATTTGACATGTTTTAGCCAAATTATAACCATTTTGATAACAAATTGACAAAAATGTGGTGATATGGCTAAGCGAAAAAAATTGCTAGCGCTACCCCAGAGTTTATATGTGATTATTCATGGTCTGTATAGTTTGTTTTTCGTTTTAGGTATTTATCGTGGGCATTAGACACCAATTCAGAGGAAAGAGAAAAGGGCAAGACGGTGGAAGTAGGCAGAGCATATTTTGAAACGGAAAAGAAACATTTCACAATCCTAGACGCCCCTGGACACAAAAGCTTTGTGCCAAACATGATTGGTGGAGCATCACAGGCTGATCTAGCAGTTTTGGTAAAATAAAGTCTTGTGTTCATCAGACGGAGTAAAGAAGTAGTGGTCATTGCTGTTGAACAAGAAAAGATGTTTCACTGGTGACAAGCAGAGATGATCTAAAGCCAGAAATTGATTGTGTTTTGTAACGTTTACCAATAAAATTTATGTCTGTTCTAAGGTAGAACTGAGGGCTTTTTTTCCAAATATCATAAAATGTGTAGGTTGGTAATTTTTATCATTCCCATCATAACAGTGAAATCATAACAAGTCAAGTTTCCATCACAGAAAAGGAAGATGCTGGTATCAAATTTACATTATTTTTCCATCTGTATATGCAGGTCCATGTTTGGAAGTAAAAGAATATTGCTATCCACAAAAATTTAACAAAAAAGTATTTAGTGACAAACTTTTTTATCACTCTCAAAATTGGATTGTAATCTACTGCAACAGTATTTTGTACTCATTTTGATCACAATATAACCTTAAGAGTTATTTGTTTCAGGTAATCTCAGCTAGGAAGGGAGAATTTGAGACAGGATTTGAAAGAGGTGGTCAAACACGAGAGCATGCAATGTTAGCCAAGACAGCAGGAGTCAAACATTTAATAGTCCTTATCAACAAAATGGATGACCACACAGTAGATTGGTCAGAGGCAAGGTAAGGAAAGTTAGAAAAGGATTTTTTTTTTTTTTTCTTTTAGGCAACCTATGGTAGGTGACCCACAACTACACTGCCCCAGTGCTGGCCATCATTGGCTAGGCAAGCAAGTTTGGTCGCTGGTAGACCTGAATCGTCCTCCAGCTGATCCACATGTTCTCATTGGATGACCATGCTTGAATCTCCCTGTTGACTCTCCCAGTAACAAACCCAAAAGCAGGTTCATCATCATGCCTCAGTAGATGCCCCACCAGTTTCAGTCAGCCAACCCAGATCTTCTCTGATGTGAGAACCAGCTCCTCATAAAGTTTGTCGTCTTCTGTGCAGCAGACACCCTCTTAAACACTCTTGGCATCCTGGTATATACACCCCTTAGCAATTTTTCCATTGCCTTTGTGAGTGTCCAAGCTTCCAAATTGTATAGTAACACTTATTCTACTGCTGCCATAAATAGCCTGATTTGCGCCCAGTGGACAGCTGTGACTTCCATATTTTTTTCAGTCCACACTTGCCTTTTTCTGGTGCTATCATCGTGCTCAGTGCTGATGGTGCATGACCCTAGTCCTCCACTATGTCAAGGGTGTCTCTTGGAGTTGTCTTAATATGTGGGCTTGGCTGGACTTTATATGCAATAACCTTGGTCTTTTTAGAGATGATGTGCAGCCCAAGTTTTGCAGATTCTACCTCCGCACATCTGCATTTATTGACTGTCTATTATAAAACAATTTATGTTGACATGTTCGAGTTTGGTGAAATAATCAATACTGTTGAATTAGGTGAAAAGCATAAATGAAGAAGAGTACTTGAATAAAAAGCATAAATGAAGAAAAGTACTTGTTGAGGGGGGAAAACTTTATCCCATTGTGAAGAATGAAGTACCTTAGAAAAATTTTTCTTTAAAAATGTTAGAAAGTGAGTGCATATGTCTTTATTTACCTTGTAGCAAGTATTTTGAATATTACTGTTTTTCTTTGCAGGTTTAATGAATGTAGAGATAAATTGCTTCCATATCTAAAGAAATGTGGCTTCAATCCCAAAACCGAAATGTTTTTTATGCCTGCGTCAGGCTACACTGGGGCCTTCCTTAAAGAACCTGCAGATGAAAAAATATGTCCATGGTATAGGTAAGGTTGACATTGTCAATGAAGTTTTTTTTACCATTGTGCAATAAATATAATATGGTAAAATTTAAAAACTGTGATTGTTAAACTTTTCCCCAAACAAGGAAAAATGGCAAGCATGCCCAGTGTTGTAGCATGATATCAGTTCAACATTTGCCACAATGCCTGAAAGGCTATACAGAAAGGGAAAAGTCTTCTGAGTTTATCCAGATATTGGAGTGTTAATTCCACTCGTTCCCCTGCAAGATTTTTTTAAAGACCAATTTCATCCCTGTACATAGCTGGTGCATGTTTGATGATGTTTATGGGATTTTTTTTCAGGGGTCCTACTTTTATTGAATATTTAGACAATATGCCCAATTTGGATAGAAGTGCTGATGGACCTGTGAGGTTACCAATTGTGGACAGATACAAGGTATTTTTTAAGAATAAAACATTTTATTGTAATATTTTAATGTGTTAGACAAACTTAAGCAGATCATTTTTTGCTCAATGAGAAAGGTAGAGGAGAAAGTGAGATGGTAATGATGAAGTACAAAACTGTATTCTATGTGAAGAAACAGCACGTCAGACTGAACCATTTTCCCTCATCTTGGTTTTAAAAAGTACTTCATATGAAATAATGAATTGTCATATTACTTGGCTGTGCAGGCAAAGTCTATAACTAAATGTTTCATGAAATTCTCTTGAAGATGGGTCCTCACTGTATTCTTTCAGGATATGGGAACAGTAGTTTTAGGAAAACTGGAATCTGGCACCATTGCAAAAGGCCAGACACTTACCCTGATGCCAAACAAGGTGAGAACATACGTTGACAAGAATTGCCTTTTTGTTCTCATTTTCTAAGTTTGAAGGATTTTGCACTTTTTTCTTGTAGAAAAATTCTTTTTGTTAAACCATTGGGTAATATATGTAGAACCAGAATGAGTTGGGCGAAATATGGAAAACATTTCTTATTTTCTGCAGGCTTATTGGAAACTAATATCGTTGGTAAATTTACCATGCAAGAGTGAGTCCAACTTAAAAATCATAGCATCTCAGTTTATATTGATGTAGAGAGTGTGAAACTCAACAGGGGTGAGATTTTTCTGGCTATCAGTGGATGTCAGACTTTATGGGAACCAAAAATGCCATTGATCTATGCTCCCTGACCCCACACCGTATTTTTCAACTTTTTTTTTACTAAATGGTAGTCTCATCCAAAACTGCAGTGAATATATTTCAATCCCTTCATCACCAGGTCAGTGTTGATGTGTTGATGATCCTGTCAGATGAAGAGGAAGTGGAAAGCGTCCTGCCAGGAGAAAATGTCAAACTGAAGCTTAAAGGAGTGGAGGAAGAGGACGTGTCTCCAGGATTTGTTCTTTGCTCACCTGAGGATCTGTGTAACACAGGCAAAAGATTTGATGCACAAGTGAGATGGTGTATTATTTAAGGGTTGTCATGAAAAATAATCAAGAAATGGAAATAATCTGAAGAATAGGTTATTAAGAATGAAGGATTTGCTAGATGAGGTCAAATGACAGTTTTGTTGAAATGGGTTTGGGCTCAAAGACAAATATGATCAGAATGTCTTTGATGACTTGGAGTTTATCATCTTCAAAATCCGAAATAGCTTGGCTAAGAAAATATATTGATACATAATACATTTCAGACAGAATTTTTCTTAATTTGAAATAAGGATACTGATACTGTCAAGGAGTATTGATCAAATTAAATGTTTGTAGATTTGTGTTTATTCTTCTGAAATTTAATTTGTATTTCTGTATTTTTGCAGGTTGTGATATTAGAACATAAATCAATTATTTGCCCAGGCTACAGTGCAATTGCCCACATTCATGCTTGTGCAGAGGAGATTGAATTCAAAGTGAGTTCTAAATTACGTACTTGGCATTATTAAAATACACTAGTCAGAAAGTAATTTTGATTCCAATTTATAAGCATTTTACATTTGATTGGCTTACATATCTGAAATACACTCGATCAAAAAAGTTTGGAAATGGGAAAATTTTGCTCAATAATTAATAAAAATATGTACTGAAGTGGAAAAATCTATTGTGTACATAAAAATTATCAACTGGTGGGTGCATTATCCATTTATATTTGGTAAAAATATTTACCCAGCTCATATGGCTATTTTACAATAATTCAAAATAACAATGTTTCCAGACTTTTTTGGTCTGGTGTATATTGAATTGATTACAAGTTGTAATATATCGTAATAAGTACCAAGGAATAAAGATCATATTTATATATGACAAAAGGTGAAGCTGCTCAACTATTAAATTGTGGTTGTGTCCATCTTGTGTATAACACACCCTTGCGCACTACTCACCTGCTGCTGAGTTGTAAGTCAAAGCAACAATTTCCAATAGGTATACTTTTAGTGTCTAAATTCTGGCCCCCGTTTCACAAAGAATCTTAAATCCTTAGTTGACTAGCGCGAGCTGAATGGCCTAGCTAGGTCGACTACGCTGCAGTCGACTAGGAGTGTTTCACAAAGAATCTAACGTCTTAGCATGGCGTGCTTACCGTAGTCAACGCGCACAAGAAACTCTTCAAGAAAAGGAGGTTTTAAATTTCAAAAGTTTCACAAGACATGACGTTTCATGGCCTCTTTCCGCCGAGAACGATCGTTTATCAACACTAAAAATCAGCCAAAACACAAACAAAGTTTGTTTTGGAACTTTATTGATTAGTTTAACTTCGATACAACTTCAAAGTAACAGTTAAACATTAGCTTGTCGTGGAACACTGCTGACGGACGTCTAGCGGTCAAAAACATAAACAAACACGGGATCGGCTGGGTGAAGTGGCATTTTATTTTTTATTTCAATATTCAAGAAATGTCAGTGCTATTCAAGGATATTATAACACAATATCTTGAAGGAGGTATGTTTTTTCCAAATTTTTGTTGTTTATGCTCTCATTTACCAAGTTTTAGTTGAGCTTGCCGACTTAAGTCTCCTCCCGAGGAGGCTTGACATCGTCGACTTACAGCTAAGAAAAAAACGACGTAAGCGACCTTTTAGATTCTTTGTGAAATGGGACTTAGTGACGTAACGACTTAATTACGTTGGTAACCAAGCCCTAAGTCAGGGAAAAGTTTTTTTGTGAAACGGGGGCCTGGTCTTAACATGGATTAAGCACTGCAATCACAGTGATGCAATAATTTGTGACCAACAACAACTCAAACGACACTCATAATTTGCACCATTTACTAAAAATAATAAAGATGGGCATCTTTCTTGCACACTTGTGATATGTATTATTCTATTGTCATAAAACATATCACTGCCGTCAGAGATAACACCTTTTAATCATAACGTGAAGTATATATGTATATGGTTTCATTAATTTTTTTAGGATCAGACTATCGACAATTTTCATAACATACATTTAGGGTTTTTTTTTACAAGTTTGTAAATAACAATGTATTATTGATAGATAAACAGCTCACATTAAAACCATTGTGAGGTCATTTTGCTTCAAATATTTGACTAATTCCCCAAACTTTTTACTTTGATATATTAAAATCTCCATCCAGTTACATATTGCCATGTATTTGGGTTAAGGATAATTTTCAGTTTGTGTGAGTGCGAGCGCACAGACACACACACACTCCCACTGATGAGCCATTTCGTTATATCTGTAATTTAAAAAAAAATATTTCAAACTGAAGATATTTGGACAAAAAATAATGGAAAAAACAAGTGAAAAATGAACTTCTGTTTGATCTGAACATTCACATATATATTTATACCTTTTACAGGTATTGATGTGTTTGATAGACAAAAAGACTGGTGAAAAGAACCAGATGAAGCCTAGATTTGTGAAACAGGACCAGATCTGCATAGCACGTCTAGAAGTATCAGGAGGAGTAATTTGTTTGGAACCCTTCAAGAAATTTGCACCAATGGGAAGGTTCACCCTAAGAGATGAGGGTAAGGGTGATTGGTCAACATTCCTAATGATTGCAGAATTTAACTGTGCAAACTATTTTGTTTTGTTAATTTGACAAGTGCTAATTTTTGCGAAGTCCTGTGTAGATATCAGTGTGTTCAAACCATACTAGCTTACTACTTATTTGTGATGGCTCTGTTGGTGATATAAAAAAACTGATGTAATGTGTAAATCAGAAAATAGGTAAATGACTATTGTAACTCAAGTATATAAAAAACGTGAACTTTGCATATGTCTGTAGTTCTTCCAGCTACTGAAAAAAAATGTTTTCTTCTTTAAATATTTCAGGAAAAACCATCGCAATCGGCAAAGTCTTGAAGATTGTAGAATAAATGAACTGTAAAGAAGTATCCAAGCAATTCAGCTCAACAACTTGCTTCAGTCCAATTAACTGAATGAAACAGTGCGCAAGGATTAAATGATGGAATTATTTCCAGGAAGTTTTGTTGTAGTAGCAGTATGAATAGGTTTATAATAAGGAAAAAAGAAACAGGACTTGGCTGACAATTGGTGTGGAATATCCCCTGTGTTTTCTTAAAGAGCAGTCACTACCTCTACGCTGACAGTTAATTTGCCAAAATCAAATTAAAAAGGTTGTATAGAATTCCATTCCCAAAACTCTTTAGGTATTGGTGCTAGTTGCATTTCTTGGACTTATTTAATTATACACACAAGTACATCCTTTCAGGTTAATTTTGGGCTTATTACAAATTTCAGATCGAGTTGTATAGTTTAATTTTTTGCTTAACTGGCAAGATGTTAGAGGAGTAAGATATGAAGATTTGTGGACAGCAAAAGCTTGTCAGCGTCTCACATTGAGGCGCATCTTATGAATTTCTTACATTTAAAGGCTGTCAAAAATGGCACAATGTTAACAATTGGTTCTATTCCTTTTCATTGTGATTAGACGACATTGAACAGCTAGAGCCTATGCCTTAAAAATTGCAGTAAAGATTTCCTTTGCTTATGAAAGATAGCTCCTTATTTAATATGTAGAATTGTTTTTCATTCTAACGTTTGTCCATATCATCGAAGTTACCTGATGACTCTAAAATACTGCTAGTCTGGTGTTCTCTGCTGCTGAGACTGAGAATTCAGCACTTGGGCAGGTTTTGTGTGAATATTTTTCTTGGAAGTATTCAGTGTTTGCTTGAGAGATAATTTATTTTGCAAGAGAGGAAAACTGCAAACTACCCAAGGTTTGAAAAAATTTCCCTGTGTGGTGGGAGTGACAGCAAAGCATTAAGAATGAAGCAGTGGTATTGCTTCATGCAACAATGACTACAACACTGAAGTTACGCTGTTCATTTATAAAGCTTAATCAGTAACTGTTGAACGGAATTGAGTGACAATTATTATGATTTACTGAGACTGAAAGCAATATGGTATCAGTCTAAAGCTGTATAATATCGCATTGCAAAATATAAATTCAATTTCCATGACTGAAATTGAGAAATTTTAATAAAAAAATTTTTGAATGAATGGTTTTGCTCTTAAGTTGAGGAAATGTGTTTCTCATAACCAAATCCTTAATTAATTTACATGATAAAATATTTTACTTTCCCTTTTATAAAAATACAATATAATGCATAGATACTGTAGAGATATTGCCTGTTGTGTGACCATGTCAAATGCAAGTAGAACTATAATTTAAAAATACAAAGAAAATCATCGGTATTATACACTTCAGGATAACACAGACTTTGGAAAAGATTTAAATAAGATGCTTATATCTTTGCTTTCATAATAACTCATGGTAACAGACACATCTTCAAAATCTTGGGTGGGGTGGAGGGGGGGGAGAAAGGGCAATGCAACCCACCAATATTAACTAAATAGATTATACGTGTCTGTATTTGAAGTTGTAAAATAATTAAATTTATCTGTAAATAGAGTTAAATAACAGCCTGTGCTACACCAGATACATATTTCACTTACATCTTAACACATTGTACCAGCAATGCGTACATTATAAACCCATCCTGGGTAACAATTTTTCAATCGATTCATTATTAAAGATCAATATTAACGATAAGCAATTAGTTAACAACACATTTTACCCTTGACCCATATTACTTAAATGACCAGTAGTCTCTAAATATATCTTTAAATAATATTTTCTGGAATCTTTAAAACTGAACCACTACTCTCAATTACATTAGGTGTCAGAAATTGCAGTATACCACAGAAGCAAGTTCAAAGGTAATTTGCATTTCTCATAAAACCGGTGTACTGACAGTAATTTTCATAAATGAGGAATCTTTTCAAAAGTGCAAAAAGTGTTACCGGTTTATTTTTGTTAACCCAACAGCAATGATGAATATAATTTGCCTTCTGGGCATGCTCATAAAATTAGCTTGGAAGGATAAAGGTAAGGTTAAATATGATACCTCTTGCTTAAGGACATGTTAATCCTCAATTTTTTGGCTACTTATAGAATCTTAAAGAAATAAGCGTGCTGCAACCTATTCTCTATTTAAAAACTATCATAACCATTTATCTTGTTCTATAATCTTTGTATTTTTGTAATATATCTTCACGAATGACATGACATTCATATAGGTATATTTATAGATGTAAGTTTCTTTCTAAACAATTCAAATTTCTCAAATGTCTACAATAAAAATTTGGATTTGTAGGTAATATAGGTAATAAAACTTTTTTCAATATTTTTAAAATGATATTTAAAAAATTATATAAACTCTACACCTTCAAATTTGAAATTCCCTATTAATGTTTCATCTAACAAAATATCCCCATCAATTGTAAACACCATTATGTAAGACGCTATTTTTCCTTTCACTTCCTCAGATTTCAAGGCAACTATAAGCCTATCTTCAGTTCCGGGGATGAATTTAAATGAAGAGAAGCCATGGGTAGGGTTCAATTTACCCACTCGCCTCAGTTCTATATCTTTAAAATCTTCATCACAGATTAATAAAATATTTGTACCACGGCTTTCATCAGCCACTTCATCATAACGTTCATGACTAGCACGACGAGGAAGAAAGAACCACTTTTTATGTATATTACTCCACATTCCTGATTCATGGATCATGTAACCTGCAAGAAAAATTGGCACAATATTAATTTTGTTAAAGGTGATAAGTATAATACAGAAAACAAATGCTTGTGAAAAGTGGGATAAGTTTGGATATATTATACATAGTTTGCACTTACCCAAATTTTAACAAAAATGAAATACATTTTAACAATCAATCAATATGAAATTGCAAATACATCTAGGTATAGCATTGAAACCAAATGTAAAATGCCTTTTAACTCATCTTAGTTTATAAAATAGACAAAATACATCTGCATATTGTTAGTTTTTATTATTCAAAGTTTGGCAATTTAAAAGCAAGACATTATCATACCTGGGTAGTCTATGTTAGCCTTACGTCTCATTGCATTATAATTTTTATGCCAGTCCAGGTGCTTCACTTCTCCCTTATAACCAATGCTTTTTACCCACTGGGGGTTGAGGTTCTGCACTTCCCCTGTGATAGTGGTCCACTCTTTGCCAAGACCACCAACATACAGAGATTCATCTTTCACTGTAGCCCACTCGCACTTGAAACCTGGAAGAAAATACAGCAAAAGAATCAAGATCTTCCCTTGTTTTTACTAAGTATTTAAAATTAAATGGTGACAACCAAACATTAACCTTGTGGCCAGAGTGTTCACTTCAGAATGGGACTATGGGTTCAACCTGTCATGGTAAAACACAAGTCATAAAAAGCACCTGCTGTCTCCCTGCTTGGCACTCAGCACTTCAGGGTTGAAGCAGGGGTTATGTTCCTGGTCAGACAGTGAAGGATATGGTTCATATGCCAGATTTCAGCACCTCATACAGCAGCTGGGCTGTATTCTCCCCAGGGAGGCGAGAATGTCTACACCCAGTTTGTATCAGGGCCAAAACTAATGTAAACCACACAGAGAAGCATGTGCAGTGTGGAATATAAGAATAAGAACTGAACTAAACTTAATTTTTACAACTGAAACTATCATTACAACTATTTAACTAAAAGCAGTATACTTACATTTATTTTTTAACTTCAAGAAAGAATAATCAGTTTAAAAAATATTCATTTTAAGTATCAAATCATGCAAAATGAAGCCAGTTATTGTGTATAGATAATATATATTTTGTTCCTATATGTGAAAGTGATTGCCTGCCAATAATTGATTATTGTTAGACTACGGAAGGTGTAATCCATGTAATCTAATCAAAACATTATACATTTTAATATCTTTATATTTTATGAATGTAAACTGAATTCAATTACATGTCATATTAATTCTACCTTTAGCTGTCATTCCGTTTCCATCTGTGAGCAATACCCAGGGCACGACCTCCTCTCCATACACCTCATATATGACCCCCGTCCGGTCATCTACTGTATATAACTTGCCATTAAACACAACTAGGTCCGAGAGCTCCATGCCCCGCCCCCCCTGGGCCAGGCCAGATTTCAATGTCAGTTTATCGGCATCCCACTGGACACTTGCTCTGCTGTGGTCCAAAGACAATGACAGGTATCCCTTTTGTAAGAAACTTATCCATGTATTTTGTTTTTTTCGATGCTTAGAAGCTGTGTCCAAGTCTGCTATTATTGCAATACGGAATTTAATCTCCTTTTCTGTCCGTATAGGTTTTGATAATGGATAAGTGCTGTTGTAGAGAGTCTTTATTTCCCCAGTTAGCTCATCCATACATAAATGATGTGGTGGACTTGGAAATAACATGAAGAGAATTATCACAATGACAGTGGATGCCATGATGGTAGCTGCTATTAATACTTTAGGTTTTATATGCACTGAGGCTCCTATGCGATACGGGGTTGGAGCTTTTATTGCTTTCATCCAGTGATGAACTGAGGAATTGCTAGGGAAACTGGATGACCTGTGCATCTTCATTGCTATACGTATTGACTGTCAAATACCTGAAATATACCAAATGGGGCAATAAAATCAGCAATTTGCATGCATAACAACATATTTCTGAAAACAAATTAAATAGCCACTATATGTGTTACCATACTGTACCTGCATAATATGGAAATTTATGCATATTATCAAGCAGTAAATAAGCCAAACATGGGAAGTCTAACTACCTACATGTACATATTAAAATGGCATGTTAGTGAATCAAAAAACTTTAAAATGGCATGTTAGTGAATCAAAAAAACATAAGTAGAAATGAAAGCGCGGATGTGAGTTAATCATATAATCAAGTCAGAGGTATTGACTGCAGACATTTGTATCAAAAAGCACTCTTTGTTTGTTTTTGCAAACTACAAGAAATGGCACCCCATGAGTATCAATTTCTACATTTTTTCATTGCCTGCCGCTTTTGGACTACTGCATAGGGAACTGACCTGTGCTGTCACATGAATAAAATCAGCTGGAACTACCACGAGTGATGTTTTGGCAAACTAAGAAAGGTCAAAACAAACATTAAAAAAAAACATTTTTACTGAATTTTATGAAAAAAAAATTGGCAAATTGCAGCCAGAGAAAATATATGCCTACTACATATGCTTATTACTCTGCTGGGAGACCCAGTGTAAGTTTTCCCAGCATTAAACTAATAATATATTTCCTTCGGTAAACAGTACTTTTCTTTGAATAATCAACATATGCAGAAGTCTATTTTTTTATTTTTTATTTTTTTGTTTTCTTTTGTGGATGTTTCACTTCACAGCAGCCTAGTGGTAGACACTGCAATGAACCTTAGCTTATTCATCGCTCTGTTGATGGGAAAACTGGTTGGCTTTGCAGGAGTGTGCGAGTTGAGGAGAGGAGAGTTAAGACAAAGCTTTGAGAGCTCCCGCATCGCGGTGGATACACAAGCTGGTCATCATTTTAGACTTTTTGAGGCCTTTGCTTTCATGACTTAGCACATCCAGTAATTATCACTGTCTCAGAAATTGTAGACAGCAGCACTAACTCTTGAATTTCGTCTTATGAATGGCTACCTGCTCAGGCCTAATAAATGATAGTTGCTATTTTCTAACACTACCCATAGATCTTTTAGCACAAATGCCCATATTAACCACCAAACCCACAAATTAACCAGCACACCATAAAAGTATGTTGGGTATTACTAGTAAAAAAGCATTCATATGGGAATGGTTTTGGAAAAGCCTGGATAAATCAAAGAGTAGGGGATGAAAGTTCATTTGTAAAGGGATTTCATCAGAGGTGCATGGACAATGACTTCCAGGGGTGGTATGACGAAATGTCTAACCATATGAAACTAGATATATAGGCCCTATAAGTTATTTAAGCATGATCTCATTATTGAGCCATATGTTACAGTATTTGATAAAGCTAGTTTTAATTGTATATCAGTTAGATACTCAAATCATCAACTTGAAATTAAAAAAGGCAGACCTAGTAAGTCTAGGGATCAGAGAATTTGTCAGTGTTACAAATTGAGAGGAAGTCGAATGCAAAAGACATTTCTTGTTAGAAAGTCCTCTATTTAGCAACTTAAAGGGTAATTTCTTATCGGATATTTGTAATTGGGAATTGGGTTCACATGAAATATTTATGATATTGATGAAATCAAAAAAATATTATAAATTTGCGAATCATTTGACAACAGAAATAAGAAAGTCGTTATTCGAAGTGGACAAGGGAGATGTATAATTATAAAAATGAATGATTATCAAATTATTGTAAAAAGGTCGCAGACCTTATCATACAGTGAAATAAACTAAACTAATTATACTATTACTACTATTTATAAATACTAGTTGAGTTACAAATGCTCTGACAAAATTTAATGATTGAAATTACAATGAAACTTTCCTAAGCTGCACGATCAAATAGGTATATTTCATTAATAAAGAAACCCACCTCTGTTATCTTTTGTAAGTTTTTTGGAAATGCTAGTATTTTCCATTAGGTTTCATTACACGATTTTTACGGTTCTCGGCACATACAGTATGAGGCCGCATACTGAGACGTGTCGTAAACTGGTAATCTCCGGAACTAACTGCGGGACTAGCATTTTATATCTAACCTTTATGAAAGTTCACGTCAATCATTAACGCACAGTTTTTTTTTTCCAAATAATCTTTTTATTTATTCACGACCGTGATAAAAGTTGAAAAGTTACAAGGCAATTACCCTCATCAGGGGTGGACGCAGGATTATTTGAAAGAGAGGGGGGGGGGGGGGGAGGGGGGCTTGGAGCCCACACCTGTTTGACGTTTGGAACTTGGCTTAACGTTAGGGGCTTTCCGTTAAATAAATCTAGGAAAATTCAAAGGCAAAGAATGAACCTTGATGGTTTGCCTAGTCTATAGGCCTACAAAAAATCGGTCATTTATTTTAATATAACGTACGGTTCACTTATTCATTTATTTATTCAACATTTAATTCATTAATTTTTGTATTAGTTTATTCATTTAGTCTTTGCATTAAATTTATTCATATTTGCCTGCTTCTCTTTTTTTCTTTTAAAATGTTTCTTTCTTCTAAAAAAAGGCCCAATTGTTTCTTTTTGTACATGTATTATAATATTTTTATTTGACCAAAAAGACACTGTTTTAAATTTTTTTTTTACCTCAAGCAGAGGAGGTTGGTGTAGTCTCAGTGGTAGATTTGGAGGGGGGGTCAGGGGGTTCCTGACCAAATGTTTTCGGTCGCCCTCTAAAATACCAAAATTTTCCAGACGTTTCAGCGGGCCCCCAACCCCACGCCAAGGGGGGGGGGGGTCGGTTTCGCATCCCCCCCCCCCTCGAATAATCTTGGATCCGCCCCTGAGGTCAAAACATCGTCATTTTAAAACAAAAGGGCTTATATTTAATAAACTAATACATAAATTAATGAATTAAATGTTGAAATAAATAAATAAATAAGTGAACCGTACGTTATATTAAAATAAATGACCGATTTTTTGTAGGCCTATAGACTAGGCAACCAGAGTAGTCAACCAAAGTGAATCAACTGGAACGGCAAATGATGAAGTAATTGATTTGATATAAGGGCATGGGTTTTTATAATAACTGGTTTGACCATCACCCGTGTGATGACCCATGCCCGTGTCTAATTTCCTAGCCTAATTTGGCTATCACTATTCTTGGACTCTTTTTGTTATAGATTGTTTTGTTCTATGTTGCTGACCAATATTTTCCTGAGATATCTTATATGTACGTTTACCCGAGTATCACCTTAAAATTCAGCTCTTTGTCTATTATTACTCACACACCTGTAGCATCCAGACTCCTGTTTACGGGTGTTCTTGGACATATCATCATTAAGTAAGCAATTTGCATTGCAAAACAAATTCTTATGATGTCTTGAATGCACAGACATCTTGATAGCAGGTGTGCCATATTTATGGTGGTTGTACACTTTCTTTAATTGTATTTTCCTTTTCCTCTGGGGTCTAACAAATGGTTTCTTACGATTAGAAATTGGTGAAGTTGGCATAAATAAAATCATTACAACACATTCATTGCTAAATCAGCCTGATGATTTATCTTTGCGGTAATCTAGCGGTTATTTTAGGGGATAGGCTTATGTCAGCTTAAGGATTAATGTCTCTGACTTAAAAAACAGTTAGGCAATGCATGATTCCAGGGGTTGGCTACACTTTTTCTTTCTGAATGGTCCTACGAGAAGGAAGAAACAAAAGTAGGCCTACAGCTTTTTCTATATTATATTATATTATATTATATTATATTATATTATATTATATTATATTATATTATATTATATTATTTAATTATAATTATTATATTAATGCAGGCCTATTAAAGGAGCAAAAAAGTAAATGTCATAGATCGAGGTTAGACCCCATGTGTCATTGACATAGTAGCTATACAGTTAAAATTGGACCTATAGGCCTACTACTGCGCACGGTTCTGTCTTAGAATTCTGTAACCATTTATATCTCATTAAAGTACGGGACAATAGTTTACTTTAAGTTTTCTGTTAAAACTGATTTTGATCCAGCTTTTGACACCTTGCTCTTATTTTATTAACTTTTAATTCTTTCATTCATTAACGCCGAAATCTATTGCATCGGTCGCTATAAGGGCCCTTCAAGCTTCATTGTGTGATCCCGCATCAGATTCAGAATTTATTCGTTACAGCGTTATATTAATCAAGTGAAGAATAACCATCAGCTGGTCAGATAAAAACATCAACACAGTATTTTGAATGGATGGTAAATTTGGCATTACTTTTGATCATTGTCATATATAAAGAAAAAGGGCTANCTTTCATTCATTAACGCCGAAATCTATTGCATCTGTCGCTATAAGGGCCCTTCAAGCTTCATTGTGTGATCCCGCATCAGATTCAGAATTTATTCGTTAAAGTGTTATATAAATCAAGTGAAGAATAACCATCAGCTGGTCAGATAAAAACATCAACACAGTATTTTGAATGGATGGTAAATTTGGCATTACTTTTGATCATTGTCATATATAAAGAAAAAGGGCTATCAAAATTCCCCAAAATAATCCAGTTTATGCCCCTTTATTTACTTTCAAGTGATTGATCGCTTTAAACATATTGTTCAAACAGTGCATTTATTGTCCATTTTATGAAAATTGAACATATATATTTCTTCGTAGTAAAATAGTCATTGTGTCTTCGGTTGCATGGTTTTATAAGAAACATCGGACGTCGTTAATCGACTGCTATATCATGGAAAACAGTTAACTTTTCCTCTGAATGATATTAAACAGCTATCAATGAGAGCTAAATTTAAAATAGAGTCGTCAACTGAAGGTTTGCTCAAAATGTTGCACTGGCTTGCTCTAGACATTGCGGGGAATTTGGAATGGTTAAAAAGATGAACGCAATGCAAGCTGTCCGTAAGCTAAAGAAACATATTTGCAATCAACACGTAAATACATTGCAATTTCCAGAATTATTTTTTGTGGTCTCCGTATAAAATATTGTAGTCAACTTTCCATACATCATGCAAACGCACTGTGATGCATCATTGTGCAGTCCAACTGGAGCAATTCCACTCTGTTAAGGTACAAGTTAGTGTATTTTTTTTTTAGATCTCTGGCATCTTTCAATGAATATTTAGAAGACTTTTCATAGCAAAAATAACGAAATGAAATTCCCACAGGCTTAGAGTCTACCAGTCTCCATAAAAATTACTTCGACCACTCTTCTTTTTAGATCGCATTTCCGTGGATAAGAGGAAATCCTCCAATTGGGAACTGAAAAGAGAAATTTAAAAATTACCAAGTTAATATGAAGGAGCGGTGAGTGACTTATGTAAAAGAGACGTCCATTTGCGGCGCGAGGGGAGATATGGTTAACATCTGGGAATAAAGGACACTATGTTTGTTGCCTTATATGCACGACGTAGAATTTTTTTCATAAACAGACAGCCACGACAAATTTTAATGTATCATATCTTCTATAACTGGCGTAATTCTCTGAAATAAACAACATTATTTATATACTAATTTTGATTTGTCTTCATATTTAACTATTAACGATATTTTGAGATATATGTTAGTAAACAGCCATCATTGACACCGAAAACGACATTCATGCATAACTCGATATCTTGATATATACTACACGTCATAGCCATCCAGGCTGATGGAATAATTCAACTGCTGATATGGGATGGTTTTTACCTTTGGAGAGACGGACACATGATTTTGCTTTTTCTCAAGTGTAAGACATAAAGGCAATAAAAAGAAAAAAAAATGTAATATTTATCATGCCAAGCTGGGCATTTTGTAACAAAATTTGCTTAGTGTTTAATGTCAAGTGCAATGACAACCAGTAAGCTCATAAAGGCGCATGGTTCTCCCTTTGATAAATGTCTCCAGTAGAAGCCAAACACACGTGCTTGTGTTTCACTTTCCAAACGTGCATTATCTTTTATATTGATTGAAAAAAAGTGGTAACACATTCCAAAAGCGACCTCTGGTCAGCAAACACTGGAGGTGCATATTTTTAATTGGTGCAAGCATAAAGTAAGAAAAGATTTTGAGGACGTAGAGATGCGTGCAAAGTGTCTCGTGCAGTAGTCGGAAACGTGTATATCATGCTGCTAATATAAGTGTGACGTTGATTCAAAAGACACACGACACTGACCACTGTGCTTCAGTTTCTAGTGACGTCATGCCAAGTATAAACAAGTTCCACAATATCAAACATGCACATATCGGAAACGTACACAATGAACTACCAGTCGTTCATAACCTTCTTTCTTCTATCATATGTGTCACTATCTGACACATCGGACTGTTGAATCATGTCGGCAGTTTCGGCAGCAATGCTGAAGAAAATGTGGTTTGAAAGTAGTCTGGGGATTGTCGTGGTTAACTTTTTACCCTTCCGTTTATTATTCAAGCCCTGCTTTAAGTATGATTCAACCAACGCTGTTAGTGTTTTACAGGTAATTATGTTTAATCCTGGCAGCTCATTGGATTTCTTTTATCTTCCCATTCTCTTTTTAGGTTCCCATTTTAACATTTGAAACTACAATACACGCTCAAAATGACTCGTGTAACCACTTATGCGAAGTAATAAAATGTAGCTTTTAAAGCGAAATACCATCTAAAAACCTCATGACTGAGGAATCAAAATTAATGCTCAAATATATATGATACCTGCTGATATCATCCGAGCTTTGTACTTTCCTTATGACAATGTCTGCTATCCTGCTGATTTCATCATCTGAAAAGAAAATCAAAACCTTAGTCAGTAACTCGTTAATATCTTTATATAACGTACGTAGACCAAGGACATTGTAAATAGTCCGATTAATGGCCAATTGGCCATGTCAGATATCAGTAATGTTCGCTTGAAGAATCTAGTCCTTTATTTCAGGCCAATCTCAGAAGATGTTAAAAGATTCACGCTTGATTCCAGCTGATCCTTAATAGGGGGAAATCAAATTAAATCTGTTGTCAGTAAATCTTAGGTCGATACCTGGATCATATACAATAGCCGAAATGATCCTTCCATAGACATAACAGGATCTAACAGGCCATTAAGTAATCGTTTGAGTAAGGGCAATTTGGGTTTTAATTTTCCGTCATTTCTATTTCATCAACGTTTTCCCCAACTACCAGTTACAAAATCAATAGACTCCATCGTGTGAAGATGACATTTAACGAAACATTTTCGTATCTTTTAGGGACACAAAAATACATCAAGAAAACTTACCCTGAAAACAACTCTGGAATGGAATGTCCTTGATTACACATACAAGTCCTTTGACAAGTTTCTGTTGTCGTAACGACAGGCGCTTGTGCGTTTCTGAATATGGGAAGGCTGTAACATAGAGAGTAAAGTTTTAAAAGAATACCAGGATTCACTAGTTATAATATCGAGATGTGAAATCATTTACTCTCCTTCCTAGAGTATGCCAAAAAGTTTTGATCATACGAACGTACCAAGACTAAATATCATAAAATACATGTATTAATTCACGAGTATTTGGAGTATCAGCAACTGGGGGAAGCACATAATTTATGCAAAACACCTCGGAGATAAACACGGATCTAGAGCTAAATCTGTCGACTTCAAACATTTTCCAACACTGACACTTCCTCATTATCTTCTATTGGTTTATCCGTCTGTTGCCACTCATTAGATCGCGGTCATTTCAATACGCCTCCGTCAAGTATCTATTGGGAGAAGGCACCAATGAAAAGTGTTTTACCGGTCAATGAACATGGCACAATGAATAAAAGTTGAGTACATTTAATAACATCAGATAAAGCGCTGTCTCAAGGCGGACATACGATGCATTAGTTGTTCCATCTCTTAATTTTTCTCTATAATTTTCTTCCCGTGGGCACGGTCTAGAGGCGTCCTGTTAGATGTCTCTCGGTACATCCGACTAAGGAATACGTTTTCTTTATGACCGAGAATATATATATATTGAAATACCTGCGCTCTTGGGGAATAAAATATTTTGGATAGAAATGACGTCAACAAGGGAATTTGTCAATTAAACGGAACTTTTGGGTTGTATCCAATTTTTCAACAAAAGGTGCTTTTATGTCGCAATAACAAAACTGCCATAATATTGAGAAACGGACAGAATCTGCCAGAAAGTATTTAAAAAAAGACAATAGAACAGTAAAATTATCCTTCCGTACATGAATAACTATCATAATATTAATAATAATAACACACAAACAGTAAGATTTAAGATGCCTACTATTTTGAAACATAAAAGATATGAACTAATAATTATGTTTACCTTTACATTTTACTGTGTGAATTCAAAACACTGAAAAATGTTGATTTGTTGACTGCACTCCTGGTTTAAATCTTTTTCATATCCTCGACTTTCTAAGTACCAGGCCATACTTCGGTATGTGTGGTTAAAACTGTTACTTAGTGTTAGAGCTGAAATTAATCGACTTAAGTGACTTCAGAGTGGTTTGTGATTTTGTTCACGCACCATAAGACATAACACTTTTTAGCTTTTTTGCGCGCTGTACTACATAAAAAAATCTGACAATGTGTTTTAACATTCTTAACTCTAAAGCAGTGGCGTATAATGATTTGTCGCCATTTCTGTGTGAGTAATTTCATTACATAGATTCTCGGAAATACCTCAAGTTTAAGTTGGATTATCTTTGTGCTTTTTGTATTAACAAAGCATGGCATTTATTTGGTTTGATTTAGCTTTTAAGGTAAAGGAAGGCACAGAGATATGCAGATCCTTGTATGCATGTCGTGCGGAAGTTAACTTTGTTTAGTCCGTCTTCCTGCGCCTGCTCAGATAAACAGTCTCCTGCCCAAGGGAAGCAACCCAATAAAGGTGTAAAGGCATTAGGACACCTTGGTTAAATATCTACAGAAAAGTTCTTTTCTAAGCGCCCTCTGAGCACTTTCACCACAACACAGTGGATAGAGGTCATGTTCGACGATCGCATGTTCTAATTGAGATTTAATCTAAGCGTGAGAAAAAAAGAAGGGACAGATATTTGGTCGATAAGAACATTAGTCAATAATTAACTGGCAAAATGTCAACCAATCTGCATGTACATATTGCGTTTGCCAGTGATGCCTTTAATGAAACTTGTACTTCGCGGGATGGAAGGGATATAAATAGTGCAGTTTTCTCTTAAAACTATCACAAGAACTCTTTCTGCAAAAGATATGTAAACATTAAAAGGTAATTATCTTCATTTTGTTGACGTATTCATTATTGTTGACGTATTCATTATAAGATTAGGGGTTGAAAATAGAAAAATGCTTTTTAGGCAAAAGATAACATCGTGTGTCCTTTTCAGGTTTTCTTTTCACCAAGGTAACAATTCCCACGTTATAATCCGCAATACCAAAAATAAATAAATAAATAAATAAACAAATAACCAGGACCAGCTGACTGCCAAGTGTTTTTAGTTAAATTTGGCAAAATGCTGTCATGTGAAAGTGGAAAGACTGCCTAACAGACGTATTTTAGGTAAACTTTATTATTCATCATTTGGAACTGTGAAATGAATATTTCCTAAATAAAACTAAGCGTCGCATTTTCTGTAGAAAAATACATGTATATCTACATGAAGGGCAAGTTGTATGCACTTGATTTAATCTAATTTTGTAATTTTAAAATTTAAATAAGAGCTTTTTTTTATTATTTTTATCTTTGTACCGTCGAGGTAAACGTCAAGTTTTATGATACTTTCTAATAAAATGTCCATATCCATTTTAAATATATCATGTAGGATCACATGTAGATGAAAAAATAAGTCTCCTTTTGAAATTATATGTGTTAATGCACCGTTAGAAAACACACACACACACACAAAAACGGTTTGATTCTTTTTTGGTAAAAAAATTACCACGTAACTTTCTTGGTTTACAGTTCTGATAATATCAAATGGTATCATGGTTGTTTCACCCTTTAGACAGTTCACCAAGAATTATTGGTCGTAATTCTTTGTATCAAAAAGTACCAAATAAGTTTTCCCTCAATTTCCTTTTTGTTTGTGATATAGTATATTGGTTACCGCCTAAATAATTGATAGTCCCCTGGTAATAATTGCCATTAGCAAATAGTCACCGTTGCTTAAGTCTTAAATGATATATGCTGCTGCGATGGATCACTTATAAACTAATCGATATGTTACTGGAGACTGGACCAGGGGACACAAAACTCTTTCGGGCTCTCTCGGAATATAAACACGGCCATCTTTTTATAAAGAGCATGGAACCCAAAGCCAATATCGCATGTATGGTTCTTGTCGTAATTTTAGTTTGGCGCTAGTCTCGTTTTCAGAAATAATTCATTTTAAAATAAGCATCTTCTTAATAACGTGGCAAGGTCGTTCAAAAGGCATGCAATGGGCAGAACTACATATGCATAATTTCTGTCTGTAATATGTTTTTGTTTTTAATTAAAACAAATCAGCCCATTATCTCTGGCAACACATACCTTACATAACAGAGATCTGATCTTGTAAGCACTGGATTCCAGACAGATGCTAACTCACCGTTATGATGAATTATAATTGTAAATTGGAAGAAAACGCAACTGATTTACATCTTTCCTCCATCTGTAAGCATGCATATATAGTGGCAGACAATACCTGTGTTTCTACTCCATGTAAAACACTAAGCAACCCTTCAGAATCTTAATCTGGCATCTGTTTTTTAACGTCGTACTACCAGACCTATATAGCAAGACGCAGTCTGTGAACGGGGTTTACTCAACCCATTCATGCACTTCAGTTTTTGAATTGATACAGATAAGTGGATTAGAAAACTGGCAATAATGGCACAACAAGCACCTCAAATCCTACTCATATATTGACATGTTGCACGAAACGGAATATAGCATAAGATACAACGTCCTTTGGTGTCTGGCGCGGTCTCACGCGTATAGTAATTTTGTAAACGAATATGCCATTCGCCCTCAGGTTATCATCCGTTAAAGAAGCATGCAAGCTTTATGCTGTCTGAAACACTTCAATAATGGTTTTCTTAAATGGAATCGATTTTTTGGAGCCAATGTATTTAATCATTCAACATCTTAATTGTAGCATTTGTCCTGCCTGTTATCTTTTAAGCTTACTAATGTGAAATATTAATTAGTGTGCCATTTGTTACTCATGGCTACTATACTCATACTTGAAACATTTTCCCTCCACTCCTGAGATTCAACTATATGATCATCCAAACTATGTTCCAATCTAAGCCTAGCCAATTAAATTACAAAGACAAATGTCATAATTCAAACTGGATGAGCACACGTTTCTTGCCAGCGGTTACTTTCTAAGCTAACTTTGCTAACAGCGCCATGCACTTTACAGTCTTAGTCTGCATACGTATTGTAAAATCCTCTGCATGTAAGTAATAGCGTTTAATCAACTTATCACCTCGCTGGCTATCTGAACTGTGCGTGCCCCGTGTCTGGGGATCAAAAGAATGCATGGAATAGCTCATAACCTACCGGATACCTCATCGTCCTAAGAATCAGCTCTAAAATCTATCATAGGCATCCCAAAGGTGCGTTTCGTTTTTCACTTTATATGCATGCACTATATGTCTTATGATTATCTTTATTTGAAATGTGTGAGAAGTGTCAAAAGGATCAAAAGTAAATTGATTCATTGAATTACCTGTGAATACTATAAAGCGTGGAAGTTACTAGGTGAATTGTATACGGTAAAAAATAGCAACATCAACTATTTCTGAAATCTATCGACTATTTATCTGTCGACTACAAAGCTAAAAGACACCGTATAAACATACAGTTTTAAGATCATATTCCTCCTAATTTGCCTGTTTGTCCTCTTACGTTTTCATTTCGTAATAAGAAAGAGACGGTTATTTCATTTCTTAAAGGGATGCAACTAGACGTGGAACATATCATTACAGACAACCGAGGGAGCTTAAACAATTATGACGAGCCCCCATATGGTCCCTTTAATTTGAGAGATAATCTAACAAAACGACCATTACATTCACAAATATTTCTTGGTTGTTCCAAGGAAAACATGAAATAAAAAATGCCAACAAACGACCCCAAACGGCAAGTGGTTAAATCAAGGAACGTTTCAAGAATATTTCCATGATTAACAAGTACATCATTTTTATGTCATTAGTTTATTTATTCTTGTGTGTCTGTGTGTGCACGTTATTATTATTATTATTATTATTATTATTATTATTATTAATGGTTTGTTTAATTCTCTATTATCAATAATATCATTCCACAATGCAAAAATAAAGGCGACAAATTTGATATGATTTTAGTCATTGTGAAGTGGTAAACATTCTAGAATCACGTGAGTTGTGTGCCAAGGAATATTTTTAAAAAAGCCAGTATAAAATCTTTATTCCTACTATTTTGGCGGAAAATGTATTTCAACTGCATACTATAATCAAAGCCCCAGGGTTCGACTCGTAAAGTATTATCCTTGCTTCT